CCTGCGTTCATGATGTTCACTTTACCATGCATCCATGTTGGCGATCCATGGAGCGAGAACTAAGGGACCTCGACTGACACGAGTCAAACCAACTCTTCTGCAGTTCACTTGGTACTCCGTATCACCTATCCTGTTGGCAGAGACTGCAAGTCTCAATGGACAGTGTATAATGCCTTTGTCCTGGATTTTACAATACAGGGTAACTCGACATTCCAATGTCATACGACATAAGCCTAACACATGGCAGTCCGAGTCCGAGTATAGTATAATACTGTCAGTATGGTTAAAGGTCACTTCGATCAGTTACTTCGGTTCGATTTCAATCAACGATACCGCACGTCCTTTACACAGACCTCTAGCAAAACTGATCACCCACGTGGAATATGAAGAAGCGTGATGGCATCAAGGCCCGAGCTTGCATTGAGCCCCTGTGATAGAAGTCGATGCATCTCGGACATCTTACGGGTACGGAGTACCTACGGTGCAGAAAGGCTGCTGCTTACAATACGGATACTCGGTGAATACAATCAGTTGTTGGCCATCATTATTCACATCAGGCTAATAACTCATCAAATCCGAACGGCGCGGATTGGCCAGGCTGAGCGATTGCTTCATCTGGCCTGCCTCACTTTTTAATCAGCGATGTTGCATCTGCAGAGGGGCCGCAATTTCGCATTATTGTTGCTCATAGAATAACACAAAATCATGCGCCATCCATCAGCGAATGTTGGGTGCGGAATAATTGAGTTTGTTTGATCGACGAAAAAAAAAGGAAATAATCCGGTGCGAACAGATGGTATCAGACCATCAAAGCGAAGTGGCCATTTACATACATACATATTTCAAAATGTGACAACTACCGACGATTGGAAGGGGAAAAGAAATTCTCAACGCCCCGTCAAGGGTCCATGACTTGCCGCCATGGCATGGCATGGTGTGATATGGCCCGTGAGTTCAACTTTAGAGAGGCAAAAGAAAGCAAAGCGGAACGGCGAAGGTCTGGCAGTCTGGCAGCTGGCTCAGTTGCAAGCTTTTCGCTTTTCTTCACACCGACACCACCCAACACCGCATGGAAGTGTCTCAGGTACGGTGTACCTGGAGTGGAAGTTGGTTGATTACCTCCCGACCCGAGCCACCCTGGCAAGCAAGCATTGGAATCTAGGATGCTATCTTTATGCGTCTATGCGTTGACATCAGGACTATCCATACTGATTGTACGGAGTACTGTAGGAGTATAGGTACTCCTTATGGGGCTTCGCTATGCCATGCCATGTCTAACCGACCCTCTGAGATGAAGCCGAAGCGGATGCTCAATACGACGGTGCAATTCAAATCCGCTCTGGCGAAACCCGAGGATTTTAGAATAGCATATTATAGCATAGCATGGCATGATGGGCCAGCCTCGGAATTGACTAACGACAAAATTATCAAAGAAGAAAAAAGACAGTTCAATCGTCGCTTGTCAAAAGACGGGCACGGCAACTCCGGGCCAGCCCGTATGACGAGGCGCGGTCCGCAAAGTTTGTTCGTCAATATCCAACTATTAACAAGGTTTGGTGATGGATGAAGTGTCATTTCGGCATAACGGTCTACCTATAGTAACTAATTATGAGCTGCCGTTGGCTTTACCTGAGAATCCAATGTTGGTTGTTAGGGTTCAGTTATGGCTTTGCCAGGCATGTTTGCTTGCCTTTGCCTACCAACCTATTGTCAATTGACCGCCATTGATGCTCTAACTAACTATACGGATACAGTATACACTGTTGTTCCAAGTTTGCCTCTATTGTCTTTGCTTTTTCTCCCAACTGACCACATTTGTGATTTCCTGATCCCTTCTAACCTTTTTCGGTCTTGCCTTTTCTTCTTCTTCTTCTTCTTCTTTCTCTCTTCTATCATATTTGGTTACAACCACCTCTATAACATGCAGTTGTTATCGTGTAATATGGTTCACTGCATTATCGTTATTATGCGAGGGCCGTTTGCTATTTTCATGACCGTGCAGATTGCATGCCTGATGGAGCATGTGAGAGCTTGAAGGGCTTTGATGTGCGACTAAACCCATCACGTCCGGGCCAACTGAAGCGGTCACAGACCGCGATTTCATACATGTCGCATCCTCAGGAACGGTGAAGTCTTGGATAAAGAAGAAGTGTGGGCGCAGGGCAAGTACCACATGATGACACGACGCCGAGACAAAAATGGCTCAGGCCTTGCATCCGATGCAGCTTAATGTGCTCAGTTGAGATAGAGCATCGAAGACGTTGAATACTGAATATCCAAGTGTATGTCTAAAGCACGTTGGACCCATGTTTGAGGTTAGGTTTTCAGGTGGGTTCTTCGCATGCACCTCTACACCAAAATCACAACCTGGCTGCCTGGCTTACACGTCAGGTTGTTGGCTGACGGTAGCAGTTCCCTACTCCGTACAAAGCAAGCAGTTGGGTTTGGAACACCCGGTCTGTGGGGTTAGGGCATGCAGGATTCGAGGAGGGTGGGGAAACGGTTGTTACTCGCTGCGAGGTAAGATATGCAGCCTGGGTGAGAAAGAGAAGAGAGGCTACAGAGGCCACATAGGGTCCCGAATGGCCTCATGTTGCGGCAAGGCATGTAGGAGATGCAAGGGATCACCGATCACCGATCACAGCAGCTCGATCGGTGGCCCGACGAGAGAAGAAGAGAAGAGAAGAGAGACATATGACCATAGATCAGCAGCAAACTTGACAGTTCTCACGACTTGCATGCGAGGGAGAAGATACTTTTTTTTTCCCTTTCTTTCTTACACTTACAAAAATGTTTCGCAGTTGATTTGGATATGTTGATTGGGTGCGGTATTTGCTGACACGTCGTGAATCATATTTCGGACCTGCATGTAACGTATCTGCTTGGTTGGTCGAGAAAGGTCAAGTCAACTGCGAGGGAAGACGCTGGACTCATACTGCCATGATGTTCCACTGCGTACATACTACGTACACCTACTCCGTAATTACAGCTAGCTTTTTTGCTCACTCTACTGCATATGGACAAATGCAGTGTTGTTTGGAATTGATCATCTATCAGTCGTCAGTTTGCCTGCCTTTTTGGGGGTGGCAATGGCCCAATATGACAATGCACTCTTCTTGTCTGTCACATAGACTAAGTTAGGCTGCTAGGCTAGGCTCTCGGCTTCTTTGCTTATTCCTCTTGTTTGCCGTACGTACTGAAATGTGCCTAGCCTCGGGCTTAAATGGACACTTTGCTGAAACGAAGCAATTATTGTGGTATGACCATCATCATGATACCGCTGCGGGGTCCTTTTTTCTTGGTTTATTTTTTACTTGTTTGTTTCTTTTCGCTGTTTCCCCCTGATTGCTCACATAATGCCGAGGGCCTGCTTGTTTGCCCACAATATTAGTTTTCCCTTTCTGCGTTCGCGTCGATTTTCTGAAAGGTAGGTGTAGGGTACGTCACACCGTATGTTCATGGATCCGATACGAACGATTTGTCCCATTCCATTAACCGCCATGGATTCTAGAGGGAGGGCAGGTGGTATGAAGGCTTGCGTGGTTGATGTCACAGATGAAGCAAGGGTTGATCTGCTGCATGGATAGCACGTGTAAGCGTGGTTATCTAGATCTAACGGTAGACAGATAGAGTGGTTATAGCCAAGACAAGTGCCAGTATACATGCAAGGGCGAGTCTTTTTATTTCTTGCTTGAGTGTATTGTGAAACATGAGATCTATATTAGATAGCCCTGACATACCAGTAGATCGGTCTATTTGATTGATTGAACGATTCGGTTGTTAGTTTGGAGTAAGGAATGCGTGTGTCTACAGGACGTTGCATGCCATTGAAAGGATCGAGATTCATGCATGATGCGAGTGTCAGATATGGACGAGTTTTAGTAACTTGCCGATCAGCTGTAGGGTCTACGTGGTCGAGTATGAACAAATCCGAACCATTTAGATGACGGTGATTTAGCTTGTCGGTCTTGAATAGCGCTGCGTAGATATCGTGTGTCTTTGGTATGCTGTCGAATACTCTGTGTTCCTTACAGGTAGAGGGTGATGAAGTGCACAAGTGAAGGCCAAGTATTACTAAGTAATTCATACAATATTAAGCACTTGTGAATCGGATACCATATGGTCAACTGTATTAGCGGACAGTCTGTCACTTTGACTGACAGAACTGTGGTGTTGTAGCTATCATGAGTTATATACACTGAATTTCCATACTTAAGAGTTGGAGAAAATGAGTAAAAACACAGCTGCATAATAAGCGATACTGCTACCTGTAGACCAAAAGCCTTACGAATATCGCCAAGCTCAAATTGCGTAAGTCACTCACCGCTTAGAGGTTGTATGCAGAATCATGTTTGATGTTGAAGTTGATATCAAACGTATAGGGTAGCCAGGACGGAACGGGCCGCCCAGCCACCCATTAAGCCAGAACAATTGGTTTCCCAGCCACCAACCACCGGCAACACGGACGCGAAATAGCTTCCCAACCTCCCACTTCAAGTAAATATCGGGCGCCAAGTACCAAGTTATTTCGCAGTACGGAGCCCCAAATAAAAAAGAAACCGGGAAAAACGGTCAAGGAGCGTTTTTTGGCGCTGGGGAGTTGAAGACTGTGACGTGACGTGACGTGTCTCTCTCATTTCTTTATTATACTTCATTTCATATCTTACAGATAGTTCAGCAACGGGAACCCACATCTTCTCTCTCTCTCTCTCTTACATACTACTCTACCTAAGGTACCTTGGACTTGCAATACTCACATGCAACCACTTTAAGTCCCGAGTCAATTCCTCGTGTACCCATTGTGCCATTGTTCGAGTCGAGTCGAGTCGAGTCGAGTCGAGTCCAGCAAACGACACTCGAAACCAATCAAGGAGCACCAAACTTGACTTGCGCCAACGATAATCACCTCCAGCTTTTCGAAGCTACATTTTTCTACGGATACCTCTTCACCTTTCACCCTTCGCCCTCTACCGTACATATCATACCACATTCAGTCCATCATGAGATGGCTATCTGGAGCTTCACTCGCAGCCACTGCGCTGCTCATCAGCTCAGCTTCAGCCCAGACATGGAGCTCGTGTAACCCTCTCCACAGCAGTAAGTCTAGCCCACCATTACTCTACCAAACCATTCAAAGCACCACTCGTTAACATATCTCCCCTAGACAGCTGCCCTGCAGACGATGCCCTCGGCATGAGCATCGATATCGACTTCTCCAAAGGCGAAGTCAACTCCTTCGCCGCCTCCGGTTCCCCCAAATACGACGGCGAGGGTGTTTCCTTCACAGTAGCCCGTGCCAACGATGCACCGCAGCTGGCTTCTCTCTTCTACATCATGTTTGGCCGTGTCGAGATCACAATGAAGGCCGCACCCGGTGCCGGTATTGTCTCTTCGCTTGTTCTCCAGTCCGACGTCCTCGACGAGATCGATATTGAGTGGCTCGGCTCTGATAATGACGAGATCCAGTCCAACTACTTTGGAAAAGGCCAAACAACCTCCTACAACCGCGGCCAGTTCCACGACGTCACAAACACACAGGGCGAGTGGATCACGTATACTATCGACTGGACAAAGGATCGCATCGTCTGGATGGTTGGCGGTACCGTTGTCCGCACCCTCAACTCTGGCGACGCCGAGGACAACCAATACCCTCAGACCCCGATGCAAGTCAAGTTTGGATCATGGGCCGGCGGTGATCCCAACACAAACTCCGCGGGCACCGTCAAGTGGGCTCGTGGACCAACAGACTACTCCAAGGGCCCCTTCACGATGAAGGTCAAGAGCATCATTGTCACAGACTACTCCACCGGCGACGAGTACAAGTACAAGGACACTTCTGGCTCATGGGGGTCGATCGAGGCTGTTGGTGGAGCAGTCAACGGCAACGAGAACGGCGAAGCCATGACCGTTACCGCCACCGCTCAAGGAACCGTCGCTACGTCAGACGGAAACGTCCCCGTGGGAGGTATCGCCGAGGATGGAAGTCCCGCCACAGCTACGCAGACCGGATGGCCCTGGACCGGCTCCCGTCCTTCAGGAGGCGCCATCCCCGAAGGATGGAGGCTCAACGCCAAGGGAAAGATCATCCCAGCCGAGAACAACTCTGTTGGGTCTCTCCAGCCCCTCCACAGCGCTATCGCTATTGTACCTTTCTTCGCTGGCATCTTGGCATTTGCCGGCCGATTCTTGTAAAAGAGAGTCCCCTTTCAACTTCACTGTATATGATGATTTCAAGCCCACGTACATTGGCGGCTTGTTGATATTACAAGATTGGATGAAAAACCTGGTTTGCATGACGGCGGTTTGGCGTTGGATCAAGAATCGGGCATTTACATGGAACATGGTTTTGGATTTGTTGCTTTTTATCTATTTAAGCGATGGCGTAATGTATTCGGGTTGAGCACAAGATGCACAGATAGACGGAGATGATCAACATAGATAGGTACCTAGACATAGTATAATCAACAACTGAAGCAGCTGTTACCAGCACAAAACCTTTTGCAAGTGGGTGCATGAGAATCTAGGACTCAGTTAAATATACATACCTTGAATGTAGCTACCGACCTGAACAAGGACTATTAAGCAAACTTCTTTCAGAGTTCACCCAACCAACCCCTGGAATAGGCAGGCAGTGTCTCTTCTATATATGGATTCTAAGGCAATACGATAACCGCCGCCGTGACCACCCAAATGCTCCAGGTAACCTATCCCATCTCAGCGCCTACCACTGCAAATCGTTGCCCTGCGGCCATTCCACCATGCTCTGCAAACGCACGACGAGCTTGCGCTCCTTTGTACGCGCCTCTCCTCTTCTCGCTGTCTCCTTGCTCACGCTGAAAGCATCGCCTGAGTATTCTTACATACGTTCCAAATAATAGCAAATTAGTTAAAGCAAAGAAACCCGAAGCCATCCGTTTTTCTCTTTTTGTACGCCATGAGCCCCTCCGAGGACGGACTTAGAAGGTCCAGTCATCTTCGTTCTCAACGGACTTGATAGCCCATCGGAACTTGTCCCGAAGAGTCTTGGAAAAGAACTTTTCGATCGGAACATCGAACTTCTTGGAGAAGACGACAGTGAGGCGAGGATCAATGTAGTTCTGCACACAATAGTTAGTAAACAGGTCCACACCCATAATACCTCGATGTTACTTACGATTTTGGAGGTACCGAGGGCCACCTCCTTGTTGCCATCGCGATCTTCGGCCTGGAGCTTCAATGTTTTGATACGCTCGTCGAACTTATCCACCGCCTTCAGAAGCTTATCAACGGTGACACCTCGGCCTTCTGCATCGACCTTCTTGGTCTTGTTCTCTTTCTTGAACTTGGTCTCCATCTCCTTGACGACTTGAAGTCGTTCCTTGAGCTCCTTTTCGGGTAGAGGCCTCTCCTTGTCTGCCTTGCGCTTCTCGTTGTCCTTTTCAAACTTCTTGCTGATCTTCGTACGTTGTTCTTCGAGAAGGAATTGTTGATGCTCCTTGATCCACTCATCGTCCAACTCCCCATCCTTCTCGAACCAGGCGGCGCCTTTCTTCTTCTTATAACTTGATTCAATATCCAGAACCATCATCTTGGTTCGCCATTGCTGGTATCGGAGGCCTTTGATCTAAAAAGGATAATCAGTATGCCGAGCTGTGAATCCTGAACCCAATTAAACTCACTCTGTCCCCTAGCTTGGCCATCTGTTGCTCGTGGCTGGCGCCAACAGTTCGCTTATGGTTACACAGAATGGCAACCTCACGATTACAATCGTTGTACAGCTTCACCTTTTCGGCAGCGGTGCCGCGAGAGCGTGGGTCACTTGCAAGCTTTTTGAGCAGCTCTGACATTGTCCAGGAAGCGTTGTAAGTACGGAAGACCTTGGCAGTTAACCCCTTCATGTAGCTGTTCAAGTGCTTGTTCAATTGAGAGGTCTATGAACTTGTTAGCGGCTGTCGCGTAGGTAGAGTTTGCAGAGGAACTCACATTCAAACGGTCGAAGAGATCATCTCCGTTAGACTTGGGCGCCTTCTTGAAAAGTTTCAAGTTTTTGAAGACCTGTGGCTCAACAATAGCAGTCTCTCGGTAGGGAATACTGTCCTTTCCCAGGAAATCAAACGTGACCTTGTTTGGAGGCTCAAGTGTGATATGCTCGTACTTGAGAGAGCAGCAACCCACAGTGTCGGCCTCGTTCTCTGTATCCTTTTCGTTTCCAGCTCGAAGGGCGAGTTTGTCAATGAAATACATGGCGGTGGCTCGCTGACGATCTGCCATTATCTCACTCTTGAGATCTTTGGTGTAGTCCCGGCGAATTTTATCGATGTGCCTCTTGAGTTCTCGAGCCTTTTCGAACTTCTTGAAGTCACTTTGACCCTTGATATCGCTATCAGCTCCAAGCATGACGTACTTGTAGTTGTCGTTGATGTTCTCTTGCCACATGGCCAACCAAGTTGCCTTCTGATCGTGCTGCACGGCCTTCCACTTGTGGCCCTTGGGGGGCTCTGGAACTTTGGCGTCTTTGCCAATGTTGATGGTGATTTGCTCGGGTAGGACACGCTTTTTGACCTTGCCAGTCCTGGGATGTTCACCACGACCACGGAAAAGACTTGGAGGTTCGACTCTGAAGTTGCCAACCTTTTGCTTCTTGCCATCCCAAATGCAGTGAGTGAAGGGAGCCTCAAGAGCCTCTTTCTTCGCCTTAGCAGCCTCTTTCTCTTCTTTGGTCATGTTCTTAGTCTTGTTTCGTTCGACTTTTCCAGACCAGTAATCGCACATCTTGGAAAAGTCACACTTGTCGAGTGACTTGATGGTGACCTTCTTCCCTTGAGGATCTGTCACACCGTACTTGTCGCAATACTCCTTGAAATCGGTAAAGAAATTCTTGCGAAAGACCGGGTTGTCGAGGTGATGCGTTGACCCAGAAGTCATCATAGCGACCCAGAAAGTAGCAACTTCTTCGACTTCAATCGAAAGGTTGACCGGCTGCCCATCGTATAGCATCTTGACGTGTTTAGGCAGCGGCTCGTACTCTGGTGGGAACAGAACACCGTTGTGCTCCAGAGTTTTCCACTTGATATCGTCGTTTTCCTTCTTTGGCGCGTTCCACCACGCGGATTCTTCTTCATCGTCACTCTCACTGGCCTTTCTCGACTCCGCCTGGACGGCCTTCCTGGCGGACGCGGCAGGTTTAGCCTTCTTAGAGATAGGAGCATCGGAATCCGATTCCTCCTTTTTCACGCCGTTCGACTTTCGCTTTGCCGCAGTTCCGTTGGATTGACGTTTGGTAGCAGTAGATCGAGCGAGAGACACATCGTCATCGGACTCTTCCTTAACAGCCTTCTTGGGTACAGGCTTTTTGGCCCGCTCCTTGGCTCGAATCGCCTTTGCTTGCTTCTCAGCCGACTTCTCGAAGGCAGCCTTCTTTTGCGCGAGCTTTATGCTAAGAGGCTCGTCGTCGTCGCCGGAGGACTCGGGAAGGGCGGTTTCCTTGTAGGAAGGGGGGAGCTTCTTTCCCCTTGCCTTCGCGATCGGCTGGTCGTCCGAATCTGACTCGACCACTCTGCTGGTCTGCTTCTGGCGTTTGGCCTGTGATACCGTTGTCAGCATGAGTTGGCCCCACAGCAAGGGTTTTCCCATATCATGAAATACGAACCAAAGGAGCATCATCATCACTCGACTCATTGTCCTTATAATTGACCTTGGTGATCGAGTTTCGCGACTTCCGTTTCGAAAACCCGTTGATGCTTGGCTCGTCGACATCCATCGTGTCTACCAGAGGACCATTTCGAACTGACAGTCCGGCCATCTTGGCGGCTTCCTCAGGAACTGGCTGATCCATGGCAGCGTCTTCGGCGCGAGAAATCCTGGCCGACGAGACTATAGATGCTAAGCTCCCTGTTAGAACGAGAATGGGCAATAGTATGCGCTGTGGTGATAGAAAGAGCTGGTAGAATCGGGGGAAGTTTTATTTTGGTAACCAATGGCATGAGCACTCATGAGCGCGAAGAATACCAGCAAAGAAGCAACAAAATTAGCAAAAAAAGCGCGACTTACATCGATGTCCGTTGGCCCTCGCCAGAGGGCGATCGTCGTCAGAGCTGGAGCTCATGATTGTGCTGCTTAACGTGAGTATCCGTTCTGCGGCTGGCCGCCAACCAGAGTGCGATGAGGTCAGGGACTGGGATCTAAGATGCGAGAGCGTGACAGAACGAAGAATAGGTCGTTGTAGACGAAGGAAAAACGTGATATTGGAGGAGGAAGCGCGAGGAAATGATCCCCTCAACGCCTTGTATAGGAGATGAGGGTGCGTTTTACAGGATTTGCAAGAGCTTGGGAGAGGAAAATCAGCAACAATGGTTTTGGGAAGAATACATAGGTCCAAAGTTCGAGAGCGGCGCTGCTTGTTTCTTTAAGGCCAAGACCAATGGCCCGGACCCGGCGACGGGGAAATGCGAGGCGACAGCTGCAGAAGGCAAGGCAGTAGAAACCTAGGCAGACTTACCACAGTGGACACTCAATGGCTCGCTCTCAGTGGTTCAGAGAGGTGTTGCGCTGTAGTTGCAGCGACTCAGAGATGGGGCTAAATACGAGAGCCCGTGATGTGATTGGATGAAATGAGGTAGTTGTGAGAGGATGAAAATTGGAGCCCAAAAGAGAGAGAGAGTGGTCGCCTTAGTCATGCATGCATTTGGAAAAAAAGGGAAAGCGGGGCGGGTGCGGCTTAGTGGAAGTCAGGCAGATGATATCACGTGATCCCACCAAGCAAGTTGTGCTGGCCAGCTGTGCAGCGCCTAGAAGTTCCGGCCGGCTACCTAATTTACCCGGGAAAATAGCGAGAACAAACCTGAACGAACGCTTTAGTCCGCAGCAACCAATACACCTCATTCCGACCTTACACGACCCTCATCTCCATCAATTGATCCGTTTATAGCGATCAATTGGGCCACCGTTGGCAGAGGCTCCTTCTCTACTTTCCCCCCATCCTCAGTCATGATGTTGTCGCGAACCGCCAGACCAGCTCTTCGAGCTGCCGCAGCTAACGCTCGGTAAGTTTCTCTCCTCCCTCAGTCTCTCTCCTTGGAGTATCCAGTGGCTCTCTCGGCTGCCGGGAACCCCAAGAATTTGCTTGCCGGAAGCTGTTCACCTCCGACGGTCGGCCACAACGTCAAAAAACAACAACGGAAACGCCTATAACCGATCGAGATGCAACTCATGAGAGGCAATTGAATACTCCGAGGGAACAAACAATTATCACGAAAAAAAAAGAGAACCATAAAAAAGAGAAGGAAAATGCTGATGACGTCCTTTTTTGCGCTTCCAGGGTCGCCGCCGTCCCCAGCACCGCTGCCACCTATGCGACTCTTCGTGAGATCGAGGACCGTCTCAAGTCCATCCGAAACATCGAGAAGATCACAAACACCATGAAGATCGTCGCCTCCACCAAGCTCACCCGAGCCCAGCGCGCCATGAACGACTCCCGCCAGTATGGTCAGACTTCCAACAAGGTTTACGAGTCCGCCGAGACCAAAGCTCTTGAGGCCGAGGACAAGAAGACCCTCATTATCGTCTGCTCTTCCGACAAGGGTCTCTGTGGTGGTATTCACTCTAGTCTGTCCCGATACGTCCGCCGAATGCAAGCTACCCAGCCTGCCTTCGACCTCGTCCTCATCGGCGAGAAGGCCAAGGCTCAGCTCTCCCGAACCAACGCCAAGGCTATCCAGTTGAGCTTTGCTGGTATTGGAAAGGGTGTTCCCACCTTTGCCGATGCTCAGGCTATCGCCGACCAGGTCCTCCAGCTCCCTACTGAGTACACTGACGTCAAGATCCTTCACAACACCTTCGTCAACGCCCAGACCTACGAGCCTGCCATGATTGAGGCATTTTCTGAGGATGCCATCCAGCAGTCCCGTATGTTCTTTCTCGAATTGTAGTAGCTGGAATTATCTCTAATCATCAATTTTTAGCCAACTTCTCCGCTTTCGAGGTTGACGACGAGGCTCTTGGCAACCTTCGCGAGTATGGCCTTGCCAACTCTCTCTACTGGGCTCTTGCTGAGGGCCACGCCTGCGAGCAGTCTGCCCGACGAAATGCTATGGATGTGAGTATTCTTGAATTCTTAATCATGATAACCAATACTGATAATTCCCGCAGAACGCCTCCAAGAACGCTGGTGACATGATCAGCAAGTACCAGATTCTCTTCAACCGTACTCGACAGGCTGTCATTACCGGAGAGCTGGTCGAGATTATCACTGGTGCTACTGCCTCTGCGGACATGTAAGGAGTGGTTCAAATTGGGGTGTAATGCTTCCCTTTGTAGCAAATGTCATCGGGTGACCATCCTTGTGTGGTTTCCCCCATTGTATCAAAGCCTTCAATAAATTCCTTAGTAGCCCATACAGTCAATGTCTGGCATTTTGAGAAAAAGAAATGAAGTAATGGTTTTGAAAGGCCTTCAAGACTTTTCGCAAGGACTCCAGGTTTTAGAGAAAAACTATACTCTTAAGAGTCCTTATACACATGCTCTCAAGTTGCAATGCAATGCCCATGTCTGTTTAACGCCAAATACCTAAAGCAGGATCCCCAAGAAACAGTCGTCTCCCGAAATGAGACGACAAGAGCATGTAGTAATAGCCCAGCTCCAGTAAAACGCCCAACCGAGGAGATGTATGAAATATGTACAAGACAATACTCAGAACCCAACGTCACTCTCCTTATCCTCGGCATAGCTTATATTCCTCGTTCGACGATGCTTGTGCAAGAGTTCGCGGTCCAAGTCTCCCATCTTGGCAGCGCTGAACGGATTCTCCTTCTCGTAAGATGCTCGGAGACTAGCAGCCTCTTGATCCCATCGTTCAGTAGCCTCATTCCATGCATGAACAGCATGAGCGTAGCCGCGCTTCTGTTCAGCGGCTTGCTCTTCGTACGGTTTACGCTCCTCAGCCGTGGCATCCTTCCACATCTTGGATGTCATAATGCGAACTTCATTAGGCACGGCACGTCCACCTTTGCCAGGTTTGCGGTTCTCTTCGCACTTTTTCCGTGCAACGTCAAACAAATCTTTGCTGTAGAGAATGTACGCATTGCCAGCGACCTTCCCAGGACGACTAGGTCGTTCTCCGAGTTTCGTTTGAATATGAGCCTGTATTTCCTGCTCATAGGCTTGCAACCGTGCTGGTTTTAGATCCCTAGCAGGCTCCTTACGCTTGCGCAGTAACACAGAATCTCGAGGCAGAATTAATGGCGTCGGGACTTCAATGGGCCCAACAAGGGTCTCCAAAACTTCTGATGCTGCTCTTAAACCGGAGAGATAAGCTCCATGGACAGTGGCTGGATGCGTGCCGATGGTGTGTTCACCTGCGAAGAAGAGATTGCCAACAGGCCGTGCCATAATATCGTAGTCATCAGGCTGCATACCGGGAGCAGCAGAAGAGTAACTGCCTCGAGCAAATCGATCCGAGCCCCATCGAGTGACCATAGCCTCTACAGGAAAAGGAACATCTTGACCAAAGACACTGCGCAATACCTCTGTCGCTTCGGCCACAAGACTATCGTTGCTTGAGTGCTCTGTCTCAAATCCTGCTTCGCCGGCCATCAAAGCAATAAGGCATGGTAGACCTGTTGTATTGGATACATTGAACCACTGGAAGAAACGGCCACGGTTCGTGGCATAATCCTTTTGCGATGTGCTATTTCGGTTTGATGACTCCCTCAATACACCGAAGATGTGTCTGTCATGTTCCCAGAAGATCTTGTCGTAGACCAGAACAACCTTGTTCAAGATGCCGAATCCCAGACGCTCAACAACATCGGTCTTCCATGATGGTAGAGATGGATTGAAGACGACGTTGTTCTGTTTCAAAACCCCAAGCGGGATCGTGCATACAACAGCATCCACATCCACTACTGAGCCATCTTCGCATTCAATCGCAGCCGAGGCCATGCCATCTCCAGTATGGTAGGATATGCTTTTCACTGGAAACTTGGTTTTGAGATCAAGTGGTGTTGGACAGAGGGCCAGTCCACGAGCCACACTCTGATAACCGCCAACAACCATGGTATGACTTCCCTCCCACTCATTGCCTGCATCAATATCCCACAAGGGGAGACTCAGGTTGTGCAAGCTGGTTGCGTTACTGTACTCCAAGTTGGCGATGTGCCAGTTAATCAAACGATGATCTTGAGCATTCAACCCGACAATTTGTTTATACTGAGAAATGGCGGAGTCGAGGACAGATCCCAAAGTTGCTTCCTTTTCATTCACAGCTGAGGTCAAGTCGATGTTCTCCCCATCGGCCGAGTCTCGTATTGTCCAACCCATAAGCTTGGCCTTGTCAGATGCCTTGGTCGTGGCCGGAGTTCCAGGTTCCATGTGAACCCGGCCGGTCAGTTTGTCTGATGATACTGGCACCAAGTTGACCTTGTCTGGAATGTTTTGTTCAGACACTGGTGGTGCATCTGGCTGTGCTGCGAAAGCCTCCTCCTCTTGGTACATTGTCTTACTGCCGTCCCCAGGGCTATCGCGCCCCTCTTCAATGAGATCTCGTCTACCTTCGATCAGTTTTGCCGGTTGACTCTTATGTTTGTATTCGCTGACTCGATCTAAACAATCATTATACAGCTTCTCTACAAGCAAATCCCGCACAGGATCTACCGCTTTTCCGTTGCTGTCGTATATGGTAGTATCGGCCGTCAGTGCATGATATGGTAGGCTAAGCTGCCCTCGTAGCAGGATGTTGATAGGATTTCCCCTGTCAAACCCGGTAATGATCATACCGCCCATCTCTGCAGTGTGTCGCTTCCCATGAAAAGCTGGGGCAGGCTCCTTAGGCTTTGTTTGGAACTCGCGAGAGTATACCCTTCCTCCAACACGACTTCTGCCTTCGAGCACCACCACTCGAGGAGGCGGCTCTCCTCGTTCTTGAAACCGATCGGCGAACTGCTTGAACAAACCCTCTAGCTGCCTAGCACAGCCGAGGCCGGAAATCCCAGCACCAATAACAGCTATTGTCTTTTGCCTTCTGACGACTGGAGCAACACTGTCGTCTGTCGTGGCTCCAGAGACCTGCACGCAGCCGTAGTTGATATAGGCTCGGCGGACCAGCCAGTCATAACAGACGCTGGCCGCATCGAACCAGCGAGCGTTGGCACACCCAACTGCTTCTATTCGAGTAACACCGATCCAAGGGTGTTTGAGCCATAAACGCAAGATACCATTCCTGATGTTGAGGTAGGTTGTGACCTGTGTGTAAGATAGGTGATGGCGGAGGAGGTGATATTCCTCCGGGTGTAGAGCGTATGGATTGAGTCGACAGGACTCGGCGGCCGTGATGCATTCTGATGCATATTTGTATGGTGAAATATCGGTCGGTATTGAGGCCTTTGGCCTGATGCTAAAGTTGTAGCGCTCAGCATCGTGAGATGGTGACTGCTGGTGAGATCGGGGTTGCTCGTCGGTTATTTGGTCTTGGTCATGATCTTGTGCACCCTCGGCTTCAACTGGAGTAGGGGTAGTAGCCTTACTCGATACTGTCGATGGTATTGAGGACAGGTCTGATAGTTCCGTAAGATTCGGTGATGCCGAGGGAACACAGCCGGTAGTCTTGTCTGCGGTCGATGTCTGCAGCGAAGTCGGGTCATCGTTGAATTGAGGTGCCTCTTCTCTGTGTAGACAGTCAGAAACTCATCGAAGTTGAGAAGTCAAGGCCTCTAGCTGATTGGGCTAAAGCCAAGAAAGTAAACTACTCACTCGACATCGCTGCTGAGGCTTGACAAGTCGTCATCAGACTCAACAGGACTTGCATTATCAATATCCATATCTTCAGTCCACACAATGATTTCGGGGGCGATCTCAGACGCAGATTCTGTTGAAGTTTGTCGTGACGGAGACCCCGAAACCACGTCAGGAGTAATTGGGGGTGAGATGCGCCCTGGACCATTGGACATGAATATCGTACCCGACGGGGGCAGTGAGTCAAGGACACTTTTTTCGTCGATTTCCACCTTCCGAATGCCAATTCCCTTACGGAAGCTCTGCCCAAAGTCTGTCCCCATAGTGGCGTTGGTTTCGGAGGCTCTCTTTAGGTATTGGTCTGTGGCAAGATTTGAAAGGTCGCTATTGTATGGCGGGGCGAAGGGTATTATTAAGAGCCTTTGGAAGTGAATGAGATGAGGAAAGTCGCATTATTAAGTAGTTGGAGGTGCTGTTAATTATGGTCAGATTGTTTCCATAAAAACCTTTGATAGTCGTTCACGGACGTGACCTACCGCATTCGACTCGTAATGAACCAAAGTCGTTCGATGTCGAGATCAATGACTATGAGAGTCTGAGAGGATTCGCGATTTTGGGACTCGTTACGGCAACATGCCTATGTCGATGTCGTTCCGTCGGACAAGGCTTACTCCATGGTTGATCCCGCGTAAATTGGTCCAAATGATGAATTACTCGTCAATTGTCGGTTCCTTTGTATAAGAGAACTTACCCATCCATCGTCAGCCATTCAGCCCCTCAGAATAAGGTAAGGAAAGCAACCTTCAACTCAATCACGTGCGACCGTGCGGCCAAATCAGAAGCCTCACACAGGTGGGTCTAATGTTCATTCTAACGACAATTCATACATAACATAACTCGGCTCTCACAATGAGCATTGTTTGATTCATGATTAGTTTGTTCCGAATTAATGAATATCCCGCTGCAGCACCTGAGCCCCAGCGCCGCTTTAGGGGTAGAGTCATATATCCCGTCTCTTGCTGGAATAGCTCGCGCCTCACCAGAAATGCTCGCTCACAATATTCTAAGTATCATACACATGCTAATATCTCAGGTTGTCGGAACAGGGACGCTCTCCTTCGCGAAAGATGCTTTCTCGACCGCCGCTTCCATCATCTTATTCCCGTTTATGATCGACGTTGTGCAAATGACAACATTTCTCCGTCCTGTTGGGCCATAGTTAGAATCCTGTTTATAGCGAAGTCGAGGGTTGTGGGTGTGTTCACCTTCTTCTTGCTTTGCAATGAATCTCAGCGCAGCGATCTCAGTGAAAGTGATACCGCCGACAAACACAACAAAAACAGTCTGCTTGTTTCCGCTACCGGAAAGCAATGCTCGCGCCTTAACCGCTTTATCCTCGCCCTTCTGATGCTCATAGAAAGTCTGGCCACGGACGTGCTTCACGGCCTCGTCGAAACCTTGCCAACCTTGCGTGCCTACCCCTGCAGGTGCTCCCGCAGCGCTCGCGCTGTTTCCTTTCGTGACCGATAATAGATATTGCTTCTGCAGAATACATTGGACAAGGCGGATAGAAAGGGGCGCGTAGCCACTGTAGACGTAGGACACATCATTAGGATCATCTTCTTGAACTTCGTCAACGATGAGACGAAGCTGCTTGCGCAGATACGTGTAGTTCGTCTTGTTCCCTGTTATGCTGGCGGTGTTACCTGGAATAGGTATCATCCCAGCCAGTGGCGATGATTTTGATAAAAAGAGCTGCAGTTTCTCGAGGTTGTTGAGTGTAAGAAGATGCTGGTAGCCGTAACCTTGCAGAATGAGCCGTCGGAACTGGTCGAATTCTTTGGGTCTGATGCCCCCAGATATGCACGAGTAGATGCACATTAACCTCAGGGTTTGTGCTATAGGAGCGTCTCGTGCTATCAGCTCTTCAATGCCATCAAACTGGCCTGACGGGTCGGCTCCAGCTGCAAGGTTCTGCTGCACTTCCAAAAGTCCCTTGAATTGGTCTGTTCGGGTGTGCTTAATAATCTCTTCAGCGAGACCTGTATGTATTTTTACGCTTTGCTGTTCTTGCTGATATCCTGGCAGTTGACTGACAAAGTCCTTGAGTTCCGCAATAGTCTTGCTCTTTTGTTTTGTCTCGTAATCGCTTTGCACCTTTTGTAGCCGCCTAGCAACTTTGTTGAGCAGGCTGCCGACAATCGCAAAGTTGGCATCTCTTAGCTGTTCGTAAAGCTTGTCGCTTGAGTCTAGCTGGATTGTTCGCTTGCGACTTTGTGAGGTTGCGGTCGAGGCCTGTGCTGGTGCGCCAACAACGGTTGTGTCGACTTTGGTTTGGTTGTTATGGATTTCGAAGACTTCATCGATGAGTCCCTCATATGTAAGTTGAGTAAGTAAGGGCGTGACGAAATCGACCTCGCGATCGATGATAATAACACTCTCGTTTGTTGTACTAGGCGTCAGCCCGATCTTATTCGCTTCTGCCGTATCTTCACCTGCAAGAAGCTCCTGGCGCATGCGCGAGAGCAAGTCTGCAACCCGCTTTGCATTATCGCCTTTGCCAATCACTCGCGGGAAAAGACCGTGGTTTTGTTGTATTTCCATGAGGGCCTTGGCCATCAAGAAGTTAGGTGTGACATCTTTTGAGAGGTATAGGTCTCGAAATGAGTCGTCAAGCTCTAGAGATAGGACGTCCTTTTCTAGAGGGAAGAAGGACAATGGTAGCTCGGCAATATTGACGTCGCCCAGCACGCCGGCCTCTTCCAGGAGCTTGTCAGAGACGAGGGTTCGGCGTGGGACCCAAAAGATGTGAAAGTCGTGCCCTGTCTGACTCTCGCGCTGGATGCGCTTGATCTGGGCTAAATGAGGGTTAAAATGCGATTCCAAAAACCGAAACATGGCCACAAACCTGCTATTGACTCAGCATGGCGACCGCATTCGCCTCGAGAAACAAAGACAACATTGCGCTGGCTGGTATCTGCGTTGTCATTCTCCAGAATGAAGAACTTGTCTACTCCATACTCTTGAAGGACAGCGACCTTGACTATAGTTCCTATAGGACCAACAAGGCTTTGGTCGAGAATGACATTCTTCTTCCCGCGAACCTAGATAGAGAGTTATGCGTGAGTTGCGTTCATGACATACATGATGCCTGGGTGAGTGAGGCTCGCGGGGCAAAGGCGGTGGGAACGGAATGATAGATAAACATACACCTTCGAGCAGGTATAGAAGGTCTTTTCGAGCCTTGTTTCGAATCTGCTCGATACTGAATTCTATGCGAGGAGCCATGGGCACAGCTCAACGCGGTTGGCGGCAGTTGGCAAAGGAGGTTTATGAGGGAGCGAGTGATCTCAGCTAGGTAGGTACTGATAGATTGGGTGGATAGATCAGGTCCAGCTTCGCTGGAGCTGGAGCTTGTTACGAATGACGGCAGTAAAGTGGGGTGTTGATACAGCAGGGGGAAGCCCAGCCACTGTAATACTCCGTACATCAGTTTGGGTACTCTGGTAGTTAACGTTACTCTGATCATTGGTGGGGCTCTCTGTTAACAGAAGCTCTGAATGACCTCAACCTCTAAAAGAGCTACATACTCCCCATTAGGTCGTCCAACATAATGACTTGTTATGCCGAGTTATTTCAGAGGAAGCGTTTGATTATATGTCCAAGTTTGAGCAAGTGAAGTGGTTAAACTTTTCGCCATGTTGGAAGTTTAGTTTTAATGAGTCTACAGACCAGGAGCTTAGCAAATAACCCGACTCTCAACGTTGTAGTCAACCACGCTTTTGACGAGCTCGTGCCTAACCATCAAGCAGTATATACCTGATATGCGGCCTCACTGTGTTCGACCTGAAACCTCTCTATGCTCCCATCATGATATCCATACTACAACTGTACTGTTGGTGTGTAAAGATGCTTATGCACACATAACCTCAGGCCATGTAAACGTGCAATTCCGATAGCAATGTTTCCCAAGTAAATGCAAAGGCTGTATCCCATGACCCGGTCTCCTATCACCGTCGAATGGTTGTCCTGAACGCCAAATGAATGCTATTAATACCTTGAGAGCCACGATGCACTTGTCTGTGCAAGGCGAACCCATGACAACACCGCCCCATTCACACAGTGTTATCGTGGTATAGAAACTCTATGTCTCGGGGTCGTTGCTTGTTGCCTCGTACGAAGTCCTCATCGCCTGGAGGTCGCTCGTTCTTGTCGTTGCTTGTCAGCATGCTTTGGATGCTCATGCACACGCTGGAGACACTCTGAACGGGACTCCAACCCTGTTGGCCCAGGAGATCGAGGCAGATGATGCCGTTGGAGTATATGTGAGGGTGCATCGGGATGGGTCGATCGGATCGTTTGTCGAAAGTAACCTCTGGGGGTTCTAAACAGGCGATTTAGCGTTTCTGGTTACAGCATTGGAGGCATATAGACGGACCTATGGGGTACATCTTAGGGAAGTGGAACTTGAGACGGTAGATCTGATCTTTGTAGAGAGGATTCTCGTCGAGTACCTGGATGTCGACGAACCAGTCGCCGGCAACGCTGTCGTCACGCTCTATCAATGTGATGCCAGGGGGCATGCCATCTTTGTGAATCTGCGGGGCAGAACATCATCAGTCCAGTCCATGATATGCCGACGAAGGGCTGTGAGACTAACCTTGCCCAACTCCTTGACCAGGCGCCTGTCCCGTGTCGCTCCAGCCATGATTGACGCTGTGAGTTTTCTCTCCGAGTTTTCAAAATAAATCAACGCGGTAGGATAAAGGAAGACGTGGCGGAAGGAGAGTTGTAGATGGAAGGTTTCAATCGATGCTGGGTGTATTGGTGGAACAGACACATCAATGAGGGGCCGTTTGCGGCGCTGCGCCCACACCTCAATGGATGAACTGAACCCACTGGAACGTCTCCAGCTGGAAGGCCTAGCTTTATGGCTGGTTGTGATTGGTGCATGCGATACGAAACCTTGCAACTACAATGAGAGAGTATTGTTTTCATATGTAGAAATTCAGGACATGTAGAGATAAAGAGACACCATCTCTCAAATCTAGTTCGGATATATACTGCAGTAAGTCTTGTCTGGTTCTAGCGGCAAGGGTCCATCATGTTCCTTCATGAGATCGACAACAAGTGTCGGTAAACAGCATGGACCGAAGTCAACTGAGCTAGACCCATAAATAGATTCGTGTTGTGCTATTGGGCAAATACGGTTGCAATATGAGAGTATTTTCTCCTGAATTGGATTTACTTATCAGATTACTCACCTAACTTTGTTGACTACATGCCGAAATTTAGTTTGAGCCATCATGTCAGCCATAGCAGTTCTAAGTCAGAAGGGGGCACATCAAAGATTCTAACTCGCGATAGTCATGAGCTATTGCTGAGCCGAGAGCTTAATCACTTGTTACATAACACAAGTTGCAAACTCTGCTGATTTATCATATAATCAGTGTCCGAGTATCATATGAGAACTGCTAATCAAGGCAAATGTTTTGTGGTTAGGCACTCTGGTGAAACAAACCGCCAGCCGCATCCATATCTTATCTGGACATGATCACCGACAAGATAAAGCCACCAGCGGTCAGCCACTTCTCCAACAGTATTGAACATGGCTTCAACGTGTTTTCTGCAAACGGATATCGTCACAAGTTTGTTCTTGACTGAACCGTCGTCCAGATGAACAACGCGCTGGGGGTCATCATCCTGCATGGATTTGAGGCCTCATCTAGCCAGTCCTAAAGAGGAAAAAAGTGTCGATTCAGTGCTGATGGAAAGGCAGAATGCCTATAAGTCAGTAAGCAGCCTCAAAGGGCTGGATGAATCGAGGAGGCAACCTGACCTTGAAATGGAAGCAAATCATGATGATTGATACTGGATCTATCCCTGTAGGAATGTTCATTTGATTATCTGCTCAGCCACTATTCGTACCCTGGTTACGCGAAAACCCGATGGTTCCTGGAATGAGTCCCTGTAATGGGCCTGTAGCAAAATACTCCGTACGGATACAGAGTACTCCATGCCATGCAGTACCGCGATCCACAGACTCAGCCTCACCTGTATTCATTTCATTTCCCAGCATGTCAGCAGATGAATCCGTCGTCGCATTGCCTGAGCCACACCCTCATCTGCAGCCAACCAAGGTTGAATCCATGATGGATGTGGACTGCGTCTGCCATAGCCGCGCTCCCTAAACCCCGCTAGTGCTAAAGTCCCCCCAAGGGTTGTATACGGCGCTCTGCTGACGGCCTAATAGTCCAGCCCGGTCCCCGTACAGTAACGGGACATGGTGGGTGTGGTAAGTAGCTGATGTCCCTAGCTAGAGGTCGGCCAGGTCGTTGGTCGCCGCAAGCTAACGTTAATTATCAAGGACCTCTCTCGTCCCGACTTCTTCTTTCTCTCCCTACAAAACCCTCGTTCGCCCCGAGGCTTCATCCTCACACGTATTCAAAGCTCTTGCGCCTGGGACTTGATTGTCGCACGGCTTTATATTTCCCCAGAAGAGAGTGAGAGACAGGCTTGGTCTTGTCTTCGCTTTCCCCTCCAGATCTTCCCGTCTCCAAACGCCCAACGGGTCTCTGGAGTATCTACCCCGCCAAACTGCCACCATGAGTTGTAAGTTGCGACTATTCGCAGCCTCATTCCTCTCCCCGCTCTGGCGGCTTGACTCTCGCGTCCTGCCATCCCTCTCACCGGTGTCTTGATCGCTCTGCACTGTTCAATTTCGCTTGCTGCCCCCGCATCCCGAATGATTTGCTGACCATGGCCTCCACTATAGTCGCCGGCATGCTGAACCGGCTTCACGGCCAGCCCGAGAGCTACGATAAGAAGTATGCAATCCGAAACCTCCTTTGCAATCGACGGCGAAACCACTAGGTCCTAACAATTGCTCTTTACTGCAGGTCAAAGTACAGATTCGGTCGAACCCTCGGTGCTGGAACATATGGAGTCGTTCGTGAGGCCGATGGCCCTACTGGCAAGGTCGCTGTAAAGATTATCCTCAAGAGAAACGTCAAGGGCAATGAGCAGATGGTCTATGACGAGCTTGAGATGCTCCAAAAGCTCAAGCATCCTCACATTGTCAAGTTCGTCGACTGGTTCGAGTCGAGAGTAAGCTCACCCATCCCAAACCCCCGCTTGGATCAGGGTCTTGAGTCCCTGGCTTAGTTCAATGCCCTCCTTGTCATGCAATGTGGCTCACCGTTTTGGCGTCTCTAGGACAAGTTCTACATCGTAACACAGCTCGCCACCGGTGGTGAGCTTTTTGACCGTATTTGCGAGCAGGGCAAATTCACAGAGAAGGATGCTGCCGAAACCATTAAGCAAGTTCTACTTGCTGTCGATTTCCTTCACAAGAACAACATCGTTCACAGAGGTACGGTACCATAGCCAGGCTGTACGCCCTTGACTAACCCACCTTTTTAGATCTCAAGCCCGAGAACCTTCTATACCTTAGCAAAGACCCCGAGTCCACCCTCGTTCTGGCCGACTTTGGTATCGCTAAGATGCTTGACGGAAAGGGCGAATCTCTCAAGACTATGGCTGGCTCTTTCGGCTATGCCGCCCCCGAAGTGATGCGTAAGGAGGGCCACGGAAAGCCCGTGGATATGTGGTCCATGGGTGTCATTACCTACACCTTGCTATGCGGTTACTCACCCTTCCGAAGCGAGAACCTTCAGGACCTTATCAGAGAGTGCACTGATAACTCGGTCGTCTTCCACGAGCGATACTGGAAGGACGTTAGCGGCGATGCCAAGGACTTCATCCTAAAACTCATCGACCCTGAGCCTGATCAGCGTTGGACGAGCGAGGTAAGCTACCATTTCTGCTTTGACAAAAAACCCGAGCTGACACTCAATACAGCAAGCATTGAGCCACATCTGGCTCACCGGCGAGAACGCTACCGACTACAACTTGTTGCCCGAGATCAAGTCGTTCCGCGCCAGAAGCCGATTCAGGCGTATTATCGAGAAGATCAAGCTCCAGGCTCGTATCGAGAAGCTCAAGGCCTTGGAAGAGGATCCCGAGAACTCGGATCTGTCGGCAATCTTCTCCGAAATCGCCAGAGCAAAGCTTGCCGACGAGAAAGAGGAGAAGGAAATTCTCCGCGTTACTCAGGAGGTCGAAAAGGATGTCAAGCGCCGCAGCTTCCAGGCTTAATTGAAGTAGGGTTTTGGGTCTTTACAAAATGCAAAAAAATATTGTCACATGCTGGGCTGCGCATCAGCCATTAACATTGCTATAGTGTCGAGATGGGCGGCATATTAAGGCAAGATTATAAGGACAGAATTGTCAGTTAAGATGGAAGGAAGCGAGAGACACATCCCTCAGTCGAGATGATTCATGTATGTCTCGTCTATATGGTTGGGAGCGTTTTTGTTTGTTTCAAGCAATACATTTGGAAAAAGATGTTATGTGTTGATTGCTCTTCAAGTTTGTAGCCTATTCATAGTGCACAGTAAACGTTTATTCTGTAAACGTGGCAATCCTATTTAACCAATGTAGTATTATGGCCCTCATCCTTTTCAGTTTCTGTCCTAAGATACGTAAAGAGCCAGCCTTCATCGTACCTAAAGAATTCACCGCATTAAATATCTATTCATCCCACAGCACGCATCAAGCGTTTTCTTTTGTAACATGTTGCGCAATTCCTCCTCATGGTATCATTCAAGTCTTATAACATACAAGCATAATGAAAAAGAACGCTCCGTACGGTTTCATTCTCATAAACGTTGGTAATTCTAGCAAACCGAGTGGTAAGTGATCAAAGTGGATTAGCCAGCCATATCTGCCGAAGCACTCTCGCGCAGTTCAGCGTATCGACGAGCGTCAAAACGCTTGCGCTCCCAACCTTGTGCACGCAATCGCTCTATTCTTGCCTGGAGCTCTGGCGATCGAGTCTTATCGGCTTTTGGTTTTGATGACACCGCGGATCCTGGTGACATAACAGTAGCCGAATGTGGTGACTCTCCGTCTAGCACAATAGGTTGCGGCTGTTCTAGCTCTGATTCAATAAAGTTCAAGTGCCGGAAGACCTGGCGCTGCAGACTAGTGAGGAGAGCGCTATAGCGATGTACTGAGCGAGCATGACGAAAAGGGTCAAGCTCTGGGTCTGGATATGATGCCACCTCACTCTGGACAGATCGTGGGGTGAGAATGGACCGAGGAATCTGTGTTGCAGACCTGAGAGGCGCCATTATAGGAGACGATTCGCTCCCGGAATATTCTGGAGATGTCGAGCGAGCGGGCCCTAAAAAGCTGCCGAGGCCAAGTGTGGGCGAGTCTGGTCGCTCGAGAAGCTCCATGGGCACGTCGCTGAATGTTACACGCTTCTTCTTCCGCTTGGAAACCGGCATGCTCTGAATCGATGAGATAGACGATGCAGGAGACAGGCTATGAGATGATGACCACGTGGACGATGTATATGAGCTCACCGAACTATCAGCAGAGTGAAGGCTTGGGAGCGTTGTGGTAGTGCCCGATGGTCTTCGTAGCAACGCAGGACCAACAGTTGAATCTGCGGCGTTGATAAGTGACGACGCGCGTTGATAGTGGTCGCGAGCTTGGTTAAGTAAAGTATTTCGTGCCGGAGTGGCTCGAGGAAGTTCAAGAGCAAGCATTTCTTGTGAGTTGGCGGCGTAGAAATGAAGATATATGAGATATGCTGGCTCGACGATGCTCTGCGTGACATTAGGGTTTGTTTTCGTAAAGGCAAATGAAGGATCACTGACGGAATCCTTGAGATTATCCAGGATTTCGCTGCATCGAGTCGCACAAGAACGATAGCGGCGGTTGAGATACTCTCTCTTGACATCGGAAATCGCCTTCGACCACTCAATCGAAGTGTAAGGAAGACCATGCACATTTTCCGAGATCGTATGAGGAAGCCTTTCAGGCGAGTTCGTCTCCGTCACGGAGACGCGGCACATTTCTTTTCGTGGCGACATGGATAATGATGGTTTTCGTGAAGGCCAGGGTGAGGAAGTGGCTGTATGAATTGCTTGAGGCAGCAAAGCAGCCATACTGATGTTATTATCCTGCAGTTTTCTCGGGCTCAAGATTCGTATCCAGGGTCGAAGGTCGAGGTCTAGAGGCAGAGGCGATTCCGGCGGCGTTACAATATAAGAGTCCGGGCTCAGAGCGGCGGCGCACGTGGCGTGGCCAAGGTTTGTGTGGCCAATATACCAGTCTTTTGTTACCCTCGATGGCTCGTCGCCAGTTCAGTTCCTTGTGGTCGGTTTTATGAGTGGACCAGGACCTGGTCGGACAGAAGACTTGAAGACTTGTGACGCGTGAGTGTCTTTAATGGTCTCCCCAGGCAAGGAGGGGAAAGAGAGACAATTCTGAGTCGTTCCGTAAATTGATTGGTAAGACAATGGAGGTGTCAATAGATAGTTTTGTCACACCAAGTGTTAGTGAGATATGAGTGAGGATGTTAGAGTCGAAGTGAGGTCGAACTGAAGTCGGAGTCGTGGTGAGCTTGAATGGTAGAGAAGAGTACAAAGTTCGATCAGGTTGATAAATCTCTGAGCGTTAGAAAATGGAGACCGGGCGGGAAATCTCAGCCGAGTTTGTGCGATCGTGGTGGTTGCGGGTAGTTAAGAAATCGACTGGAATTCAAGATATCCGAAAGCGGTTGGTGTTGAGTATCTGGACGCCACATCGACGAACCATCTAGCCAGTGCCAAAGTTGTCCAGGTGATGGGACAAATCAAATAATCATAGCGCCGATGCTACTATGTCCTCGGGAATACCGATCTCTGGGCAACGAAGATCATTGCTGGGCTTGGTCTTGTCCTTTGGTCAGCGGCGCCGAGCTGTTTGCTCGTTGCCAGGCAGCTTTGTAGAGATCCTGGCGACAACGATGATGAGTCGTTATAGCTGTTGATCCCACTCGATACCTAAACAAGGTTTTATTGGAAGCGTGAGCAAGTCGGGGCAAAGGAAGGGTGACGAGCAAAGTTGTATGTATTGACATGGAGGATGCTGTCGTCGTAGTTGAGACGTGACGATCAAAGTATCTGTGTGTCTGTCGTACATCAGCCCTCAAGCCAACAGACACTAACACAAAGACAGACACCACTCAACACCCATTCACACTGACAAGGCACACTCAATCCGAGGATGACAGGTTCAACCTGAAGATTGACTTCCGACCTCACTCGAGGGGAGTATTTAGTCATATTCTTCAGACCTTGTTCAACTAGTCATGCTGGCCTATCCATAGCCCTGAGTCGGACAGAGATCAGTGCAGGAAGTTCCCGTCATCTTTTCCCCCTCTCTTGTCCTATGGGATAGACCAAAAGAAAGGCTTCGTGGAGAAAGCCAAAGAACAATGCGCGCAGTGAGTACACGGTCTTGTGAAGTCTTATTGAAATGCATTAGACCAAAATGGGTTTGGGGGTACCGCGCCAGCTATCCGCGCCGTGCTAGACTCTCCCATGAGTGGGCAATACCGAGAGCCCCACGGAACCATCTTTTGATCTTTATGGATCACTCATGTTTTCCCAACTTTATTTGTCTCTACTCTCTATAAGACCTGCTTAGGTCGGTAAGAGAAGATTATTCCTTGGAATAGGGAGGTCGGTAAAGGTTGGCGGTGAAGCATGAGTGGACCTCGACAACTCATAAGATCAATGAGATGTTAGTAAAGGAAGGTGGACAGATGACTGTAGAATACACGATGAAGTGCACACGCACTCGGATCTGACGAGACGGTAGCGTGGACAACAAAGCGCCAGCGTCTCGGTTCCAGAAGGCCGGTAGCTAGCAGCTGTCTCATCCTGTAGTCACAAACCAACCCACACGCATGCTCGTCAGGCGGCAGCAATAACTCGCGGCCCATCCCGCTTGTCGCCTGTCAACGTTGCAACTGCATGCATGCATGTTCCGTTTGTGGGTATGGGTCTGCTCAACATGAACTACATGCGTACAACTTGGTACCTGCATTTCAGGTCAATTGAGCCTCAAGGCCCATACTATGGACTCCCACCCTTTGTATGCTCTTTGTTTCGGTTTCGGGGTCTCCTTCCAAGCCTCTGTGCTCGAGAACGTCGGTCGAGATCACAAGTGGGGGGCTGGTCGCGAATGGACGGCATCTCGTCGCTCACACGACGTGCGGTCTCCATTTTTGCCTGAGAGCGAAACGGTCTCAAAAGTCCAGTCGTTAGAGGCTTCATGCTTTTCATCAAAAGGTGGGAGTGAGACCTTAAAGCCACGCCTGGTCGATCAAAAGCACATCGTTATCATGGTATGGATAGTTGTTGCAAGAAGGAGCCAGAGTGGCTGCGATAGGTAGGCAAAGATACCACGGCACGGTCGATTACGATTAGCATCATCACGGGACAACTTGCCTCCCCAGCATCGGATTCTGTAGGTGGGTATAGAGGTGGGATCATTCTTTTGCAGGAACAATTGCATCCTGGACTGTTTCCTTCTAGCAAATAACCCTTAACGCCATGGCCGTTGTTTCAACTGTTTTTTTATTTCGTCACACGCAACTCTATGCCGCCGGATTGGTGGGAGCTTGCTCTTCCGTTCCTGGAGTCGGTTCGGCCGCTACTGGTGTGGTTTCGGGCTTGGCGTCCTCTACCTTTTTCTCTACGTCCTTGTCCGCATCGCCCTTGATGCCGTGAACAACACGCAGACCCTCAGCCTGTCTAGTCATTTCATCGAGCTCCCGCTTGCGTTGAAGCCGGACCTTAATCTCCTTAGCCATGTCAGACTGGGCGACAAGAATTCCCTCCTTCTCAGGGTGGCCATCCTGAAGTCCCATCTCCTTAATTTTGACTTTACCCGACGCGACTTCATCGTCACCAAGGAAAATGGCGAAGGGCACGCCGTTGGCCTCAGCGGCCTTAAACTGTGCAGGCAGCTTAGGCTTAACCTTGTAAAGAAACTCGGCCTATGGTATTGTGGTTAGTCTTCTGTTTGATGATGCGACAGGGCTCACGGTTCATGCTCAACATACCTTGATACCAGCCTCCCAAAGTTTAGCGCACACCGACATGCGTTCCTTTAGGAAACCCTTTCCAAAAGCCATGACGTAAACATCAACGTCGTTGTTGCGGACAGCAGCGTTCTTTTCGGCGGCCATCTTAGCCTTAGTGATAGAGAAGATTCTATCAACGCCGAAAGAAATGCCAACACAAGGGATTTGACTCTTGCCAGAGAACATGCCAACAAGGTTGTCGTACCGGCCACCAGCAGCTACGCTGCCTACACCGACCGTTGGGTCGTCAGAACGGTCGTCATCCTCAGATCCCTTCTTGCCCTTTTTCTTGGGAGGCTTGGAAGCCGCGTTCTCCTGTCCGGGTGTAACCTCAGGAGCAGAACCCTGCGTGACAACTTCGTAGATAAGTCCAGTATAATAATCAAGACCTCTGGCTAAGCTCAGATCGAAGGAAACTCGGTCCAGGCAGTCGAAGGCCTCCAGATACTCGAACAGAAGGGCAATGTCCTCCATACCCTGCTTCATAGACTCATTCGCAGCCAAACTCTCGGTGCTCTGGAGCTTCTGGAGCAGATCTTGCTTGCCCTTGAGAACAACCCACTCTCCAATTCGGTCGGCAACCTCGGCATCAAGTCCCTTCTCTTCGGTCATTTCCTTTCGCACGTCGGCCCATGGTAGCTTGTCGAGTTTGTCGACGGCCGAGGAGATGGTGCGGATCTTGTCTTCAGGAACTCCGCAGACCTGAAAGATGCCGTCGAGAATCTTTCGGTGGTTCAGCTTGATTGTGTATCCGCCGTTCCAACCAAGTCCCTCGAATACTTCTGTAATGATGCGGAGGACTTCGGCGTCGGGAAGCATGGGGTCGTAGGTGCCGGCAATGTCGAAATCGCACTGGTAGAATTCTCGCATACGGCCCTTGGTCATGGCGGGTTGATCTCGGCGGTAGACCTTGGCAATGTGATATCGCTTGATGTTCTGGATCTGCTTGTTCATGGCGAGGAAGCGGGCGAAAGGGACTGTCAAGTCATATCGCAGAGAGCAGATCTCACCACCTTGATCGGCAAGATCATAGATGAGCTTGCTGTCCTCTCCATATTTACCAGCGAGGATCTCTCTGAGCTCGAAAACAGGAGTGTCGATTGTGACTCCGCCGTGACGCTTGAAGACTTGGGTGATGGTGTTGAAGATGTGGTCACGAATGACCATGTCCTTTCCCTCCCCTTTGACGATGTCAGGGTCATGCAGTTAGATGACAGGCATACGCAATCGACTTACAGTCCTTTGTGCCCTTGGGCGTCTTGAGCTCGAACTTGGTCTTGGGCGCCATTTCTTCTGTTGTCTTGGAAGGCGGGAAGGTGGGGTCGATGGGTGAGGAAGTGAGAGAGGAAATGTAGCGGGGCTGAGAAAAGCCTGAGATGGAGGGGTTAAAGCTCTGTAGGTACCTCGAATGATGATACTGGCGGGAAGGGGCAAAGCAGGAAGGGGAAGGGGGGCAACAGCAGGCAGGTGCAAAGGTGGACAGTCTTGCTGCAGTTGTCAATGCTGATCTGGCCCAGGGCAATTTGGCTGAGGATGGCTTTGGCTTCATCCCTTAATCCTCTGATGGGAGGACGTGAGGCCCTCAGAGCGGATTGACGCTTTTGATATCCACTTCCAAAAAATGCCCGTCATGCGAGCGGCGGGACGAGCTACACTATGGGTATGCGTCACAAGAGTTTTTTTTGGGTTGGAGTCACAGCTTATCAAGTCAGTGAGTGACTGGAATCCGTCCAAGGAGAAAGCACCTGAAGACGCTGCCCGGTGGGGGCATTGTTTTACTGGTTGTAGCATGGGTTAGTTATGGGTAACCGACCTACGCACCGTAACTGGCTCACATCTGAACATACCATACCTAGTAGGTTAGGTGGCCGAAGACTTCACTCTATGCATCAGAGCTTAGAATCATACTATGTAGAGTCCGATTATAACCATGTATGGACTTGTAGTCACCTTTTGAGTACCTGGGAAAATATTGCAACTGTATCATAACAACGTGATCGACTAGTTCTGCGCAGTTTTCTGATCATACACCGATTAGCAACTGGGTGCTAACATTGACTCACAACAAGTATGACTTCGCCTATAGTGTCATGAATACCAGACTCATTTTGGAGGTTGGTCAATTTCTATCCATATACCAGGGTTGTTCATACAATAGAATGACACTCAATAACATAGGTAGTTGTCAATAATGGGTTTTGGTGTGTGGTATAGGGTAATTGCCTTTCTCCGTACTGTTAATATTATCGTGAAAAGGATATTAAACAGTCCGGAATAACTTTACTGATGACTTTAAATAGATATGAACTATTAATTCATTTACATAACTAAACCAATATAAGTGGTAATAACTCTAGTTATAATGCAGATGGTGTGTTTCATACTCAAACAAATGGAGTCACTCTCCTGAAATCAGTCGCGGTAGAAATCCAAATGAATCAGCAGACGAGAACTCAGCTTTCTACCGGGGCACCAACTGAGCTGGAAAAATTTACATAGTGCTGACTTGCGCACTAGGATCCGAGTCATAACTAGTCAGCGGTTCAGCCCTGGTAACTTAGTTCCTGTATCTTATACGAAACACGACGGATGCAAAAGCGTAGGAGCGGAGCGGAGCGTTACAGTGCAATCTGTTATGACCACGCGCTCGGGATCTAACGTCGATCCGAACCCGACAACTTATCCGTCTTACATGGTGGAAATTAGGAATATGGGGGCATACGCAGTGAAACTAACTAGGCGCTATTGGCTGGTTAAACTGGCCAGGTCAGTCAACCGAGTCCATGACGGTGTATTGAATACGTACTATGTACTCCGTAGTACGAGTGTTTATGCTATCGTGGCAGCTGCCTCGCCTCCATAGGCACGCGGAGAGTATTCGGTAGATTGATCATTATTGCACATTCAGCTTCATGTACTCTATCCGTGTACTCTGTTTCATTCGTAGGGGCCTGCGTGTGGCTACTTACTGTAAGCAAGATGAAGCTGACATTGACATTGACAAGACTCAAGTGGAATGTCTAATCAGAAAGAAAGTAGATGTTCAAAAGATCGAGTGCCAGTTCAATCTCAATTACAAGTCCACTTACGGATACAACCCTTTGTTTCTGTTCTTCCAGTCTCGGCCCTCTTAACTGTCAGGTCAATTTAAGGCCCTGTCGCGCTGCAAATCATCGCGTTCAAGTCCTCATTAGCGTCCACCGTATTTCGTATCAAACACCCCCGGCTCAGTGACATTTATCCATAGCTAAGGGTCTAGTCTTACTTGCCTCTTGGCGGGGGGTTTCAGTTGACGTTTGCCTGTCCCGTCGACGTTGACGTTTACGTTTAATACCTGCATAGTTCAATCATCGACAGTTCAGTTTCCTGAGCTACTGGTTCTTTCTCTCATCATATCCTTGCGGTTTCGCGCATGCATTTTCCAATCCTTCGTCCACCGCCAAGTAATGAGTGTCCTCTTTACTTGAATTGCTGTTTCCCTTTCCCCTTGTTTCTCATCTTCTCATCATTAGCATTGAACCTCCTTTCTGACTATACTCGCGCTAAGGCGCCAACGTCCCTTCGCCCATCATGACTACTGATCATGAGCCCATAACTGAGAAGCCTTCAGCCCCTTCTTCAAACCCTCACAATCAATCAACGCAAAAGACGAAAGAGGACAAACTGGAAACTAAAGTAAAAATACGGCCTGAGAGGACAGCCAACTTCAAAGATTATTTGGTTAGTAATATTGTCTCAATATCATAACTAGGTAGGCACATTTGCAGCGCACCACAGCTCTAACCTATGCAATTGACAGCGAATCTTTTCCTACGCTACAAAATGGGACTTCTTTGCGTATGCAGCTGGTTTTCTTGCCAGTGTTGGTGCCGGAGTGGTAAGTTTTTCTAATATGGCAGCTTTGTAAATATTATGATGGTTTACTGACACGCCGAAAGACGCTACCCTTGATGAATGTGGTATTTGGTAAGATTCATCCCGAAACATACACTCGAGAATAACTGATATCAAATATAGGACAGTTTGTGGGTAATTTCACAGACTACTTTTTGCCAGGCAGCACAGCAACTCAGAGCGATTTCAACCGTGATATTGATAAACTGGCGCTGTACATGTTCTTCCTATTTTTAGGTCGACTTGTTCTCAATTCCATCAATAAGGTAAGCAAGTTCTCTGCTAGAACGACTCCAGATGGAAGCTAAAATCGATACTACAGTTTGTCTTTCGAATGATAGGGATAAGGCTATCATCTGCCATCAGGCTTCACTACCTGCAAAGACTGTTCGGACAGTCTATCCATGTACTCGACTCAATGCCCCCGGGTTATGCTACGGGCACTATCACTTCTACAGCCAATGTCCTGCAGCTTGGCATATCCGAAAAGCTGGGTATCTTTGTCGAATACAACTCAACTATCGTGGCTGCGGTTGTTGTGGCCTTCGTGAAGAATTGGTCCCTTACACTGGTCACGTCTTCCATCATTCTGTATCTCTTCCTGGTTCTAGGCACATTTTTGCCCATGATTCTCAAGGTCAACGCACAAATCACAAAGGTTAGAACCCAGATAACTCGAGCATTGACTGTAGCTGAACAAATGATTAGGCAGAGGGCAGAGCCGGTGCAGTCGCCAGCGAAGCGTTGGCAAGTGTTCGAATGGTAGCCGCATGCGGTGCAGAATCACGTATATCCAAGAAATACGCTGCGTTTGTGGAAGAAACCAGACAGCACGGCAAGCTTCTTTCTCCCCTTATTGGCGGACAACTTGGCTTCGTTGTAAGTCTACTCGACAGTAAAACTACCCCTCGGCCACTGACAGAGATAGTTCTTTGGGCTATATTCAGGGTTCGCCTTGTGCTTTTGGTTTGGCGCCAAGTCCTATTCCGAAGGCAGATTAGACAATGTTGGAGATGTCCTCGTGTAAGCAGACTCATCGTATCCAATCCTCCCATACTAACCAATGCAGCGTCTTGCTTTCTGTCATGATTGTCGTTCTTTCCCTCGAACGCACATCTACTCCACTGATTGCTATTGGAAAAGCCACTGTTGCAGCATGCGAATTCTTCGTCGTCATCGACGCACCGCAGCCTGAGAAAGGGCACTTGAAGGACCCCGATGTGTCATCAACGCAGGACATCGTGTTTGAGAACGTCACCTTCGCATACCCTAGCAGGCCTCATGTGAAAGTACTGGATGGACTGAACCTGCGCATTGAAGCCGGAAAGATCAATGCCGTGGTTGGGCCATCTGGTTCGGGTAAAAGCACAATCGTGGGGTTGATTCAAAGATGGTACACTCTTCAAGATCAACACGTGTTGGCAAAAGTGATTGAGAAAGAGAAGGAAAAGGGCGGGAAAAAGGAGAAGAAGAACGAGCAAGAGGAGGATGACGACCCGACCAGTTCAGCTGGCTCGGAACCTGAAGAAACTGGACCTCCTATCGAGGTCTCCGGTCGACTTTCCACGTCGGGACAGCTTCTGGACGATATCGAGTTGAAATGGTGGAGGTCTCAGATCGGACTCGTTCAGCAGGAGCCGTTCCTCTTTAACGATACGATTTACAAGAACGTCGCATACGGCCTGATCGGAACTCCTTGGGCAGATGAGCCCGAAGAAAAGAAGAGGGAACTGGTAAAGGAAGCATGTCGAGAAGCATTTGCCGATGAATTCATCGATAGGTTGCCTGATGTGAGTTATGGCTGAGTCTTATTGAAAACGTGTACTAATATGTGCCAAGGGACTGGACACACCTGTCGGTGATAGTGGTGCCAAACTCTCCGGTGGGCAAAGGCAGCGACTAGCGATTGCACGATCAATTGTGCGAAAGCCGAGTATTCTCATCTTGGACGAAGCTACGAGTGCTATTGATGTTCGTGGTGAACGAATTGTTCAGGCAGCCCTCGATAGAGTTTCGGAGAACAGGACCACGATTACAATCGCCCATCGACTATCCACTATCAAGAAGGCAGACCGTATCATCGTCCTGAAGAAGGGAAACGTTGTGGAATCAGGTACACATGACAGCCTCATCGCCATGGATGGTGGTGTCTACTCTGGCCTAGTTCACGCCCAATCTCTATCACTCGGAGAACCCACCGAAGCAGGATATGAGTCGACGGAACCGGAGGATAAACCTGCGTTGGCTACTGTTCAAAGCCTTGCACCTTCTGAGACCAACATGAATCAGGAGGCCCCCAAAGATAAGCTAGGAAACCTTTACACAAGCTTCGCTCGGTTGTTTATAGAGTCGAGGAATGTCTGGCCAGCATTTGGCCTGACCCTCTTCGCTGCAGCCTGTGTCGGAGCCGGAGTGCCATTGCAAGCCTGGATTTTTGGAAAAATCATCGTCTCTTTTAATACCATCAGCACTGACTCGAGTCTGTCCGATAGCAACTTCTGGTCCCTAATGTTTGTTATCCTGGCAATAGGCGTGGGAGTAAGCTACTTTACAGTGGTTTTTGTTGCAACTCGCATGTCAGCAACAGTTCGGGCCAAGTATCAACAACAGTACTTTGATGCTGTGATGTTCCAGAAGACTTCATTCTTTGACCACGAAGATCACTCTCACGGTACAATGACATCCAGACTGGGTACTGACCCAAAGCAACTGGAGGAGATGATGGGGCTGAACATGGCGAGTGTCTTCGTTGCCCTTTTCAACGTGATAGGGGCAATCACCATCGCCTTCTCATTCACTTGGAAGCTCGCCATTGTCTCATGCTGTGTTGTTTTGCCAGTAATGGTTACATCCGCTTACTGGCGCTTCAAGTACGAGTTAGCGTTCGAAAAGATGAACAACGACGTCTTTGCCGAGAGCTCCAAGTTTGCGTCAGAGTCCATTGGCGCATTCAGGACCGTCACGTCCTTGACACTGGAGGATTCAATCTACCAGCGGTACCAGACTCTTCTGAACGAACACGTCTCATCAGCCTACAAAAAGGCTAGATGGGTGAGTATCCTCTTTGGCTTTTCTGATAGCGCCAGCATGGCCTGTCAAGCGTTGAACTTCTGGTGGGGTGGTCGCCTTCTAGGAAGATACGAAATTGGCCTAGTAGCGTTCTTTGTGTGTTTCAGTAAGTAACTTCATAAGTTGGCTCTGCTATTTGTGTTGAAGAGCTGGGTTGATCAGACTAACATTATCACAGTGGCCATCACCAATGGTAGCGAAGCAGCCGGGCAAGCTTTGGGCTTTGGTCCTAATGCCGCTCTTAGCTCAGCAGCTGCCAATCGTATCTTGAATATGAGAGAAAGTAGGCCTCATGATAAAGTGACTACCTCACAGGAAATCCCAGACACAGACGGTGGTATGTCGATCGAGCTGGATAACATCTACTTCAAGTACCCAACTAGGAGCACATCTGTATTCAAGGGTTTGAGTCTCAAGATCGAGAAAGGGCAGTTTGCTGCCCTAGTCGGCGCATCTGGCTGCGGCAAGACTTCCATTGTGTCCTTGATGGAAAGGTAAGACGACTTGGTATACGCGTTCTCGCTGAGCCGATACTAACATGAACAGATTCTATGACCTGGACAAGGGTCGAATTCTTCTTAATGGCAAAGACGCCACCGATATCAACCTGTATGAGTACCGAAAGTACTTCTCTCTTGTTGCTCAGGAAGCGACCCTCTTCCAAGGTACACTGAGAGAGAACATCCTCCTCGGAGTCGACCCTTCGTCTGTAACAGACGAGCAGTTGCACCGGGCGTGCCGTGATGCTTCTATCCATGAATTTATTGTGTCCCTACCAGAGGGCTATAATACCAACATTGGATCTCGCGGTGTGTCGCTCTCAGGCGGTCAGAAGCAGCGCGTAGCCATTGCTCGTGCTCTTATCCGTGACCCCAAGGTCCTTCTACTTGACGAGGCCACGAGTTCACTTGATTCTGAAAGTGAGAAGTTGGTACAAGCAGCATTTGAACGAGCCAGCGAAGGACGCACGATGCTTGTGGTAGCACATCGACTGGCCACAGTGCAGAATGCGGATGTAATCTTTGTGCTAGGAGACGGACAGCTGTTGGAGCAAGGCAGTCATGTAGAGTTGCTGAAGAAGCGAGGTGTCTACTGGCATATGGTAAGCTGCTTGCTCGTTGATTTAACACTTTCATTCCGGTCGCTAATTTTTATTTTGCAGTGTCAAAGTCAAGCCTTGGATCGTTAAGAGTGATATTTATTAAGGAATGCGCTGTTAGTAACATATGGCTTATAAGTCGCATATATATAAGAGACGGATGGAAATTATCATAAGCTCAAATGCTCTCTACTCTGCTCTATTCTCTATTCTCAGCATCATGATTGGCACAAGTTGAATCGACTTGTGACAACTCAACTCCCTGCTCTCGCTAGCTCTATCCAGCAAACCCGCTTCATATACGAGCCTAATTGAGGTAGAAACAAATCGTTACAACATACGAGATATAAGAAGAAGATATTGCATATAAATGACTATTCCTTGGTTGCCCACATGTCATTAATCTCGCGAAGTATATCCTGGGGATGAGTCATGACAAAGTCATGACTGCCAGGTAGGACGCGCCAGCGCACGTGGTCCTCGCCACCAATGAGAGAGAGTGCCTCCTTACGATAATCAACTGCGCTGATAATCTCGTCGGAGGTGGCCAATAGAACGGCGGTAGTGCCAGGTGCGCGCATAGATAGCTTGGCCCAGGCATCGTGCTGTTCCATTAGGGGCGCAAAACGAATGCTTGACATGAAAGCTGGGACGAAACCGTTGTGGTGAGTGACCATCCAGCGCACGTATTCCATAACACGATGCTCCAGCGGCGTAACGGCCGCGCCTGATACTGGAACTACTTCTGCCTCTGCGACGTTGAGCGTCGGCGTGGCGATAGTATCAACGGGTGTCTCTCGAGCTGGTCTCGCTGAGGCGGCGATGGGCTTCTGAAGACGACGTCGCGTAGCGATAGCGAGAAGACGCTCGGGAACGAGACCAGAGACGAACAGGAAGCGAGAGACACGACCAAAAGAGGCAGCGCGGATAAGACCTGCGGGGGCGAGAAGGACGAGATCGCGTACAAGATGTGGAAAGGCGTTTGCAAAGTGAATAGCGATGCCACCACCAAGAGAGTAGCCCACAAGGCGGAAGCCGTTTGTGCCGGTCCATGCGAGAGGGCTAGATGCCAGGACCATAAGCATTTGGGAGACATAGAGACGAGCGTCGTGGGGGATGTCAGCTACACCATCAGAGAAGCCACGGCCAAAGAGATCCTTGGGATATGTCAGTTGAAATGCGCGAGTAGATAGTCGATAATCTTACAAAGAGCATGATACGATAGCCTCGTTTTGCAAGAGCAAGAGCTATTGGAGCAAGAGTGACGCATGGAGTGCTGATGCCATGGACAAAGAGGACCTTCTCGCCCTCCTCAGGACCAAACTCGTAGACACGGATACTTCCATACTAAAATGATAGGTTAGCACGGGCATGTCTAAGTATGAGACATGGGGGGATATAGTCACTGGGGTTTCAACATCGCGAGCTCCAGGGAACTGATCCGGTTGATACACGAGATTCTTCACTTTATCGGCATTGCTTTTGTCATAGACGCCCTCTTTGAGCGGATTGCGTAGGGTCTTTGGTTGAACCGGGTACAGAAGTGTGCGAGCAAGGGCGAGAAATACAATCGTCGAGAAGACAGTTGTCGTCACCACGAGGGCAATCGAAGTATCCTGAGATGCCATCTTCGCAGGTAGTTAAAGTATGAGGAGTGCTAAGAGTTGAGAGTCGAAGAGTGGCTGAGAGGAAGAAATAAAGCCACCCTCGTCAGGTTAACTGTGTATCACGCCTAAGACAAAAATGCAGCCACTCTAATCAAGCGTCGTTACTCAGCAAGTGATAATATTTTTTTGTCTGGCCTATACGGGTAAGCTAGTGGCTTGAGAAGAACAGGACAATGGATGAGAGAAATAAGAGAATGAATACAATAACGATATGAGGAGTAGGTTTGAGGGACAATATCACTGTCCTATCCCAAACTCTCGCCTATTAAGCTCCCGGAGTCCCGCCTATGCCGGCGCCAAATATCCACTTTTGAACCTCGGGCTTGCTTTACCTACCGATGATAAATGAATCTATTAACTTAAGACTGGCTTGTATCGTTGAATACCAATATTTATACCTAATTTAGCTTCTTCAGTTAACGTAGAGTATGAGACTTTTAATGGATGTAAGACAGTTGTTTGCAAGAGTACAATATCATGGTAAGCATCTCGTCTTGGTTGTCATGCTTGGAAGAGGCAATGGCCAACTTGGTTGGATACAAACGCACCTGTACAATACATATTTACCTCACAGTACCATCCAGCCAAGCACGACTAGCACTTATTCATGGGGGGATTGAATATAAAATATTGACATAGCTAACGTTTACGCCTGCGTGGTCCCGTAGTCAAAGATAGCCTTTTTAGTCGTAGATGTCCAACCTCCAGTCTCCATCCCATCTTTAACAAAGGAGTCAAGAACGATATTGTCCAAACTCGGACACAAGTTATCCTGTTGCTGAGACGAGAGTGTCATGCTTGTGACGAGTGTCCTTTACTGCCCCATCACTGGCTTGTTCTGCCTTTCCTCGTCCCAGGTTTGGCCGCTTTCTCCTCATCAACTGCATGCATCGCATTGTTGTTTAGTCCTTTTTGCCATCGTTATCTTCATCTTCATTTCCATCTTCGTCTCCGCCTTGGGCCTGGGTTCCGGCCACACCACCAGCAGCGACCAGTGCACCAACTGCTTGGACAACAGTGTGCACTGCGGCGACACCATAGCCTCCAGCGCCAGCAGATTGAAGGGTTGCGAAGATGCCCGGGGCGACTACGCTGCCTATTCCGCTCTGAATACCAGCAGCGGCCGAGCCTGAGAAGTCAGTAAACGGATCGAGACACGGAACCACTTCCAAGGACTGACCTGCAGTGATACCAGCGGCACCAAAGCCGAGAGCACCGAGCAGTGGCCCGGCAACAAGAGCAGGAACTGCGACGACAGCAACTCCGACAACTATGGCAGCTGCACTGCCTGTATTATTGAGACTAGGCATTTTCTTGGCTTAAAACTGGGAGTACTATCAGTAAGCAGCTCTCGCAGGTCAATCTGCAACTTACTTGAGAGACAAGAGGCCGAATATTTTAGGATGAAATAACTCCGTTTATCAAGAGATGTGATACTAATGAGCTTGTCAGAAAAAAAAAAGTAAGAACATAAAAACAAGGTGGTGGTATAAGAAGGCAAGGCCAGTCACTGTGAATCATGCAAACATGGCCAACACCGGCCAACACTGGCCAACCACTGGCCTTGATACTGGCCAGGCATCGAATGGAAGGTTGTTTCTCATAGGTCTTTGATACAGTTACCATGCATGTAAGCAGTCTGAGACATGGAAGAAGAATGTTAGATAACAAACCATTGAATGAATGAATCCTTCAAAGCCATCGTGTTTCAAGACCCCAGCTGGCTATCACTTTGACGACTTCACCATAGCACAAAGACAACCAAGACCTATACCCTACAACCTGCACCTTACGTCTACTTCATATGCTCACCTGGAGATAGTTTGCAGATCTCATGATAGATAAATGTTTTCCCAAGCGATTACTGTCTCTTGACACACCATACTCGACAGTTCGACCAGATCTCATGTCCATGATGATGAAAATTAGAAGCTCAGGTTCTCATCAAATATAAAAGGTTCGGCCGCGTGGCCTAATGGCTAAGGCGCTAGATTTCGGTTCACCGTCATCCCATTCTCTAGAGATTCCAGGTTCGAATCCTGGCGTGGTCGGTTATCTGTTCAGACGATCTTTTTGCGAGTTGTGTGGACCGGATGTTCTTTTTGTTCCTTAGTTACCTATTCAGGGTAGCAAGACATGTAAATTATCAACCGCCAATCGCGGCGAATGAATTAGCTGATTATGTTTTTAGTACATGTCGCGGACATGTCTAATGGATTAACCATCGCTATACTCAGATAAATGGATAGTCTGAGTGCATTCGACCTCCAGGCTCGTAGAGTCATTCCTGGTCAGTCTGCGTTTCTTTCCCCGTCACCAACAACTAACTACTAAGGTACCTACGTAGTAATTCCTATAACCAATTCTTGACGTTTTAATCGGGAGTAGTCCCGACTGTGCCTTATAAACCCCACGATCCGCAGCCGGCCCCGGCCTGTATGTACGTAAATTGGCCCAGCTGCCGGCTCCGAAAGCGGGACTCTACTGCGGCTACGTTAGCTTATCGTCGCGTTTAATCAAGCCTTCCCCTCCACCGGCTTTTTTTTGTCCCACGTCGTGGTCATTCGGGCATTTCGAGTCCACAGGAGCCCTCTCTCTAGCGGTGAATTGCTTAATTCGATCTTCTTTTAGTTCAACCAGGGCCTCCTTTGTTTCCCTCTCCAGCCGCCATCTTGCTCGCGAATACCTCCTTCGTTATCTCGAACCCGACGACTCTCCGGTCATATCCATACCCAGAACATGTCGGCCTCGCTACCAGGCGCGCGGGAGCTCCCAGCTTCCCAGTATGACCTAGGAACTTATATGGGACGGGTGCGCCATACCATGGGCCTCACAGACCCCTCGTAAGTCCAATTGCTGAGCTTCGGGACCTCAGGTATTGTGACTTGACTTGAGCTGACCATGCCGGCGCAATCTCCAGAACTCTCTTCGCGGGCAAGACCGGACTCGAAGCGGCCAAGAAGATGGTAACCGACTATAAGACGGGCAAGGTTGAGCACATGTCACCCGCGCTGTGGCATGCGAAGAAGGTCGTCGACTCTACGCTGCACCCTGGTATATAGGCCCTGGCAGACAAGTGCGATCGTGACACCAGCTGACGAGATACCGTGCAACAGACACCGGCGAGCCCGTTCTCTTTCCCTTCCGAATGTCCTGCTATGTCTTGACCAACCTTGTCGTTACTGCTGGCATGCTTCAGCCTGGCATGGGCACAGTTGGCATTGTGGGCTGGCAAGTCTTCAACCAGTCCCTCAACGTCGCCTTCAACACCGCCAATGGCAACAAGTCTTCTCCGATGTCGACCGAGGTCATGATCAAGTCTTACCTCTCCGCTGTCGGAGCCTCTTGCTCCGTCGCCCTCGGCCTCAACGCTGTTGTTCCTCGACTTAACGTCACACCCTCTACCCGCAACATCCTCGGTCGACTCATCCCCTTCGCTGCGGTCGCCACGGCTGCCGGTCTCAACACCTATCTTATGCGCCGCGACGAGATCGTCAAAGGTATCGATGTTCGGCCTGTGCTTTCGGAAGAGGATAAGCAGAAGCTCATCGCTGAGGGAAAGTCTGAACGAGATGTCTCCTCGCTGGGCAAATCTCAAGCTGCTGCCAGGCTTGCTGTTTACCAGACCGCAGCCAGTCGAGTCTTCACTGCATCCCCCATCATGGTTCTTCCTCCCATGGTCCTGTACTATATCGAGAGTAAGCAAGCTTGGTACAAGAACCTTATGCAGAAGGAGTGGGTGCGATCACGACCAGCACTGGTCAGGGGCATTCCCTTGGGCATCAACCTTAGTCTGATTGCCCTCACCTCCTTCGCTGTCCTTCCTTTCGCTCTCGCTGTCTTCCCCCAGCATCAAGAGGTCAGCGCAGAGTCGCTCGAGCCTGAGTTCCACGGCAAAGGAGGTAAGGATGGTAAGGTCATTTTCAACCGTGGCCTATGAAAAGACACTATATCCTAACATATGAACCGAGCCGAGCTTGGTAGTCGCGAGAGTGAAGAAGGCATTGGCCCAGCCGCTGCGGTTATAGAGCTATCTCAACACAAGGATGGCTGTCCACAACATTTTGGGAAGGTTGTTACACTTGGCCATTTAGCCAAGGAAAATCCCCGGTGATGCTCGAAAGAGACAAAGGGGTAAAAGTCGAACCCTCGATTGATGGAGATCGAGAGATAGTGAGAATCAAAACGACGGCGTTCCCTAAAACAGATCAAGGATATTGACGATTCAAGGTTGTGCCGGAACTGAAACGGTACGGGTATACTGAAACTCAAAAGAACAGGTTTCCAGCCTTCTCATGCTATTCGATAGAGCTTAGAGCTAGACTTGTTTGTATTATTGGCAATCATATGGATGATTTCGTACCTGATCACTTCAAGTGTCAACTAGTTATTGTATACAATGTGATCGAACCTTAGGTGATATCGGCAGTAACTCTGGGAATGGGCATTCAATGATTAGCCGATCGCAACATGTGTCTAACTCTGCTGGACCAGTACTGCATATAAACCTGGAGAGACAGCAACGCTCAGTTACAGCCAAGCAATACTGTTATCAGATGGTAGCTGAGCCTTTGTAGGGAGGGTTTGATTCTTCTGTCGCCAACAAGAGCGGACAGTTAGTCAGACTGTCGTTACTGAGATCGACGGAGCTACAGCTGGATGGCACGCTTGTATCGGTCACAAGAATGAAACCGGGCAAATAGCAGGATTACATATCCTATGACAAGAAAAGCGATGGATGTGGGCTGTACACCAGGCAAGGCCAAAATGTTGCGTGATATCGTCTCCATAAGAATGTTCGTGTTCAGGGAGAGTGACTATTCCATGTGACTTGGTTTGGCACAGGAGGTCTGGGTTAGTCTGGGTAGACGTCACATTTGGTGACGATTCCCAGTGGGGGGTATGTGTTGGCTTGCAATAGCCTTGGATAGCGTAGAAGCAGAAGGGAACACTCCTGAGACTTTTAAAGACAAGGCCAGAGAGGAACTTTTGAGCTTAGAGTACCTCAGATGCTGCCTCCCAAGTAAAGCAGTCAGAGTCTGACTGAACAGTCAGTTTGCCCAATCTGGGAATTTGATCAAAGGGTGCCTCCGGCTACTGTGTCGGCAGTAGAACTACTACGTAGTATCAACAGCATGGTTAAGTGTGTGCTGTAGTTCATAGCCAGCCAACGAATTGTCGTAAATCCACGATCCCCATCATTGGCTATAGCGCGCAGCAGACTGTCGTTGGGTGGGGAGTTGCTAGTAGTCGAATCCACTCAGGTGGGTAGCAAAATAACCGGCACACTGAAGCTCTTTTACCATATAAAGTTAGGTGTAAAGACACAATAAACTCGTCAGATTTAGGAAGAATCTCAACTAAACTTTTCTGTCAACTCGGCCTGGTGTGCGGATTTTATTGCGACCTACCTGCCACTGTATACAATACGAAGTTACGTACTGTCTCTTCTTGAAGATCAGCAGTGCACATTGAAACCAACAGAGAGGTTCACCAACATGTGAAGATGTCAGAGGTATCGTCAATTCAAGGTATTTGAACCTTCACGTTGAACATAGGTTAAGCGTGAGGATGCTATCCGTATATTGCTCAGGCTCGAGTCTGCGGTGGAGCGTGCCCCATGTCAAACATCGCTGGGGTCAGATTTAACCAGAGGTGGAGGTCGGATTCGTCGCCGAGGCGGGAGGCAGGCATGTGCCGCAAGAGTACCGTATGAGAAGGCGTGCGTGTGAATACTATCAAGGAAACGTATCTCGAAACTCGGTATACCAATATCGAGGCCAGCCATCGAAAGCTGTATTTGGGTCTGGCTTGAATGATACCTGGACTTGAAATTACTTACTACGTGTTGTGACCTGCTGCTGGTGTGGTAGCAGCTGTTTTGTTTTGAGATGCAGAGCTGGTACAGTTTGTCTGCCTGAAAGGCCATGGCTGCAACAAATGATGTCGGAGATGACTGAGCCTCTCATCAGCCCAAGACAATGGGCCAGGTAAAAGTCCGGACAGTGCCCACTGGAAAGTGACTGTCGTGCAGGAGTGTGGTGAGAGGCTCTCTGGAACAGCGGCGGCCAGTCGACGGCCAAAGGCCTGGAACTCTGAACCACTCGAGAGTCGAAACGGGCTTGGTGGCATCCCCTCTCTACAAGTGTGGGGTCCCTTGTTATCCAGGGTCTAAAAAGGCTGAGACGGCGGACAGTCTGCGATGGAAGTTGACTTCTCGCAGCCACAGCAGGCAATTATGAAAACAAGCTGAGTACGATAATAGGGGGAACAGAATAGCGGCACATGCAGTGCTGCCATCGGTTTACCTCTCTACCTCCTTTTCTTTTCCCTTGGGACATTTGCTCGATATGAGGTGAGAGCGAAGAACAAGTTGGTCAAGTCGCAACATAAAAGGCACGGGGTTGCCAGAGGATCGAGGGCTAAAAGGCCCACCACCATCGTCACCTTGCCCTGGGGCGAAATGCGTACCAGATCTGATGCTTTTTAGGTAGGTCAGTTGGCACGTAGGTACCTACCTAGACTCGCCCAGACGGTTTAGAGCTGAACTCTCTTCCGAGCGGTAGAGGGACCAACGGGCAAACCGAAGCGTAATTACAACGCGTTCCTGACTTGACTGAACAGGCGTTTTTTCTCCAGTGCAAAAAGAAAGGGACATGTACAAGAAGTCCACGCCTCCTTTGACGTTCATACTCGGAAAACGTGCATATCTAGGTACTAACCTACCCAAGTACTAAGGTAGAGTGGGTGGGTTTCTGTGTTTCTGTATCCGTAGGTAGGGTCGCGTTTATTAGGTATGGCTGTCCTGCAGATGGCACTCTAATGACGTTATCCGACATAACCTTTTGCAGAAGGGACTTTCTGTGCTCCGTACTGTTTGATGTTATCAACCGGTCGAAGATAAGAGAGACATATGTCAAACTCAACGACAGGAAAAGCTTAAGCGGTGTTCCTCCCATTTGTGAGCGGGTGCCTTAATTGTGAAGAAGTACGGAGTACGCGTTTGCATTTTATGTTTATTTGTTTCTATATGCGGATTCAGCTTGGGGAGTCAGGGCAGAAACGACTATCGCGTTAGGTACTCCTATCATGGAACCTCCGAGGTATCATTGGGTGCAAAAGAGAGCTAGAATGATCCGGTGATTCGAGATGTGTACTTGTGGGTCGGTGCCTTTGTTGTACCTGCGGCAGCCGTCAGAAATGGGTCTTTCTTTCTACTAATCATGACAGCGCCAGAGCGCCTAGGAGCGCGCCCTGAGATCAGTCAATAATGGAGTGCAAGTTGGTCGATAATGAGGATCAAATCAGAAAAGTTGAAACAATGGAGCACCTAAACCAACCCCATTGCCAAACAGTATTCCACATTATAGATGTGTGCGTGTAATTCCAACTCTTCCAGGCTATCATTTGAAATGAATTATGAGTATCCGTGTGATTAATTCTGTTCTCAAACCCTTCGTTATGGGCCTGCGACTAGCAGCGGTACCTAGGTAGGCATGGACGTCACTTACTGGCCCATGCCCTTCCTCACACTTGTTTGAATGATTTATTCTGAGCAAAACAGCCAGTCTAGGACCATCTAGCGACATTACTACATCCAGTGCTCAAATACAACAATCTACCTGGGTAGGCTACGTAGCTTCAGACACTGATTCCCTGGCTTCTAATGATGGGGTATCCCTACAGGCTACGCGATCAAATTGGATTTATCCATGCGATATGCTGCAGCAGTGCGATTGTTATTTCACGGTCCTCGGACGTTGACATGCGGACCTCTTGTGCCCTGCGTATTACGGAGTAGTTCAAGTTCTCACTTCTCGCTCGGCCGGGTCATCTTCCCCTTCTTGTCACCCTGTGGCCTGTGTGATGTGTGAAGGGTGAAGTGATGGACCCTGGCTTTTCTTACTACCCTGAACCGCCGAATCGCGACGCCACCCATCCAACCTAACAAAGTCCCAGGATGTGCGCATCTATATATTTGTGTGTTCCACTGGAATTCCGCCTCTTGTTAACCCCAAAATCGTAATCCGAGAGAGAGGGGACTAGACACAACACAATATGACATGAGTGACAAATCCACTCCTCAATGGGGGTTTGTTGAAGATGACGCCAAAAATACTTGCTACCACTAGACGTCACCGCTATAGAGGATGTACCCAAAAAAATGAATCTCTCTGGCCAGACCAAGTCACCAAACGTCACCCAGGATGGATCCCTCTCTAGTCTGTGTCCGTCCCATTATCTCCCGACCACCCAGTAACTTTGGCCAACGCTTTTTCCAAGACAAATGGATGCCCGTGACGCCTTCAACCGGGCTTGGGCAAATTCGTGAAATCACTCCACTCATCAACTCAACCGAATGGATGCTCGCCTTCTTTTCGCTACTAGGTTCCTCTCCTATGGACGTATTGCCCTCGTCTCTTGTTTTGATCTCCACACTCTCAGTCTTTTGAGAGAAAAGTAAGCCTGAATCAAGCACAGCACAAAACTACTTGTCCCGTACTCGGTAGGGCCCGCTCACAGTGCTTCTCAGGTCTTTATCCACTGAGCCTATCCCCCAGCACGCCCGCTGAGGCTGCAGTACTGCCCTGTGTCCTGCCCTGTCACCACCACCCCATTTTACTAGGTGCGCAGTTCCAGTGCTCTCTTTTCCAGGTTCCGCACCTACCTCCAGCGCTCCTCCCTCCACCCTCACCACCACGGAAATGGAAGCCATCCATCGTCCGCCAAACCACTAAGAACGCCCCCAGGTTCCCTACCCCAGCTCCCGTTCCATTTCGCCTCTCTTTGCTCGTCGGTGTTTCTCCTCCACTTCACTCACGACCACAACCACGACGTACTCGTACATACATGAGCCTGGAGAGAACCCTTATATTCGAATCGCCTCGACGATTTGCTCGGTCTCCTGTACCGTTCGATACGGCACATTTGCACATATCTCGTTTTTGTTCTTCGTGATCGCTACTTCTGACGCTTGAGCCCTTGGTGGCTTTGCCTTCCCTCATCATGTCAACACCTACGACGGCCACGGCCACGGTTCCGCATTACCATCCTCACCATTATCCTCAATCATACACGCATTCGCATACGCATCACCAGACCTATCAGCCAAATCCCGCCGCCAATTTTCGTTCGGCTGCTTCGAACCAGAATATCCTACCTCCTCCGGTTTCTTCGGCCGTGTCGCCCTCTCACAGTGCCATTCTCCCTCCTCCTTACCAGCTCTCACCTTTGGCATACTCATCGTCGGGCTCGAATGGAATGGGATTGACACACTCGTCAAATTCTCGCCCTGCACATCACGCCCAGGAACCCAGTCCGCGAAACGACGCGGCTTATTCTGTTGGCAGCATGGCTGAGTCTGCCGCTACTTCCACCGCGGAGCAGCCTTCGAGAAAGCGTCGACGCTCCCGAGAGCCCGACTGGTCCACCTTCTACAAAAATGGCCTTCCAAAGGAAATTATCGTCATTGACGATACACCTGAGCCTGAAGCCAATACTAGCCGAAAACTCACGAATAGCACTGCTGTCGCGCCCAGCGATAACACGACCCGTCAGGTGGCCAAGAAGAGGAGAAGAGAAGATGAGTCTGGCACTGTCCAGGCCTCGGGTTACCACATTAAATATATGGAATCACAAAAGAATACCCCGTTGCAGATGTCAACGCCAGCGGGCTCATCCAATTCCAGCAGCGACCGCAACAATTCTGCCCTTAACACCACTGCACCCACTTCGCTGTCTTCCAATGGCCAGTACGAGGAGACGCAGGCTCCCCTCAAGCGGAAGCGCACCCGTCAGCAGGTGGCTAACGAAGCCAAACGTCGCGACGTAGATGGCCTTGGGGACATCTTTACCTATAAGCCTCCACCATACCCTCCCAAGAAGGCAGGAGAGGTTAATGTTCAGGTCATCCATGACGTGAGTTCTCACTCCAAATTGTTCCAATACTTCGACGTGATTGCTGACAACCAGATAGCGACACTACAACAAGAATGTCAAAGTTGATGATGATGATGGCCATTACATTGTTGTTCCCGATGCTGAACTCACGGAGAAGTGTAAGTAACGTTCACAACCGTCTTTTCAACTCAATCGCTAATAGGGTTTCACAGACCAGATTGTCCGACTTCTTGGCCAAGGTACCTTTGGCAAAGTCGTCGAAGCCCGCGATCGTAAACGCAACAAGGCTGTTGCTGTCAAGATCATTCGATCAGTACAGAAATACCGGGATGCATCAAGAATTGAACTTCGCGTTCTCGAAACCCTCAAACGAAATGACGAGGAGAACCGTAATCGATGCATCCATTTACGAGATTGTTTCGATTATCGCGGCCATATTTGTATTGTCATGGACTTGCTTGACCAGAGCGTCTTCGACTTCCTAAAGGGCAACGGTTTTGTTCCTTTCCCAAACAGCCAGATCCAGAGCTTTGCTCGTCAGCTTTTCACCAGTGTTGCTTGTAAGTACTGTTAATAAACCTCAGTCGACCACGCACTAACCCGGTTTAGTTTTGCATGATCTCAACTTGATCCATACCGATCTTAAGCCTGAGAACATCTTGCTCTGCGACCACTCGTACCAGACCTTCACTTATAACCGCAAGATTCCTTCGTCCTCGACTACCATCAACCGACAGGCTACACAACGCCGTGTCCTGTTGGACACTGAGATTCGGCTGATCGACTTCGGCTCTGCTACATTCCAAGACGAGTATCATTCTTCTGTGGTTTCGACACGCCATTACCGCGCACCGGAGATTATTTTGGGTCTTGGTTGGTCATTCCCTTGCGATATTTGGAGCATAGGATGCATCCTTGTCGAATTCTTTACTGGTGATGCGCTTTTCCAGACCCACGATAACCTCGAGCATCTGGCTATGATGGAGGCAGTCGTTGGATCACGAATCGATAGCCATCTTGTCCAATCTGTGAATAAGATGTCAACGCGAAGTGGTGGCAATGCCGCTTCGAAGTAAGTCTTTTCCTCGAAGCCCCTCTGTACACACACTCATACTTTTTAGGTATTTCAAACGTCTTAGGCTCGATTATCCTACACAAGACACGACTCGCGGCTCCCGTCGCTTTGTAAAGGCGATGAAGCACCTTGATGTAAGCACCTGCTGCCTCACCTGATATGACTCAGGCTAACATACCATAGCAAATCATCCCTGGAAATAACACTTTCCTCAAGAATTTTGTCGATCTGCTTAAGAGGATCTTCGTATATGATCCTGCCCATCGCATTACTGCCAAGCAAGCGTTGCAGCATCCTTGGCTCAAAGAACTGGCTCAGCCTGACGATGGCACCGAGGCGGCTAAAATCCGCCAGGAGCGGCTACGAATGGAGCAATATGCCCAGAACCCGAGACATCAAAATGTCCGAAGTTGATGACACTGGTCTGATACCCTGCTAACGACACATGAGCATGATCAAGGAGTTCTGGTTTCCTAAGGCGTTGCAGCGAAGGGATAGGTATCGACGAAGGGAAAGGACTGTCTGATGCCAACCCAATTTTGCTATTGTATTTTAGTGTCACAGCCGCCATATTTTCTCGTCACCTTTTCTGTTTATACTGGGAGTTATCGCTGGCGGTTGGTATCCTACGCAACGCTACGACTGGAAGGACTGGTGCATTTCGATGGAAGGCGTTTAGGGGCCCATTTGGCTCCCGCAATATCTGAACAAACCATACTGTTCATCTCGTTCCCTTTGTCAGAACAAAATAAAATCGGACAAATGTTCCACGAGAACCATGTTTCACCACGATCGGACGATTAATGGATTCACCCAGCCATTACACCATCTATGTTTGCGGATAGTTATTGGCTTCCTGTTTGAGCTGTCACTTCATGCCTTAGCTCTCTACCGGAACTGTTTCCGGTATGCCACAGGTAGGCGTGCAGAGTAGCATGACAAGCCTTGAGTCCTCTGCTAGTTGGTTAAGAGTACTTGCGCCACAACAACAACACTTGTTCCCATGAACAAAGATATTATGGGAACAGCAATTCATCCCAGCAGTACGCTTGGTTACCGAAACAGGCTGCTGCAGATTGTTCACCATGACTATGTGCACTAACCATGAAGAACATGGTAATTGTTCCGACGATACTCTGTCCGTTCATGAAGGCTAGTTTTCCGATGATTGGGTATATAACATGAGGCTCAGTGGAAGCAATAGCATCTATTCCGAAAGATCAACAACTTTACTTCGAAACTACTTTGTGGAGAGCTTGATACAAACTAAGCAAATTGCCTCGACTATTAACTTTGCCGAGTACAAATTGATTTAACGATCATAACGATATTGTTCATTTCTGTCTCACTATAGTCATTATGGCACCCCGTGGTACAAACCCTGACACTGTGGAGGAGGAGCTCGACAGTTACTCAATGAGTGATATCTCACCCGAACAACTCGACCAACTCACGGACTTGCTATGGATGGACCCTGGCGTTAACGTAACTATGCCAGATCACGAGTGGCTGCTGGATCAGCAGGCTCGAATAGCCAAGCTCGACAAGTCCAACCGCCGCTCGAAGAAGATCCGTGATCGCTTGTCTGCCCGGCTCGAGAGCTTCACTCTGCAGCATGTCGATGATGGTATGCCTTCGGCCTGCCTATGCCCTTTCCACCATGGCCTTGATCGCAAGTTGATAAGGCGCCTCATGCTTCTCATCGCCGCTGAATGCACGCAGCGTATCCAAGCATTGCGCACCTGGCGACAACGTATCGTTTTCCCCGCTTCTATCACTGTATGGCTTGATCGTATCGACGCGGTGAGTGGACTTTGGTTCGGTCGCGACGCATTCAACGCTACCTTTGGTTACGAACGGGCTTCACCCTTGAACCTGATGGTCAGAAGCAAGTGTGAAGCCTGTATCATGTCTGTCATTGGCGGACGACCCCAGGTTCTTTCTGATCTTCGAGCACATCTCGTCTTACGACGCGACCGCCGTATTGATAGAGGCAGTAGAGAACCTAGGTTACTTCGATTGGTTGAGTCCTGGATTAGCCAGTTCGATGCCGATTGTGGCAAGGCCATTGTGGCTGGGAGTGGAGTGATGAGCGAAGAACTCGACAAACTATTAGTTATCATCAAATCCATGAAGGAGGAGCGTCCCCAGTCCAACACCTTGTCCGGAATTTCATCCAGAACAGACAGTCGCCGCCGATCGAGAGCGCATGAAGATGACGATGGGCATGGCCATCATGAGCGAATATCACATGGGCATCGCTCTGGACAGAGCTATGACCTTGAGAACAGTCATGGGGACAGACATTCGGGCCTCAGTAGAGATGACGATGAAGCTTGGATGGATGAAGACGAGACCTGCCAAACATCGATCTGGATGGATTGTCTGATGCAGAAGCAAGGCCTCTCAGCCGCGCAACGACGACGTATTTTTGAACAAGACATGCACCCTGCCCTCAGCGACTACGCACAGAGTGCTGTGGGTACCTCAACGGGTGATGGTCTGCAGAAGAATTCTGTATCGAAAGGGAAGAGTGACAGGACTTCTATCCTTAGAAGACAAAGCACTCTGTCGGAGCGTGATGCCGACACATCCTCGACATTTAGCAATCCAAGCGCTGTGCCTTCGCCCCTTAACATCAACCGACAAATTCAACAATTACCCAATCCGCCCCAAAGTACTGCTGGTGGCAGTGATGCAGGAACTATGTGGGAGTCTGTCTTAGTAATCTCGCCCCCCGCGTCTATGGTCGAGGGCCCAGCTAGGCGTCGTGGCCCTATTGTTCCAAACAGGCATGATGAAGAAGGCCTAATGGCTACTACGTTCGCTGACGATCGAGCCCACCTCGAGTTTTGTGAAAGATGGGGATTGCCAGCAATCGTTGAGCCTGAGGGGGAAGGATCAGCAACCCCTAGACCACCCCAAGCCCTGACCCAGCCGAATGCGGACAACGTCTCAGTCGCAGCAGCCTCAAGCGTATACTCTTCACATCCTGGGTTCAGACGCTCACAAGAAAACCTGACTGCTACGACGGAGCGGGAATGGTCGGGCAGACGAAACAAGGTCTCTTCCTCTCGATTATCGCATGTATCGGCTCGGAACCAGCCAGATAGAGGCTTTTGGGATCAGTTGCGCACCGACAGGGAAAAACTGCTTGATGATGAGGATGAATAGAAGATGGGCGATATTTCCTTTGTAAGTTATAGTCGTTGGAGTATGGCTGATATTTAGGAGGTCGTTGGTTTGGATATACCCGGAGAACACATTTAGGACAGCAGGACCTGCAAAATATATTTCTTTTGTTATTAAACATTATGCCTAGATTATTTATTACTACATGCTGATCGTGGCTTGCGTGTACATGTGCTGCCCACATTAGGCTGGTAGATATCCATATAAAGACAGGAATGATTGCCATCAACAACAATATGCACTCACCCGCAAATAATGTAATATTATTATCCTCCCTTTGTTTCCTCTTGTAGTACGTAACACCATTAGCCTTGTTGCGTATCCAATCTCTTCAGGGCTTTAGTAGAATATGATTTCAATTCTAGAAGCTGCGACTGCTCGGCAGCTGGCAACCGCTCTCCTGCCCCCTATTCGATCCGATGCCGGCCTATCTTATTGGAAGGCTTACACTGCGTAGGTACTGGTGTACGATGATTCACTAGGTGCTCACGGTGCTCACGGTGCTCGGGCTTTTGCACTGTTCTTCCATGGAATAATAAGCCTTTCCTATCAACCTCGTGCAGAGTAAACAGAGCCACCACCACCACCAAACATGTGCACTTGCTTCCTCTTCCACATACGAGCACAATCATACTCTCAGCTTGCCACTTGCCACAGTTGTTATTACTACTTGCGACCTACCTACCCTTATCTATCTTCCTTTTGCTCCGAGCATCGCTTGCTCCGCACAACCAAGCCTTTGATAGAGGACTCGTCCTAAACCCCGAACTACAGTGGAAGTTCGTATTCACCTTACAGCTCTACCCTCTTCACTCGCAGCAGGCTGACGGCTCGCAGAACACTCGAGTACACCATGTCGTTGGCTCACAGCAGTCCAAACGATGGAGCGCGTGATAGCACACCGTCGCCCAACGTTTCCAAATCTCTCGAGGTCTTCCGGGAAATGAGAGCGTCTCTCGGCAAAATTGACCCTCCCCAACAGCTATTCCCTAGCGACATCGTGAAGTACAGACTGCGCGAGTCCAGCCAACAACGGTCGACCGATATTGTAGAGTCAGTCTCCCAACATGCTTCGGTGAAAGCTGGCTCAGGAACGGCCGATTACGAACAAAGCTCCGTAGGAACGTGGAACTCGCCCAGGGAGAGGGAGCTCTCGAACGCTTCGACCGACGTACAAGGTGCTCCATTGCCAGCACCACTCCACATCATCCAAGCTATTGGTTCAACCTCAGTAACACATCGCCAACCCTCCTTCAGCAATGCTTCCATGGCTTTAAGCGGCTGTCCTGTACTACCAGATAAGCAGGATTTCCAACAGGTCGATGAAGAGAATATCCAGGGACCGGATGAAGACCTGACCGAGGACGATAGTGACACCAACTCTCTAGAGATTGCAGCTGCGGTGGTCGAGCATTGGGAGACTGATAAAGAGAACTATCCTGTAGTTAACCTTGCCCAAGATCGAGACCCAAGCACTGACGACTGTGATATCGATACGTATACGGGCAAGTTCGTCCCCCCTATCCGGTACATTAAGCTACAGAGAGACGGGAAAGAAGAACATAACCGGCATCGAATGGATTGTACTTCGGAAGATGCTATTCGTCGAGAGATTGCACGTCGTCAACTTCTGAAGGAGGAAATACAACGCATGGAGCAAGAGGCTCAGTACGCGAACCAGAAGACTGAAGAAGACACATGGCCCAATGCCGAGTGTACTCTCCGACCGGTGGCAAGCGGTGACTTTCAAGGCATCGCAGATATCATGAACCTTGAGATGAAAAGAGGCAAGGATTCGCAGATATTTATCCCTCATGTCGGGCCTGCTCACATCGCCTCCCTATATAACACTTGCCAAGCAAAACATCGACCCTTCATCGTTGCCATCCCGTCACCGAAGCAGATTCCCAATCGCACTGGGTGGTCAAAAGCCGAAGAGGAAGAATACCAAGAGTTCCTCAAGTTCAAGCAAGCTCGCAATGCCTCACAGGCTCATGGAATTATTGGGTTTGCGTTTATTGGTGATTCACGTCAGGGCTTCCTGGGCGGAACATGTCCCGGCTCGCGATTCAATGGACAGATCAAACTGGTAGTTCATCCCAGCCATCGCAGGAAGCTAATAGGTTCGGCTCTTATGGACAGAGTTCTCCTATGCGTGGCGATTTACCATCGTAGTCTCGTCGACTATACGTGGGACTGCTCAGACACGCGAAAAACATACGAGTACGTGTCCGCGCACAACAAGCAAAAGTACAACAAACTGTATATCGAAACGTTCTTCACTGGAAAAGAGGACCCCGGAATCAAGGGCATTTCGCGATTTCTCGAGAAGTTTGACTTTGAGCGAGTAGCCTACTTCAAGGATGCTGTGAAACATGGCAGCCAGCCAGGTGTCTGGAAGGACATGGTTGTGTGGGAACTGGAAGCGCGTATGACATCTGAGATTATCGAGGGCTGATAGTGACGCGGTGGTCTACGCTAATGGGAGAAGAAGTCGATGAGGATAACAAGAGTTCATGTTTGTTTTGCGGTCTTTGGTGCGGTTTCTGGAAGTTGAGGATTGGCCTCTTTTATGGTACAATGATACATGCTATTGCTTGTCGTGTGCTAGCTTTGTGGGAAGGCTGGGTTTGTTATTGCTGTTCTGAAAACAAAATGTATAAGATAATTCAATAGCGGGGACAAAACTTACATCTTATCTGTATGCAACATGGGATTGTCTCTCTACCTACTTGGTGACGATGGTGATGAACGAAGGTGAAGTTGAAGCGAGCACCAATCACGTGGAGTGGTGGGAGCCGCAGGCATTTGAACTCAACGACCTCCATGGCACACCGACAACGAAAGAATCTACGCGAACCGACATATTTGAGGAAAATTCTTGAGAATTGTCAGATTAAATTACCGAGTTGTTTATATCTGTGGGCTACTGGGCCATTGCTCCATGACAAAATGCTGTCAATTCTGAGAAAAGCTCGACTCAAGGACAAGGAGATGCGGATTCTGATGCTGTGAGTATGGAACCGATTTGAAAGAATAGAACTAATGTCTGACGGATTGCAGTGGACTCGACAATGCGGGAAAGACGACGATTGTCAAGAAGGTTATGGGAGAAGATGTCAACACAGTGAGCCCAACGTTGGGCTTCATCATCAAGACGATTGACTACGAGGGGTAAGCAGAGCGCCATCTGCACCGAACCACTGCTAATGACTTTCAAAGGTACAAATTGAACATATGTATGTTCCCTGAATAGCCCCAAGTATCCGGGCGACATGAGCTGACTCTTCAGGGGATGTGGGTGGCCAGAAGACGTTACGGTCATACTGGAGAAACTACTTCGAAAAGACAGATGCATTGATATGGGTTGTCGACGCAACGGACCGTATACGAATCCAGGACTGCAGAGACGAGCTCCAAGGGCTTCTCCTACAAGAGGTGCGTAATACGACACGACAACAGGTGGGAAGCTACTGACAAGTTGCACAGCGTCTTGCAGGGGCAACTCTGTTAGTGTTTGCGAACAAGACTGATGTTGAGGGATGCATGACAAAGGAAGAGATCCTCTCGGTATGCTTATAACAAGATCGAGCATGAGAACAACATCAAGCTAACTGCTGGATGCAGGAACTACAGTTGGAGTCGATACGATCACATCGCTGGCACATCCTGCCATGTAGCGCCATCACCGGCACTAATCTCAAGGAGGGACTATCATGGGTAGTGGAGGACGCAAAGAGAAGGTTGTTCCTCTACTAAACAAGCCTGGATTAACTCAACATTTCCTGTTGGCCTCACAACAAGATGTCCTTTTGCGAAAAGAAAACAAACCACAACTGTGGATGGCCGCAATACTTGGAACTTGGAAGCAAGCAGTCAGCCGCAAAGCCTGGATGATGGATATTATGCATAAGGTAGCTAGCCAAGTTTTAAACGTTGAAACCCAATGCAATAGACTCGTTACGCCGGGCAACGTCCCGCCAAACTCTAAGGTGCCTTACAGCACGCAATCTTCCCGGGCCACGTCTAACCGAGAAGCAGGGGAAGATACTGTACGGAGTGGACGGGAGAGCATCAGTGCCGCTTGCAGCTTTCGTCTCAAGACCTACCTCGCATTTTTGGGGATCGTCTGGGGCTTTTGAATAAGCTGCAGGCATGTTCTGAGGCATAAATGCCATAAAATACATTGATGAAACAGTTGTGACAAGGTTTAAAAGGACCCAATTCATGGTTTGGGCTTGTTGTTGTGGTGGATCACCGTGGGGGATGATGAGAAAGTAAACAAAAGATGACGTTGACTTTGCTCTTGTTTATGGCGCACATGGAAACACAGCATGTGAAGGCGAGATATATCTATTAGTTCAATTGAGTTTCGTATTGCCATCGTTGAAGTGTATATGCATGATGCAAGTAAGAGGAGTCAAGGTTCATGCAGAATTTCGCATTAGATCGAGCTCTGATATGCATCAAAATTAAATATCCCGTCTCTTGGTGGCCACATTTGGGTCGGGTTGGAATCTGTCACAGCGGGAGCCATTGCCCCCTGAGACCTTGTTTACGGGGGACCTTACAGCGGCCCCGCCTCCGGTGGGTGCTAGGAGAGACACACCTGGGGCGGGTCAAGGACCAATCAGATCTCAAAAACGGCATGGGAAATTTCCACTGCAGCTACCTACAGACATGATCCCATCCCAGTCATCCAGTCTCCATCCATTATCAACTTCCCACCAGCAAAGCACCTCAAGGCTAACGTAGCTCTTGGGAAGATAGCAAAACAGTCTATAATACCTACTGCAACCTTGCGTGGGATTGCATTGTATTGCATTTTGTTTGCTCCCGCTTACTTTCCAGAGCGCCCCTCCTTACTCTGGCGCCGTCTTTCTTCTAAAACATCCACTCCCTTCCGTGTCATGTCCCAAAAGCCCCAGAGCCATGTCCGACGAAGTCTCCCAATTTCTCGAGCAGGTCGAGCGCCTGCGCGGTCAACAGATCGAAGAAGACGATGTGAGAGCTCGTGAGCTTGAAGATTACTTGGCTGCAAAGCGAGAAAGACAAGCCCGTCGTGAAGGTGAGCAGAGAAACAGAAGAAAAAAAAGACCTTAGCCATCCATTGCCGTTGTTGCACCTTAGCTTTCCCCCGAGAGGCTTTCCTCGTTGCATTGATGGCGCTCCCTTTGCTTTCGCCGGGGCAACATACTCCGTCGTACACCCGGTGTTTATTTTTGGGGCTTTTATTATTGTTATTTACTTGCTTCCCCACGTTTATGCCTTGGCTATGAGATGCCATTGAAAGCACTCAATTGCTGATGCTGTCCTTTTTGCTAACTACGGCCCGTCTTTACAGAACGTGCCAGATCCATCTCACCACAAAAGTCATCCCCAGCGAATACTCCCTCACCACGCTCGAGTCGCCGCAGCATACATCTCTCCGAGGCATTGAGGCTCGACTCTCCTGGGCCATCAAGAGACGGCAGTGCTTCGCAGTCAGGCTCACCCGAAGCGAAGCCTGACGCTACAATGGACTTCAGCTCCTCCCCTACCAAGGAGAACGAATCTCCTCTTGATGTTGACACCAAGTCTGCGACTACACCACCCACACGCTACTCTGCACTGTCGTGGCAGCGTCGGCCTAACTCGCGCGGCGGCCCTACCCGCCCGTTGAGCATGCTCGCGACTCAGAATGCGACCCAACGGTCGTTCATCGGGTCGCAGGATCCTCCTGCTCCCGCTCCTGTGTCCGCCACCGAGCAGACCTTCTCCAAAGACCAAATTGCCCAGTCTCTTGGGTCCAAGGACCCCTCATGGTTCCGCCAAACTGCTGACCGAGGGGCTAACTCAGCTGCTTACCGGAAGAACCACGTCGAAGACACTGATCGTTTAGATATGGCCACTGTCAAAGCGCAACTACCGGGCATGTCAGCTGAAGAGCCAAAGTCAAGCCCACCTGTTGAGGAACCTGCCACACCTACTAAGATGAGGTTGGCAACGCCCCCAACGCTCAACCCTCCAGGTTTTGATGCTGGTGACGACAAGCCTCTGGGAGATCGGCTCCCATCTCCTGGCCGTATGTCTCCTACCCGGTCCAATTCGCGATCCAATTCGCCTACAAAGGGAATGGGAGGCTTTGTGCAGAGCGCTATGATGAAGAGATCCGACAGCGTTAAACGATGGAGCGTTACGGGTCCTCCTGGCTTAACCCGTGCCAACTCTATTCAATCGAACCAGGGTGGCGGATTATCTGTAAATCCCCGACCTCAGAGCATGGCGCAGCCTGGATCAACCACACCAGGCTCCAGCCGACCAACATCGCGACATGGAGAATCTGACAATGAGGTTACGCCAAAGGCCCCTACGATAGATACCACTATAGAAGCAGTCGCCGTTCCCTCGAGCCCTTCCAAGACTATGGACCCTCGGAGATGGAGTCCAACGAAGTCAAGCTGGCTTGAAAGCGCCTTGAATAAGCCCCCCGAATCGCCAAAGTCTCATCATAAGTCTAGCCAATCGCAACCAGCTTGGTTGGCAGAGCTGAACAAGAACAAGGGGGGCGTTCCTGGAACTGAAGGAACGCGGCCTCGCCCAGGGTCCATCTCTCACAAGCATCAAGTTAGTATCGGAGGACTTATGAGGTCTACTCCCATGGGAACTGCTACCAAGACAAACACAACTGGCCTTGGCGGTATTTACTCCCCTCCCCCAGGTGGGAACCGACCTTTCAGTAGCCACGGCGCCAACTTCAGCATTTCCAAGAGTGCCCCTAAACTCGAGTCCGGATCTCCTACCGAGGACAAGATGGCCCAATCTGACTCCGAGCCTGTGCCAGATCCCGAGCTTACAGAAGAAGAGAAGAAGACATCGGAGCCTGCCAAGGATGAGGAGCTTGTGAGCCCCAGAGAAGTAAAGCCCTTCGCGCCTGTGCCCAAGCCTAAGCCAGAGACACCTCCCAAGAAGGATTTCCGCAGTAGCTTGAGACATCGACCAACCGGCTCCGATGCGCCAAAGACCCAGGAGCCCGAGTTCAAGAACGTTTTCGGTACTCTCCGCAGGACCAAGACTTCGAACTATGTACCCCCTGATGAACTGAAGGATAACATTCTTAAGGGCAAGGCTTCCCTTAACCAGACAGGCGGACCGAAGAAAGCTGAGAGAGTCGATGACTTTAAGGAGGCTATCCTAAAGAAGAAGGATGACTTTAAGAAAGCTCAAGCCGATGGTAAAGGCATCTCGAGGGGCAACACTCCCACAAACGATTCGCCGCTGCCAGAAGGACTTGCAAAAAGAGCCGAGATGGCTAGAAGAAAGTCTGTGGCTGAAATAAAGTCAGCACCTGCACCGAGTAAGCCAGATACGCCCAAGCCGACACCAGGTCCCAAAAGGATACCCAGCCAGACCCCTTCTTCGCCCAAGCCCGTTCCTAAATCCGCCCCAGAACCCGCTGACGAGGGTCTAAAGCGAGCAGTTACCGAATCTAATACGAAACCGGAGGAGCCGCGAGCCATGCCAGTCTTGCACAAGGAGACAAGCTCACCTGCTAGATTGCAAGGACGTGTGGGAGGTAAGCTCGCTGGGCGGTTCAACCCAGCCCTCGCCGGCATGCTCGCACGAGGACCCCCTCCTATGGCTTCCAACGGAGGGAAGACCCCTGAAGAATCCGATTCCCACAAGCCTACCAGCACAACAGTTACAGAACCTTCCACTCCTGGGCCGCAACTGACACATATGACTAAGGGTCGAGCACGAGGTCCCAGGAGAAAGGTGCCAACCAGTGCGGCAGCCCCAGCCGTCGCTGCATCTCCAGCAGCCGAACCAAAACCTGTACAAGACAAGCCCAGGCCTTCCACACCGAAAGCTGCTCAACCAGTTGAAAAGAAGCCAGTGGAACCAACACCCCCTGCCGAGAAGGTTGAGGAGTCAAACCCTCCCCTTTCCGTTCAGCAGCAAGTCGCTGCCAAGGCTGCCATCCGGGGAAAACCTACGCCAACAAAGCCTACATCTACAGAGCCTCAAGATAGCGAGCCGCGACGCTTCCAAACCCGCGACGAGCGAACATCTTCGTTTCCTCTTAAGCAGTCTGGTAACACCGAATTCGCTCCAACTGATTATCCCTCTCCACTGAGGATCCAAAAGACTGGTGATGCCGCTTCACAACCTAGCTCACCTAAGAAGCTTGACAATAACCGCATGTCCCGATTTCTCGATTTCGCATCATCAAATGGTACGACGTCAGAGCCGGCCAAACAGCCTATGCGGTTGACACATCAACGAACTGGCTCTCGATCTCCAGTCAAGATGTTCCAGCGCTCGCTACCAGAGCCGGAACCATCTTCTCCAACCAAGGTTGACAGCGACCCTGTTGTATCTGTGAAGAACGCAACAGCGATGTTCGGCGGCGGCGCCCAACAGCCACCTTTGGCCGCAAAGCCCTCATGGGATCCATCAGCGCCTGCAGTTGTGAAAACACCGCCAAGAGCATCCTCTCGTCCCCTGCCTGAGCCCGTCCGCTCTTCTCCATTGCAAGTCAACAAGACCCCTTCCCGAGTGGCGGCGCGGCCATTGCCCACGCCTCCTTCCAAGGAGCCTCAGACTCCCAAAGCACCGCAGACCCCTAAATCACCGCATACCCCCAATGAACCACAGACTCCCAAGACTCAACAAACATCATCGGCAGTACCACCAAAAACCCCAAGCCAGGGCAACGGCAACGATGTAGCCAGTCTGTTGACCGACTTCTTTGGGCCTAAACCTGCAAGAGCCGAGTACAAGGTGGATGCTGCAGAGCTTCTTATGAACCGCCCTCCCACAGGCCCCCTGAAGATTCAAAGTCTCAGCTTTCAGGTGTTCCAAATTTCGGCAGAGGGTAAGAAGACAGGTGTGGCGTCTCACTACGAACGGGTTCTGTTTGAGCGGGAAATGTACATCGCCCCGCACAGTTTCACGAATGAGGCCGGATGGAAGCGTTTAGAATTCTACTTCTGGGTTGGCGATCAAGTGACAGAGTCCGCAGCCGATGATGCCCTTCTCTTCGTTCAGAAGGAAGCCAAGGCATTAGGTGGCAAAGTAATCAAGATGGAGCAGGGTAAAGAAACAACTGAATTCCTACAAGCCTTTGGTGGTGTGGTATTGATAAGAAGAGGCTCAAGCAATAAGTACGACTCAATAGCACCCAACATGCTCTGCGGCCGGCGTTATCAGGGTCAGGTCGCTTTCGATGAGTGCGACTTCAACCCATCCAGCCTTTGCTCAGGATTCGTCTACATCATCACCAGTCAGGGTAAGGCCTACATCTGGAAGGGACGAGGCTGCGATGTGACAGAGCTGAGTGCTGCCAAGCTTGTCGCTATTGAGCTCACTCTTACTGGAGAGCTGGTCGAGGTCGATGATGGCCATGAGTCTGCGTCGTTCTGGTCACTCTTTGAAGGAGGATCAAAGCCCCATTCGGCTGACCATTGGAGACTCAAGCCCAACTATGCCAAGTACTGCAGCAGACTCTTCTGCTCAGACGCGGAGACCCGGCAGCAGGTCTCTGAGATCGCCCCTTTCAACCAGCACGATCTCTCCCCTGAGCATATCTACGTTCTAGACGCTTTCTTCGAGATGTACATCATTGTTGGCGCCCGCGCTCAATCCCAATATGCGTCTTTCCGAAACGCCCTCGATTTTGCTCAAGAATATGCTATTCTTGCAGCAGGCATGGAGGACCGTCCCTTTGTGCCCATATCCACTGTTGTGCTTGAGGGTATCCCTCGGGATTTGAAGCGCGTCTTCCGTTTCTGGCGAGATGATCTGAGTCCTACAGCCACCAACAGCAACTCTACCGGTCTAAAGAGAGGTCGAAGTCTAAGGGTAGTGTCATTAACGCAAGCACTACAAGCGCTTAGAGAGTAAGCTTGTGGGGATATGTGTTATATTCAAAAGTTGTGGCTTCCTATATGGGTTTTAATTATATGTAGCGTGTTTCTTTATAATGGGTTGGTTGGTCTCGGTGCATGGCGAGATATCAGGCGGATCTGGCGATATTGGAGTTGAATCTCGTTTCTGGTCCTCCGGGTTTTTGAGATTAGATGATGATAGATGATATCAAATGAAACACGAAATGTGTGTATATGTTCGACTAATCGATCCACGAACGCGATTCTCACGGCCAATCAAAAAAGGGTGTTAGTATTGACAGATGGCGCGTACATGTGTATACGTCTATTCATTCCATCATGCGCCATAAGTACTAGAAACCCACAAGTGCAAACCAGCAAGCTCCAGTGGAGAAACCAGAAACATTAAACAAAAAGCAGTTCGGCTCTGCTCAAGCCCAAAACAAGCACAGGCCGCCTCATGCGTCTATGGGGGTATCAAAAGGCTGTCTCGAGTCCTTGCATCCGACGTCACATCCCTAAGTCCCACGATTCCTTATATCCTTCCTCTTTTTCCTGGTTATGTTTTTATTTTATTTTGGTCGCTTTGCTTATTTAGTAGAAAACGATTCATTGCGCGGAACCATTGGAGTCAATGGCAGAGCTTTTGGCGGTTGTCGAATTGACGTTTGAAGCCGACATAACCATGGGCTGGCCACGGGCCTTTGCTGTAATGGCATAGAGCTCGTTGAGCATGATTTCGCGTGTTGTGTTGGTGAGCTCTTCGACATCGGCAGAAGACAGGTCCTTTGTAGGAATGGGCTTGAGGACTGCATACGGTTAGATATTTGGACAAGTCGAGATGTGCAGACACTTACTCTTTACGGGAATCTTTCCGGCCCTGAATGTGAGAGTCTTGGGGTAAAGAACATGGCTGTAGTTTGCGACAACGCATGGCACAATGGGTACACCGGCTTGGACGGCAAGATGGAAAGCACCCTTCTTGAAAGGAAGCAACATGGGCTCCTTGGCGTAACTTCGAGTACCCTCTGGGAACATGTAGACGCTCTGTCGCTTGGACTGGATCTCGGTGGCGGCGCCCTTCATAGCCTCACGGGCATCCTTGCTGTTCTTGCGATCGATAAAGATGGAGCCGCTCAGGGACATGAACCAGCCGAGGAAGGGCATCTTCTTGAGGGAAGCCTTTGCGGTTATACTGCAGTACTTGGGGAACATTGTACCGAGCATGAGAACATCGAGCTCGGTCTGGTGGTTCCCAACGAAAATAGCTGGTCGCGTGGTGCCAAGGACATTGTCCGGGTCTTCAATGACAAACTCAACGCCAGTGGTGTAGAGCATGAGATAGCGAAAGGAGCGGCCAACGGCCCATTGCGCGATCTGCTGCTTGCCGACGATGGTGAGAAAAATAGATGCGAAAACACCATAGGCGGCGACGATGAGAAGGGCTATATACGATGCGAGGCCACGGGCGGCGAAGGCGGCTTGAGGTACGACGAGGGACATGGCGTAGAAGAAGACGATGAGAGCGGCGTAGCCGAGGACGAAGTAAGTGAAGATGCTGGAGAAGGACATGACGGGCGAGTGAACTATCTCTACCTAGAGGGCGAAGAGGGATGTCGAAGGACAAGACAGGACAGTTGGTGCTGAGACAGAGGAGGTTGCGTTCAAGGACAGAGGTAGAAGTAGAGGTAGAGGTAGTGGAGGTCAGCTGGGATGAGGATTTGGCGGGGGTTGGGTTGTTGAGTTAGTGGGTGGGTAGTTAACTGCAGCGATCCATAAGGTCTATGGCGGGGTTCTTTTTCTGTTTCTTTTGATTTCTAGTGATTTTTGAGACACGATGCAGATGCAGATACATACACAGAGTATCTTATGGTATATAGCCCGTCCAGCTCAATAAGTTAGAGTGAGGGAAATAAATCATATATTCACAAGGTCATGAGATATGCCTCTATACTATCTCACTACCTACCTCACCTTACCTAGACTCTGTCAAAAAAAGATGGTGGGAAAATGGGCAAAAGCCGCTTGACACGGGACGGAAACGTCTTTGATTGGGAGGCCGTGATTGGTTGCGATGTGATGTCACAGATACAGGGAGCTAAGTCAATTCCTTGTGATGGCTTGTGAAAGTCGACGCCGAGGATGAGGAAAGACATGACATGGATGTTGACTCAGCAAAGATATAAGTACTAAGGTAGCCCATCAATCACTTTTATATAGGTACCTACCGATGAATGTGCAGTGTATCGAAACTCCGTACTTTTCAAGTTCCTACAATAACAATCAAGTGGTATTGAGAATTATTTATTGACCTCTCAACCCTAAGCTATTTTGGTAGTCTAAGCCTATACTCAAAAACACACACGGACACATGGCAACTGAGAGTCTGAGACAGCTGCCGAACTGAGCATTTAATGTTCAGCAACCTGTCCTCCAAGTATCCGAGTTTCTTAATCCAATCCGAGCCTCCTATTCGTCCCCCGTCACATTCACTCATTCAGTGGAGGTATTCTCTGCCAGTGTAGCACAGTACCAGCCAAGTATGAGTCTAAGACATGTGAACGACACTGACAGGTCGATCCAGTCATCACCCAGTGAGTTTTATATGCGAATGAAATAATAAATGATTGCTCAAGCTCATGCATGGTTAGATAGATACTGACGACCCAGAGGTAGAATCCATTTTGATATCTACCTACGCATCACGTGCTCGCGCCTATCGGGTACTCTACCGGCTGCGATAGTGAGCTACCTGGAGCTAGAGGTAGGCACCTAATGTAACCACTGTACGGATACGGATAAGCCAAACAGACTCAACTCTAACACGCCCAACAAGACCATCACCACTCCACGGCCCACGAGTATTCTATTGTATTCCATTGTGACTATCGCGGGCTTCCGTTCTGTTCATCATCATAGTCAAAGCTGTAGCAGCTTCAGATTCCAATCCCTTCAACCGTGAATTCGCCGTTCGTCTACGCTCACTTGTCTCTTCTCTCCGATTTCCTCGCTTCGACTCGTCTGTCTCGCTTCCCCTCACAACCTGTCGACTCAAGCGCTTGTTCTCTTGCGCTATCTCAACTACCAAGCCATTGTATGATGCGCGTCCGCCCATAATCAATCGCCATGGCTTCCGTTCGCCGAGGACAACCCTCTCTTTCTGTCCGCATGCCTTCCAACCAACCCCTCGACCGTCCTCCGATCGATGCTCTCTTTCTCATTCACTTTGACGTAAAGGCCGGATATACGATTCTCTGGAAGCAGAATGCTCCAGGGATTGACCTAGAGGGCCTCGTCGAGTACAAATCTCTTCCCTCCGGGTTACACACCGTCTCCGAGGACCTCATCTACTTCGTCCACGATAGCGTCCATGCTGGACTCAGCGCCTTTGTTAATATACCATGCGACGAGGAGGAGGCGCGAAATGCGAGGATGTTTGCAGTTGGTGTTCTGGTGCCTCTTAGCTATGGTCGATTGGGTCGCGCATGGAGACATGCTGAAGGGCTGAAGGAAATGGCTGCGTATGCTTCGAGCCCCCTAGCGCAATGCATTTGGAGTTGAGACTTGCATTTGGCTAACACCTTGCTTAGGAAACTTGCAGAAGATCGCAAAAACACGAGTATACTTGAAGAGTATTGGATTGCCAACCGTGAAAAGACGGGCAATGGCAATCGTCGTCTTTCAGGAGAGACGCCCGTGAGCTCTCCGTCACTCATCTCACAACCTTTCCCTCGTAAAACACATAGCCGCAACCGATCAGCCTCTGATGGCGCCTCTCTAATACCTCCTGGCAACAGGCTCTCGCCATATCACCCCGCCTGGAGTTTGACTAGCCTTTTGGACAAGTTTGGTCCCCTTATCTTCCCTATACATCGCGCTGCTTTACTGCGTAAGCGTATCCTAATATCATGCCATGCACCAGTCCATGAGGTCTGTGATTTTGGTAAGTTGGAAATTTTCTTCTTCTCCGACCTTGGAACAATACTGACGGTCTCTTGTTAGTATATAATTTGTCTGTTCTCTCCAACATTCCATTATCTGTCACGGATATACTCCCAGGCTCAGCTTCAACACAACGTCTAAGACCACTATTCTCTATTGGTGTTCATGATATTCCCTTCCTGATGGATGACTTTGAGGCATCCAAAAGGCGTCGCAATGATGAAGATGCAGTAGATGATGAATCGGGCTCCGGTTGGATCGCATGCACTACTGACAGTATTCTCGCTATGAAGGACACTCTGTGGGATATGCTGGTCACTCTGCCTCCTGACTATTCTTCTAATGCTACAGAACGGGTTTGGCCTGTGGTCGAGTGTCCTCGTGGACAGCCAATCAAGGCAACTCAACGAGATCTACGTCGCTTTACTTCTTTGAAGAATGGCCTCTCACGACTTGCTACTGCCAGCCAGATTCCCAGCGCTGTCCCGGAGTCGCCTGAAGAGGAGCGCTCTGCGCGCCGAGTTTCTATGTCTAGTCATATGGTCCGTGATCCACGAGATGATGCAGTCGAAAAGATCGTCGAGCCTTTAACCTGGGCGGCCTTTGCTTACAATGGTTATATGTGGTGGGCCAGTGCTGGTGAACAACTGCGTCAGGAACAGCAAGAAGAAGCATCTCATGATGCCTCCCTACTCGCCGACTTCGGCCCTTCGGCCATGGCTATGCCTCGACCAGGCTCTCGCTCTGAACCCTCGGCAGATTCGCTTGGTTATTTGAACCAAACTTACCGCGCTCCCGATGGCTCAGGAGAGGCCAGGTTTGAGCTCGCCATCATCGCTTACTTTCATCGTCTCACCACTCAAATACTATCCGTGCTAGCTGATCTAGCTGACAGCCAAGATGAACCTTACACTGATCAAGACGACGAAGATGAGGGTTTATCACAAGTCTCTGTTGAAAGAACACCACTCCGTCCATCGGATTCCGATTTCGAAGAAGACGCCGCTGACGCCATTCGCGTAGATAGCCACGCTGTGGAGAGCATGGGTCTCGACGTCTGGAGCGACACTGACGCTCTGTTCATACGCGAACTGTCGCTTCTGTACTTTGGCCGATCCGCACGCATCGAGGGCAAGGGCGTCGAGGTCTGTGGTGTAAGAGTCTGTTAGTAGAGTCTCGCTGTTGTTTGAAGAAGCTTTACAAGCGAGGCGAAAGCTGGACTTGCGTCTTTGGAACCCTTATATATTACTCATAGTCTACGTTCTCGCATAGTCATAAGAGAATCTGGACGAGGCATCGCGAAAGGATGTAGAAAATGTGTGGAAACAAGACGCACGCCCCACAGGCACGAGGCTGATGGTAGAAGAAAATGGTAATTCAGGCGCATATGCCATGTTGGTTGCTCTAATAGCTTGTTAGTGTGATAAGTTGGAGGCTCGAGATATATAGTCTACAAGTTGGTATCAAGTCGAAAGAAGCAAGCGGTTCCTGACATAGTTTGTAGTCATATAAGAATACTCGAACGGCAAGAAAAAATTATATACGTTGTAACCTAAAGAGACCCCTTAACTCCCAACTTGTTTCTGAGTGCAAAAACACATGCCCAATATCAGTGTTGTCGTCTTCCTCCATGCGACTCCCTGTTTCCCTAATACATACACAACAAAACGTTCGGTTTCTGCAGACAAACGTCATGCTCGAGATATGAAGATTTCGTTGATGGTTTTGCGATTACAATACTATTTTTTTATCCTCGGAAGAACAAGTTTATAGACTCCGCTATGATTCATCCTCGGTATCTGTATTTGTTGCGCTGGTGTCCTCCTCTTCCTCATCCGTACCACTCTCCTCCTCAGAGTCGTCAGAATCCCTTCGGCGGGCTTTGGGAGTCTGACCGGTCTTGAGAACGTGCATTTGTCCAGCGAGCGAATCTGTGATTTTGTTAGCATACTGTTTCGACAATAGAGAATGTGATTCAAACTTACCCTCTTCAGGCTCACTGATCTCATCTTCGGCCTTCATCTCTGCCGCCTTGCTAGCCTCCTCTACAACAAGTGTCACCTCCATCTTGGTGTCGAAGCCAACGTAGGCGTCGCAGATAATGTGTAGAACAAATGTGTAGTGTCCGGCTTGAGGGGGAGCAGCGAATTGAGCCTTGAGAGTCTGCATGTTGAAAGTGGGCTTGCCCTCATCATCCATGATGGGCTGGTCAAACTTGGCAAAGTGGAAAGGAGGAACAGCCATCTTGCCCTGCTTGGAATCGCTAAGGAAAGCATGCCACTGAGGAGAGTGATCGCGAGCGTAGTGGGGAGCGTGTGTGAGAGGGGGGAGAATAGACTCTTCTTCAATGGGAATGAGCTTGCCGTCAGGTCCTTTGATAGTCTTCTTCTTGCGTCCATTGATAGCTTCGATGTCATCCTCTGCCGGATCAATGTCCTCGAGATCCAGCTCGTTGACAGGGGGGATGTCCTCAGTACCGGGAGGGATGAAACGACCCTTGATAACAAGGGAAACAAGCGATGAAGGAATGATGAAGCGCTCGCCGGTGACCTTGAAGAAAGCCCTAGAAACACGGAAGAATGGAATTTGCTTAGCAACGCCAATTGCGGTTTGGTACTGCTCCTCGGTCAAGAGGCCCTCTCCGACAGCAAGCTGTCTGCGCTGGGCGTCAGGTCGATCCATAAATCGGTGGACAGGTAGATGAGTCTTGGAATCGCCTTCAATGGCGCGAGCGATCTCAGGAGTGACATGGGGAAGCTGAAGAAGAGGTGAAGCATGGGGTGCAACGGCCTGGATCAGGTTCTGGCTGGTGTAGAACGAGTTGGCGATGGGACCGATGTTGCCATAAGCCAGAGTGATAGCGTTGAAGGACTGGTTGAGAGCGCGGGCAATGGGGCCAACTTGGAATTTGGCCTTCGTAAGAGCAGGGTCGTCGAGTTCAACACGGCCGAGGTAAGCCCAGAGCAGAGCAAGGGCCTTTCGACGTACACCGTTGTCAAGATCCTCGAGAGCCCCCTTGTCCTTGAGTGACATGCCAGAAGCAGTGGGCTGGGCATCACTTGAGGCCGTGATTCTTGACTCAATTTTGGAAAGGCCAGATTCGGCCTTGTCGCCCTTGAAAATATCCTCGAACTCTTTGCCAGCACTAAGGGCTGTAATGATGCCGCCCTCTTCGATTTCGTCGTCGTATTGTCGGAACAAGTTGTTGGCACTCTCCATCAGGACACCTTCCTTGGACCTTCTCTTTGTACCATACCACCACGATCCAACCAACCATGGCAGAAGAACTCCAAGAAGCATAGTGTATAGGAGAACAACATATTTGCCAGCACCATCGGAGACAATGAACTGGGGGAGGGCAATTCCCATGCTGAAGCTCTGCTTTCCATCGGGGTGACCATATTGGATGTAGTTGTTGCGTACCTCCTCGTCTGTGAGGGATTGGTAGGCCTTGGTGAGTTCGACGTAAAAGTTGGTTAGAGATTCGACAGTCTCGTTCTTGGCGGCGTCAGGTCGGACCTTGTCGGGATGGTACTTGAGGGAAAGGCGCTTGTAGTGCGACTTAATTTGCTTCTCATTGAGGGACTAGGGGATGCTGTATTAGTATCATTGGTCCAAGGTCATGGGATTGCCGCAAAGCTCACCTCTGAGATGCCGAGAATATCGTAGGGGTTGTAAAGCTTGGGAACAGTTCGCTGCGTGACAATAATAAGGTAGACCATTCCGCCCATGAGAGCCCAACCAACTAACGAAAAGATGGCCCGCTTGACCCTCCATTGGCTACGCTTCTGCGCTGTCTTGAGTGACTCGACGGTGGCAGCATGCTCCGACTTGTAGTCTGTCTTAATGCGCGGCGCAAGCGCATCTTGATCGCGGCTCGGGCGAAGGAGTGTGTAGGTAAGGGGAACGGTGACGATACCGGTAAGGGTGAGGATAAAGAAGGGGAAGAATTGACCCTATTCAAAGCGTTAGCGATTGTCACAATTAAGAAAGATACGTCGTCTCCGTCTTACCTGCTCGTCGTAAGAGTAGTCTGAACTCATCTTGACGGTTTGAAGAGAGCCCCAGGGCTACTCTTGAAGCAAGCTCGAAGGGGAAACGTAGCCCACAACTGAAGGCTATCACTAGATAGAAGCTCGAGTTGAAACAAAGACACACAGATCCGCTGCAAGAAATAAAGAGAAGCTCTCTATAAAACCAAGTACAAACAAACACTCTGCCCCAAAAGAGTGTGGTTTTTTACTGGCAGACGGGGAAGTATGCTTGGTGGTAAGAAAAGAAGAAAGTGTCGTGTCGTTTAGTTACGGCCACGCAGCGCATTTCCCATGGAGGTTGACTTAGGTCAGAGCAGACCCAGAGCCCAGAGCGGGTTGACGGCTGCCGGTAATCGGATTATCTGTCACTCCCCACCTGCCCGCTTCCACTACTGGCTCCTTCCGTACGCGCCACCGTGTTCACAGTTTCAGCGCAACCTCAACTTCGCAAGGGTAGGTATCAATTTTAGAAAGCGCAGCCACTGTTTGTTAGCGCACTCAGCCCTGTAAATCCATGAGCTTCTAGTGTTAGTGTCCACCATTGACGCTATTGGAGTCTAGGTATGTTAGGAAATGCGTAGCAAGTTGACAACGTAGCCATAAGGAGACAACCTTAATTACTTATTGATGCAGTTCGTGTTCAAGTTAATAATTAAGCCACTAGAATGACTACTCCGTAATATCAATCCTATTTTTAGTCTACCATTGACAAATGAAACGCTTAGATATAAGCAAGTAACGCTTGTGACTGTCTACCTAATCCGCCCATACCAATTTATAACTGCAGAGCAACTGTACTATACTGCGTGATGCCATGCAATCTTTCTTTCCTCTTACAATGCAATACTTCCTATTCACCTGCTTGCTTCTGAATCGCTCTTCTCTGTCGGCTCTTCATAGAGAGGACCATCATCGAGAGTGGTCATGCCAAGCCCAAGCCCACCAACATCCTCAGCATCCGTTTCCTCCTCTGTAGTTACGCTGGCGCCCATGTCATCCACAAGAATATTTCTGATATCGTCTTCACTCAGAATAGTCTGGATGCTGCCCCGTCGCGCCCACGGTCGTGAATCTGACCGTCCCTGCTCGACCAGTCGCTCAATCTTTAGTCGGTTCTCAATGAACTTGAGCTTCGGGAAAGCGCTTTGCTTGCCCTCGTGAATCATATGAGATAGTCGGTGGGGGTCAGGATCTGACAGAATATGCCAAAAATCAGAGATCCTCGACTTGGGCCAAATGGTGATGGTGCCGCTAAACTGTTGCAGCCAGAGCTGACTCCAATCCTGGCCGAGAGGTCGCGGCAGCAATTCAGCATGGCGGATAAACTTGAGCCACTTGTTCATATCCAGCTTGAGGTAGTGCTCAAACGCTGACATGAGGTAGCCGCCTCGCCATCCACGTCCCTTACGATGTGTTACTGGGTGGCCGACTGATCCTCGAGAGGAGAAGAAGAAAAGGTTAATATGCGGGTTGACCTGGCTGACAATCGTAAAGTTGACGTTGAAATGTGTATTCAATGCCTTGATGGGAATATCCGTTCGCAAACTGCCATCCTTCCACTTGTGTCCAAAGGAGTATGGCTCCAGTGATCCATCTCTTGTCTTCATCATGAGCACGACGGGATTGAGAATTCCAGGTACGGCAGCTGAGGCCAACACAGCGGACCAGATAACACAGTCGGGACTTGTCAAGTAGTTGCACAAGATTGTTGGCGAGTGAGGATCAGCTGGCACACAAGTCACATTGAGAATGCGACCTGTACGTTCGAAGGCCTCTCGGAATGTCAGGGAGCCATATGTCCACCAGCCACACCGTTGAGCCCAGTCAACGGAGTCAAACCGAGCTCCGGTCTTCCACCACCGGGGAAGCCAGGTAGTAAAAGACTCGCCACAAGCGTTGATACGCTCCGCGAGAGCTGGGATGAGAAGTTGGTCAAGCTCCTCGTTAGTTCGAGTCGCTACCAGAGCCGCAACTAAGGCACCACCGCTGGTGCCCGTGATAACATCTGGTAGAAGGTTCGCGTCCAACAATGCTCGAACGACACCAATATGATAGTAGGCGAATGCTGCGCCGCCGGACAAGCACAATGCTGTTCTTCCGTAGTTGGCGTAAACGTGCTTGAAAAGAACTCGCTTTTGTTCCATCTCGAGCTGTTTAGTACTCGCCAAAAACTTGACGCATTTCTCCTCTGTTTTATGTTAGAATCGTTTAGTTATTAAACTGCGATCTCAAAGCTTACCTTCGTCGACAAAGTTTTGCACCAGATTCTTGGTCCCAAAGTAGGTCTGGCTATACAATCTCGCGTTCTCGACACCAACGAAATTGTTCTTGACGCAGGCCTCAATCAAAGTCTTGAGTTCGTCCACTGCCTTGACTCCGTCACCCTTCTCGCCCTTGCCTTCTTGCTCTTCGGCGCGTTGCCTAGTCTTCTTCATCTGCTCCCATACTCTTCGAACCGTCTTGGAGTCGTAATATGCGAAATCATTCTCTTCCCTCCACGTTTGTCGACCCAGGTAGTTATCAAGCTCTTTGGCAGCGCTTACCCAATCTTCGTGCTTTGAAGCGTTTCGCAAGTTTCTTCGGAGTCTCTCTCGCTGGCCTCGCCATGTGAAAAAGTGCTCATACACCCAGATGTATAGTCTTGTTGAAAGATACATAAGGGCAAGCCCAGCTAGCCATGCGAACACGAAGAAGAGTAAAGGCCATTTCGAAAGTTGATATAAATACCCTTCTCGGGTCTCGTCCTTGGTTCGCGTGCCCAAAAGGCCTTCGACATGCCCCTTTCCGCCTTTGCGCTTTCTCTTATTTCGCCTTGAGCCGCGTCGGTTGCGATAGATCTTCTCGTTGACGGGAGCCCAATCGTTCTGCGCTGTTATAAAAGTTCCTTGGCTCGGAGTCGGAGGCACAGGAAGATCTCCGGAGGCAGCGCCCGCGGCCGCGGCGACAGCAGCTACATCATCTGCGAGGCCCGTCTCAACCTGCGAAGGCCTCTTTGTCACACTAAACGAACTAGGACTGCGCGGTGACCGGGCGCCGGCTTCATCGGTCGGGTTCTGGAGCGGATCAGGAGCCTGTAACGCTTTCTCGAAGGCTTCCAAGTCTTGCGCGTCAACAAACTCAGTGTCGACATCTGGAAGAGAGGAGGGGTCGAAAGATTTCGGGGGGAATCCATAGACAGGATCGCGAGGGAGTAGTGAGGTATACAATGAGGACGACATTGCGAACGGTTTTGATACTGTGATCTTTAACCCATTGCTGACAAAAAAGAAAACAAAGTTAAGTCTCACGAAATTGTGAGATATTGTTACAAATTAGGGGAAGAATGAACTGCTATGATCAAGACTCTGTTGGGTTGCCTTGTGATGGTTCTAGTAACATGACGTAGATTCCGTTGGGGAAAAGTACGGAGATACCTCTCTCCCGGGGGGTCCATACCTGTCAATCTTGGCGAACCGAGGCCTCTATCGAACACCTGGTATCACCGCCAACAGTAAGATAGTGAGCTCATGAACTGTGGTCACGAGATATAATGCATAAGGTCTTACAATAATTCTTACCACCTTCTACTTTAGCTGAGTTTAGCATGCTTCATCGCCCATCATGATATGTGTCTCGTATGCCTACCATGAGCCATGAGCATCCCACATCCCCTAAATCACCCCTTGCAAACACCCTGGCACATGTCCCAGGGATCTCTAATTTTTCCATCACCAGGAGGATTTTCTCAAGCCAAAACTCAGTCAAGCATGTAGCAAGATAATGTAGAAGAATTTCACGACCAATGTTCGCCTAAAGGAGAATTCTGGGTCTCATAAACACTGGGTAGCCACACGTCCTCTCTCCCTACTTCTTCAATTCGGACTCGACGTCAGGTATACCTCTCTAGCTCCATGCCTCTCATCCCTCTAGTCTCCCTTATACGTACTGCGACAACCAGCGTATGCCTTCACCGTAGCCTTGTCGCATCACCACTGAGCACATGAAGAGCTCGACAGGTCGAATGCCCTCGAGCTGGACCTTGCCCTTGCCGGTGGTCTGGTAAAGACCAAGTTGGTGTCGCAACTCATCCTCGGAGATAGCATCAGGGTGGTCGATCTTGTTGCCCAAGATGACGAAGGGGACCTTGGAGAGCTCTTCCATAGAGAGAAGGGCATCGAGCTCGGCCTTGGCCTCTGCGAATCGCTCGTGGTCCTTGGCATCGACAAGGAAGACGACACCGTTAACATCGGGGAAGTAATCGCGCCAGATACGTCGGGCTGTTGGTTGAGTTAGAGGTTGACTTGGAGAGCAAAAGGCGACAGATTCCACATACCTTGCTGATGACCACCAAGATCGAAGGTGTTGAATCGAACGTTGCCGATGGCAAGCTCCTCGGATGCTATGATATCTTAGTACAAGCCAGAACCAATATCTTCGAAGGCAGAGCTTACTGGGGTGAAGAGTGGGCTGAAGAATAGCGACACGGTCGTTCTATACGTCGATCGTCAATTGTCAAGTTCCTCCAAAGCCGCCACCGCTGGCAGCAAGCAATCCAGCCGCCTATGTTCCATCCAGCGATGCAACAGCATTGTATCGACGCACCTTCAGCATGTGGAGCAGAGTTGTCTTTCCGGCATTGTCGAGACCGAGGAAAAGCAGCTTCGCGTGCTTGTTAAGCAGTCCCAAGGAGGACAGCACATCGTAGACTATAGCACGTGTCAGCCCATTTAAGTCGCAAGCGATGCGTCGTAGGCAAGTACATACACCAGTTGACGATCCACATGTTGTCGGAGTATTAAAGTCGAGTACTATGTTGAAATGAAAAACGTGGTGTTATTATCTTGCACTTAAGAAAAAGAGTCGTCGTTATCGTTGGCGTCGTTGAAAGTCGCTTGTGGATTGTTAGGTAGGAGGCGTTCATTGATCAAAGCTGGCAAGAAAGGGTGATGCTGTGTTCTAGCCTAGCATTTCAGGCATCACACCCATCATGATGACATGCCACGCTGCCCGTATAATACTCCATTGACTTCCGAATGTTGGGTGCGCTCATTCTCGAGGAACAACACTTGTCAGATGAAAAGTGTCTATGCTTTACAGCATTTCTAGATTCTTGTGTCAAAATGCAAGGCTCTTCTTTGCTTACTTCCAATTGATCGCAATCGGTTCAACACATTGTCGTACATGTTACCGTATGGCTGGCTATTCATGTCGAAACTTGAAATTGATACAGGTTGGGAAGCAATCATATAAATTTGGGCACACATGCAGTCCAATACTGAATAGTTTTAAGAAATGTGGAACATCACAGGAAAGTGAACAGAGTTGATATGCAGACATAATCATTGTCGTTATTGATGTTCTGCTAAATGCATGCCATGATAGCCTCTCATCCAACGCCGAGCAAGTAATACCAATATGCTGTATCGGGTATCCAAGCAGTTCAAAAGTGATCCTTTCCGCCAATAGCGAGCGTTGTCCGGCCGCTTTATGCAGTATGATAATAATAAAAAAGATGAAAAGAAATATGTACAGGAAGTCTCGGTCACGCCGAGTTTCCAAGGGCCATTATGAGTATATACAGGTAACAGGCTCGGAGACCTAGCCGAGCTGATGCTATAAGAAAAGACATATGTAGTCATCAAGTTAAATCGTGTAAGATGTATCATCTTCGTCATGACATGTCTCGCAGTCTAGTTAAAAAGCGTTGCTGTTCTTTTGCACAAAACATGAAAAAAAGCATGCTTAGATGGAAAGGACATAGTTTGTTTGGTCCTTCTTGCCAGCCATAAGAAGGCCGAGCTCTCGCATGCGTTCAGTGCCACGTCCAGGAACGGGCTTCCGCTCGGGAATTTGACCTCGGCGTGCGCGATTGCAGTACTTCTGGTGAAACTTTTCTTTGCGTCGCTGACGCTTGCTCTCCAATCCCTTGACGATGTCGATAGCTCCACGGATGTGAGTGTCGTTATCGATATTGAACCTTTGTCGGGTCTTTCGCTGGTGGCACATGGCACCACCACGGGGCAGAGACTTGGTGTGAGTGAGTCCAGGGCGGCCGGCAAGGTTGAAGTTGACCTGGCCGCATCGAGGAGATCCCAGAGGTGTAGTGATGGGTCGACGGATGGGAGCCGGTGACTTTGCCTTCCGAGGCGATTGACGATCAAACAATGGCTTGGGTGATCGGCCTCGTGCCTTGGGAGGAGGAGGAGAGTGATGACGCTTTGGTGGTGGTGAACGGAATCGCTTAGGAGAAGCATGTTCGCTCTTACGGCGGCGAGGACGGTCACGCTCGTGATGCAAGTCCTCCATTTTACCCTGGAAGAACTCATCCGCATCGCTGTCGTGATGAACAGGATTGAAGATCTCTCCGTCGTTTTCCTCCTCCGGCTCAGAGGCAGGGAAACTAGGGTCAATGTCCTGGGGGATGACACGAAGCTTCTCGTTGCGGCGAGCTGCGAGGCACGAGAGGTAGGCTTCTTCAAGAGGGCGATCCTCATCCAAAGTACCACACACGAAATCAGTGCTGTCAGGAAGGTCGGGAGCATCCTCGGCGTATCTGACTCGCTTTGAGCGGCGCATAGCTCGCTGGCTGTTGACAGTGGTGATCGATGAATCAGATTGCATCTCATGAAGGGAAGGGCGACGCATCTGAGTAGCACCTGAGCCGATATGAACCACAGATTTGGCACCAGGTGTCCAGAGACGCATATCATCGTCTTCGTCGTCATCATCAGAATCGGCAAACCCAGTCTCCTCGTCGGTGTGGTAGCCATCTGAATCATCATCCTCTTCATCGTCGTCGTCCTCATCCAGCTCGACATCAAGTTCGTCCTCATCATCGTCATCGTCATCATCCCCATCGTCGTCGATGTCAGCATTATCCTCGTCCTCGTCTTCTTCCTCTAGAGCCTCTTGCTCTGCCTCAGTAGCCAAGCGTCGAATGTTGTTCTCCTTAACGAGGGTGTCATTGATAGTCAACTTGGCTGCAATGGCATTGCTGTCACGTCGGATCCAGTCATCCTCGCGGGCGATTCCACTGGCAAACTCGTGGAACTGTGAGCTGTCGGTGGCAATTTCAGAGGAGTCGGCGCGGAGGAACCTAGGACGCGACATAGAATGTCTGCGAGGAGTGGTTTGACGAGCTGCAGCAAAGGCCAAAGCTGAGACCCGCTTGGGGGTAGATGGAGATTGTGCCTTTGGAGTGGCGTCCTTTCGGTTGGCAGAGCTGTGCATGTGCTGGGGAGGAGTGTTCTGAGTTGATGCTGGTCGAGCTGGGCATGCAAACTTGATGCATGACTTGCGAGGACCTTCCTGGGCAGAGGGCGTCTTGGCCATGGGCTGAGAGCGAGGGGGCTGTTCTTTGGTAGGAGGCTTGCCACCACACGCGAACTGAATGCTTCGCTTTCGAGGCTCCTCAGTCTTGCACTGCTGTAACCTGACAGCGGCACCCAACAGAGAAACCTGCGTGGGCTCGTGGACGCGCTCATCGTGCAAACGCAGCATACCCATGTCATGGAGAGGTGGGCTGGGTGTGCTAGGTCGCGAAGGGCTGGTGAAGCCAGTGTCGCTCGTCAGATCGGCGGTCGAAGCGATGCTAACGTTGCTGATAAGCGAGCGACGTCGCTGGGACCTGGTCGTGGTGGATCTTGAAACGTCTTGAGGAACGTATAGGTCGTCGTCCGAGTTTCCATTGATAGCCTTGGTTAACAAAGAGGACTTTTCGGTGGAGGGTCGAATGGTGGTTCGTTGAAAGTCATTGGCAGTAAACTGTTGCTTTTTGAAATTTAGCTCAGGTGGTTCGTCAGCCTCTTCGATTTCTTCTGATCCGTAAGCCACCCAAGGTGTATCTGGGTTGTTGGTTGTCATGTTGGTAGGTGACATTGTGATTTTGGAGTTATGCGTGTTTTGAGAGGTGGTCCAGTTGGGAGATCCAAAGAAGGAAACTGGATTTGAATCGTGATCAAGTAGCAAGGAGGATAGTCCAAAGCACGACAAGTTGGAAGAGAGTAGTCGTTTAGAAGGCGTGTAGTTGTGAATGTTTCGAGTGGTAGCTTAAGCTATAAGACGCTACAGTGGTTGTATCGAAGAGCAACGTCAAGAGTCGTCAAATGTGTCCCTGAGGACAGTAGTGCTATAACAGCGAGACAAACATCGTCAAACTGCTGTAGGATAAGAGTTGTTGTTGGAGGGTTCCTTTGGACAAGAGGGAAGAGGCGTGCTTTGTTTGATATGGGTCGACGGACAGAAGCAAGATGCAGGGCCGGGCCGGACTGGGCTTTTGAGGAGGAGCTAGAAGAGGAGTAGAAAGGCGGCTGATTCCCAAGTTGCAGGATCCCCCAATCTCAATCAAGGGTGGCGTCTGTGCTGCTTCGCTATGTGTGGGTGTCTGGGTGTGTCTTCTCTGGGTGTGTAGGTTGCTGTTTACTGCGCGTGGAGACCGCTGCAGATGACGTTCCTCAAGGGCAAGGCAGGGCACGAGTACGGTAGTACGATACGGTACCGTTTGTGTGGTGCACGTACAGTACAGTACAGATCAAGTATCTGAGACAACCTAAATTAGGTATGCCGAGCAAGGGCCAGGCAAGTCTACAAGGACAATGCACGAGTAGCTGTATAAATGTAAAAGGGAGTAATAATGGACAAAGAGTGGGCGGAGGAGGGCGAAGAGAGAATAATAATCGAGAGCAGGAGAGGGTGGTGTCGGGTCTTTGATTTAATAAGCCTTGTTAATCGGCGCGAAACCACGAGAATGAACAGAGAAAAACCTCGCGGTACAAAGGAGACAAGGGAGAGAGCGAGAGAGAGAAAAAAAGGCAATTACTTGGCAGCAGGTTGGGGCCAGCAACGACAAGGAACGGGATGAGATTTGGGGGGGCCGTCCCCTAAATTAGAGGGCAACGGGCGATTTGCCGTGCAAGGAGCGGGTAAAAAATGGAGTCTCAGGTATCCGTACTTTTTTCTTTTTCGTTTTTCCTCTGAGACCCAGTGTCAAAGAAATTTTACTAGCACGGGCTTGGACAAAAGGGTTTGGTTTGGTTTCTGTTTGGACCTGATTTGATTTGGTTTGGTTTGGTCTGGTTGAATCTTGGCTGACTGGCTCGTTACATTCATCTCACAGGGCGCCATGTGCTAAGGGCTCAGGGCAGGGCTTTCTACTTTGCGCCTTGGCTACCTCGCGGATACCTTTTACGGCCAGTCTCACCAATTGATGACAGGAAAAGTGAGGTGTGAGTGGACACGGAGGATGAATGATCAATGACTGATTGAGTATTATGAGTCTGTCTTGACTCTGAGTCTGAGTCTGAGTCTGAGTCTGAGTCTGAGTCTGAGTCTGAGTCTGAATACCTAAGGTCTACTGTACAGTAAGCCGCCAGCTTTTCATTTTCAGCCTTAGCCTTTTTGACGATTCCTGGTTCATGGCTTTTTTCTGCGCCCTCTACTCTCCCCTTCTGCTTCACGATGTCTCCTGGGCTAAGCCTTTCGACGCCTAGATCGATCCATGGGCCGCACAAGGCTTTGCTCTCTTCGTAATTAGACTGTTCATGTCTCGACCAAATATCCGTAAAAGAAAATATCATGCCCTGTCGCCTGTCTTACTCCGCTGCTGATGCTCCGCGTCGAGTCCGCTTTTCCAGGACGCCGAGAAACAAAGCAGTCGTATAGGATCCATTCCGGCTCGGAATTTGAAAAGTTACGATGCATCCAATCTTGAGGCGAGCATTTACACATTCCGAGGTCCAATTTCGGTTCCAGTTCAGTGCAGACTGCAGACCGACAAGTCTTACAGCGGGTAAGCCCAGCCAACAGGGCACTTAGACCAGTGTAATTCCTCCTTTTCTGCACATGGCCATTGGTCCCGCCGTCCAGTCAGGGTCTTTCCAATTGACCAGTGGCGCCTGTCAGCGACGGCCAACCTGAGATACCTGAGCAGATCCACGTTGTCATAGCCGAAAACAGGTCGCCCTGATCTACTGTGTGTCACACCGTCCTGGACCCTACCATGTCATAACTCCTGGTGCTTGTACTTGTGTACTTGCGTACTATACTTGACCTGTAAGTTCACGACTCGCCGCTGATTGCACCGTGCGTAAATGGGTTACGACGCTCCTTGCACTGCCCTTGTCCAAGCCTCTTTCTTGCTCGCATAATCATACGCAAATTCGATGGATGGATGGATGATTACTGTACCGACATCTCTCACATTTTTCCAGAAGCAAACCGCCACAGAATTCCTCTTCCTTCATTCGTCATTTACTCCTTGAAGATCCACAATGGAATCTTTGGGTCTAAACTCTTTCCCACCAGTTGAAGAAGCCCGCTCTTTGGGGTCGTACTAAGTAACGCCAGCCGCTTTCATTTTCATTTTCGAGGCGGTGTATCAGTAAAACATTACGCGAATTTGCTGTTGTGTTGTGCTGTGCTGTGCTGTGCTGTGCTGTCTACTGTGCTGTGTTGTGATGATCATATGGATGGCTTGTGACTGACAATCAGTCACTTTGCCAACCAAATCCTCAGATGATAGACACGATTTGACACACAGCTTGCTTTGTTTCAGTGTGCACACACACCCCACCTCAGGGACCACCAAATGCATGAAGGGACCAAAGGATTGATGTTGGTGTTGATGCTTTGTTGATCTCTGTATGAGACTTGTTGACCTTGAGTCGTCCGTCAAAGCCTCGTTTATCTTACGCCCTTTGTCAGGTCAGTGTTACAATGCACAATGCACAATGCACCCACAACGCGACATGGCATGGCATGGGCATGGCATGTTTGCCTTTGCGGTTTACTTTTGTCTTTTGTGCTCTTTGCCTTGTCAACCAGGCAGGCTTGTTGCATTGAATGTTGAATATCGCATCTAACTAACCCCCTCGAGCCGTGGGGGTACAACAGAGCAAATACTGACTGGTCCGGATGCTCGCCTCGTCTTCTCTTCTTCAACTTCCCCACAATCACCTGTTTCGTTCATGATCAAGTGTCTTCCTCTGGCGACATTCCACTTGTCCTCTTCCTCTTCTTCCCCATCTACCGTCTGCGTCCACGATCGACCCTTGCCTCAGGGACGCACGCAGATGCAGATGGTTGCATTAGCCCTTTCTAGGTGCGCTGTGTTTCTGCATCAACAACACCCTTTCCTTCGTCCACCAATGGATTCACTTCCTTCCATCCAGACTCGTGAGCTCTCCTGCTCTCCCACGTCCGGCCCACTTACAGAGATGCATGCAATGCAGGCTAGAAATCCCCCGATGACGACAGTTTGGCATGGACATGGGCTGCTTTGTCTTGGACAGCCTGGAGTCGTAGTCTATCCGTAGCTCCCATGTGCCCGTAACGATGAATGGAAGCATGAATCCGAGTCACGACTTCCATGAAGATGTTCGTGGATCATATCCCAAGACGATCACAAAGGACCCTGAAACCAGCCAGCAGCCAACAAATTACCAGTCTCCTATTCCACGACTGAGTCGCCTGGTCGCTGAAACTGCTACAGCGTTACGAAGGGTCCTCCGTGTGCCCCCATTGCTGCGCGCGCGATATCCGAGCTTCTCGTGACTCGCTACCTTTCATTTCGTGCTGCGACGATCATGGAAGGTGTTTCAAACGGCCCAATCCCATCTAACACCGGTTTACTGATCGCCAAATGCCTCGGTCTCTTCCCGCAGTTATGGAGCGACCAGGCAGTGCAACCCCCCTTGTACAAGCTGGCAATGGCTTTCGGGTCTCTGGTCTCAGGTCTCACTCAGTCTCTGTGAGTGATAACGGACATGTACAATATGATATCAGTTTTCTATTGGCATATGCATACGCGCGCACAGGCTATTATCTCACTTCCTTGACAAACGTTGACGCTCTTCGTCACGTTGACCCGTCCGCCTGGGCACTAACCCCGCGTTGTGAAGTCAAATAGCCAAACCCCGCATCTTAAAAAGAGTATTGCAACGCGGTATCAGCGCGTAGCTGAAAATCGCCCATGCCATCCCTCTGCCTGCTTCTACTTATGGTATGGGCGTAGTATTCAGAAAGCCTTTCTACACTCTGGCTCATGCTCATGCTCATGCAGCTTCTGGTGGCCTGTCTGAGCTTGCCCTTGGCCATTGTCCAGTATCCTTCACCCACAACCCACCCACTCTCAAAACAAGGCTTGAATATCGCGAGACTCCGGCGGTGAACATGCTATGCTCTTCACTTCCCTGGAAACAAGGCTGGATAATTGGGCTTACACAGCAAGCATGATCAAGTTGAAGACCATGCTACAAAGGAATCATTGATCACGAGACGTCCGCCATCATCACAACAATAGGGTTGACTCTACGTATACATGAGCCAGGTTGTTACGACATACCGCTAAGCGTATACCGGATAGCTAGGCTATACCTTACGGTATATCGAGGAGTCATTGTTGATGGAGCACTGCGGATTCACAGTTGGAACTAATATGGACGTAGCACGCTTGGTGATGAGTTAAAGATCACCAGCAAATGTGCAATGTGTTCTATGTAATCTCGTATCTATTGACAAGAATGCAGGTACATTGGCTCTAAATACCTTCAACTCGACTTCTATGAATGTCTGTGTCCTCTCCCGCAGCCGCAGCTCGCATATTGACCCGCATGCTTATGCACATGCTCCGTCCTTCTGCATTGTCTGAACATGGGCCCAGGTCTCGGCCGGTTGCACAACTGGACCAAACTCCAAGGACCCAGTCTGCCAGTCTGCCAGTCAGTCAATGCCTTTTGTTGTTATTCTTATGCCCAAAACAGTTGCGCGGTTTTTTGGCAAAGGAGGTGTGGACTGCTGCATGATGGGTTGTACAGCATGGAGCTTCTCATCTCTCATCTCATTTCTCTCCTCCCTTGCCGTTATTCCGTTCTCTGAGCCGATTCCTTTGATCCAGCAATGGGCCGACTACAGGCTAGCCATGCCAGATCGAACTCCATAGTCACAAAGCTCCTGATTCTAGCCCCGACATTAAAAAAAAAGCCACGTCTCCAACTAGAGAAACAAGCATCTTGCGACATGCAAGATATACTATCTATGACGGTGAGTGTGTAGGTTCGCAGGACCAGAAAGTATCAAGCAGTGAGAAGCAAAGAAAGGGTTCCTAGTCACCCGCTCTCATCAAAGTCGAGGATTCGTGGTCGAATTGCCGATCAGGGACTTGACATGCCCTCCTAGATCTTTGCCAAGAGATTTGATTTTCTCCGAGAGGGCTCGAGCTTCAACCTTTAGAGGTAGCGGCCTGTGATGCTCATTGCTCACCACTCGACACACTTACAAGGCTGAGAATACTAACACCACCGTCCACGACCCCCATGGTCCAACACCAACAGAAAATAATCATTGAGGAAAAATTCCAACGGTCATCTGTAATTGTGCACGGTAACTTCCCCTGCGATCCTAGCTCGTAATCATATGAAGCCATTGTGGGTTCCTGAAAATTTGCTTTCCATCTAGACTTTCTAGACCAGGAGCTTCAAGCTTGAAAAAATGCTTGATTTGTTTTTTTCTGGGTACGCTAGAGTTAATATGAATTAACTTCAGTACTTCACGGTACTTCATTTGTATTCACCGACGCTTTCTCGTAATATTGAAAGGCAATCGCAATTTTTCACGAGGAATGAGAACAGCCACCGCCTGACTATGAATGTCAAATCCTGTTCAGTGGATACCCTCACCACTTTTCAGCTCTGAGTCTGATGTTAAGCCAGTCTCAGCTTGAGGTGTTCACTTTTGGCTTTGTCGTTGATCTCCCTGTTTGCTCCGACATCGCCTCGTCAACCTCGCCAACATGGCTGAAAGCCTGAAACGGTGATGCAATTCATCGCTCAGGAAGGACGCCTTAGCAGGGGCTGGGTTAGGCACTTTGTAAACGTTATTTCCACTCCTGTGCTCTGTATACAGTGCAGTACAGGATACGGGCATGAAGCCGCCGCCAAGATGGATTACGCAGTAGTCCAGGTAATACAAAACATGCAAGATAATTGATCTGGGTTACAGAGTATGTACACTGCGTGGCTGATGATGACAGTCGAAGATCCGTGACGACATGGCAAGAGTTGAGCCACCTTTTGCGTTGGCAAGACGATCACATAAAAGTTACGTGTATTCCGTGGCAAAGCAATTGACGTTCAATACTGGAGTCTGATGAGCTGCACATGGAAGCTCTCGGGGCATCACGGCTAACCTCACGCGGGCATGACGGGTCCCGAATTGGCGGCAAACGGATTCTCGAAAGCCCGAAACTCCATGGGCACGATGAAAGCAGCAATCAAGCCATTGCGTCTAAAGTTTCCCGTTGTGAGTGAGCTGTGAGTGTGAGTTGTGAACTGTGACGTGTGAGGTCATGATTGCTCAGGTGATCGGCAATTACACGTATTGAGTGCCGAGGGATATTTTCCTGTTTATTCTCATGTTTCATCGAGATATGCTTTGCTTTGGACTTTTGGTGATGATGTTTTGGCACCAGGGAGCCCGGTCCTCCGAAACATATTCGGCTCGGATATAGGGAAGGTTGAGTTGATGGCACTTTCGACATGTTGTCGTCATGGATGGAGGGATGGAGGGATGGAGGGATTGAGGGTGGATTGATGGGTCTATCGAAAACTTGTTGTTCGATGGGCTCAGGTGTAGGGTAGTCTATTTCTTAAATACTTAACTTCGTAATGTGACTTCTTAACCAGTTCAGGATAATAGCATTATTTGGCTGTTTACGTCGTAGTTGTTTAGTGGTAAATCGATTCTTCTCTACGAATTTAGAGTCAGTGATTTGGCAGCGTGGTATTTACGAACTGGCTTATCATCATCAACTGGACTTTTTCAACGAGTACTTCCACATGCTGCCAATAAGCATATAATAAACACAAGTATGATTCACGATGAACATGAGATTATCGGCTGAACATGTGAACCGTTAGAACCTACATGTGGCATTTGGATTTAGAGTCTAAAAGTCTTACGCCTTTGTTGCCGTTACTCGATAGTTTCTGGCGTAACAAACCATATCATTTGTATGCCCAACCTTCATATTTGAACAACCAGAACGCCAACGGTCTTGGGCCAATTGAGTAAGAAAGCCTTCAGAGAAACGCCAATGTTAAACCTGGTGTTGATAAATGTACACTTCACATGCCTACTAGTCAATTGATCATGGAATCGGGATGACCATTGAAGCTTAACACCACCACGGAGGTTAAAATCCAAGCTTCAAACAACCTCCGTTAAATTACGGCCGACATACTACATACACGTTGATGCTTAATACATCCGACATGGTGAGGCTGAGTGAAGTCAAGTTGGAAGAGTATTCATGATAACCAGGGAAGGCATAGTATTATTGCTCATTCATAGTATTCTATATATAGATACAAGTTTCGTGATCTTTATACACCTACATCTAAAGCCATATGACTTGCACACTTGTTTGACCATTGAAAGTCAAGATAGCGCATAAAGAACACAAAGTGCTGAGTACGTGCGACTTTTTATGTGTCCAGAATGATATCGAAGCCACCAAAGGGGGTTTATTGCAAAACTGGCATGAAATGGAAGGCCAGTATCACAAGTGGGAAACATAAAGGATAGAAACCAGTAAATAATACATATGAAATTTTAAGGATAAGTTGCATTGATTGTATATCATGCGAATAACAAACAGTTGTTGCCAATGTCGTTGATCGTGTTTGATAGGCGTCACGAAAATCCTAAGGATGAAATATGTTTGCTTCTGCAAGGCTACGCTCACCACCTTCAGTTAACAAGCGCAACATCTACATGTCCTACGAAACCCATGCAGCCCTTTGATGCTTGTCTAATATGACATGGTAAGAGACGAATGAATGGATGGATATTTCACCAACCAGAACATCATATGTGCACATTCATTCATGCCACCCTGGTTACTTCCGTGAGGCACACAGCAAGTCGACAACACAACACACGCTATGGCGCCAATTGAAGCGCTTCCCGTGGAAGCAATCTGTCGCATAGCCGACATATGCATAGACGAATCTGCCAGCAAGAACAAGGACTTTATGCAAACTCCAGAAGCCTTAGTCCAGACCAGCCACCATTTTTACGATATTGTAAACCCGCGCATCCGCACAATGGCTGTCTGTCGAGCAGCTGAAGAGGGACGGTTGGGTATCATCAAGAAGGCGCATGGATATGGCGCGGATCTGAGCTTAGCTGGGAGGATAAAACATGGCCAAAGAGCGTCGCCTCTTCATTACGCCATTCAAAATGGGCATCGCGATATTGTCGAATACTTAGTCGAGGTTGGCGTCGACCCTCATGTGCCATCCGCAGGACTTTGTACATGCTATATGGATGAGGCCATCGTGAAACCCTATGCCCTTCATACGGCCCTTTCACACAGCATGGTCAAAGAAGCCGCCAAGTTACTTATTCAGAAGCTGGGGGCTTATTGGTCTTTCCGCGGTATGCCTGCGTTGGATGAGGTCTACCCTGACGAGCATGACAAGGAACTGGCCGATCTTCTCATCAACTTGCCTGGACCACAACCTGCTATCGATGCGTTACGCTATGCCCTCCAATGGAAACACTCTGGCCTTGCGAACCGTGTCCTTGAGAGACCCGATTTCGATGCCTCCTTTCCCGACTATTGTGGACGAACACCAATAGCATGCGCTGTTTTCTATAACCAGCCCGAGATAGTCAAGTTGCTGCTACAGCGTCCAGAAGTTGACGCGGGTACACCGCAAAAGAATGGACTTACTCCATTGCATTTAGCTGTCGAAGAGAGGAGTTTGCCATTTGTCGAAACACTCATACAACACCCCGAGGTTGATGCAGGCAAAGCGGACAAGCATAATTACACTGCTCTGCATTGTGCTGCCGAGAAAGGAGAACTTGCCATCGTGAAGCTTCTCTTGGAACAGCCTGGAGTTATCGCAGCATCGCCAGATAATACGGGAATGACTCCTCTCCACTGGGCCGTCAGAAGTCGTAACCATACAAGCCACCCATGGCTACCAATGCGGAAAAGAATATTTAGATGTAATGGCCCGCCAGGTTTCAGGGCCCAAAGTCTTGATATTATCAAGATTCTACTGGCCCGACCTGAGATAAACGCAGGAATACCCACAAAGAAGGGACTCACTCCACTACACCACGCTTGTTTACTAGGTGACCCCGAGGTTGCGAGACTCCTACTAGGAAGACGTGATATCGATGCCAATGCCCGAGCTTCACATGGACAGACACCTCTCCACATAGCAGCGTCAAGTCGCCTCAGAAGTGGCATGAAGTTAATGGGGCTACTTCTTGAGCAGCGAGGCGTTGATATAACTGACATTGACAACGACGGCCGGACGATCTTACACTACCTCTGCGGAAGTCATGAACAGTTTTACCCACCCGATCTCGTTATCGAGACTGCTCTTCGAGAGGGTGTACCAATCGACAAGACATCCGCCAACGGTCTGACGGCCTTCCACCAAGCACTCTGTAGCGGCAATTTTGTGACCGCTCTGTTTCTACTTTCACTCGGTGCAGATCCCATGGTTTCCACACGCCTCAAGTATAACAACAGCTTGCTGCATATCATTTTGAGAACTCCAGGTTTTAGCCAAGAACAGCACGAGTTGATGGACGAGTTGATCAGGAAGGGCATCGAAATTGACACCTACACCGACTCACCTCTTGCCAATTTATGGAAAGATGATGAGTACAGAATTGAAGACGTCGACGGTATACTTTCCGTAGATCCAGTCACTGGAAGTGATTGCACTCCACTGCTATTGGCAGCACTTGGCGAATACAGACTCAAGGGCCTCAAGTCCCTCCTTCACGCAGGAGCAGACCCGAATGCGCCTGTAATCGTCAGAAACATAGAATTGGAGAGCAGCACCGAGAGCAACCGCCAGGCGTTTCTGTCAGGGGTGTTCCGGGAAACATGGGATGTAGAGCCAAGTGATGACGACATGATACAAAACGAAAAGCCCTTCAAGGTACTGTTGCAACATGGGTCGCGATTGGATTTCGAATGAATAGCGGACAGCCCGCTTCAAGATGCTTGTAAAGCAGCAGAAGACGGTCTTTATGCATTGCTGAAGATCTTGCTGGACAACTCGACGGCAAAGAATGTCAGCCAAAGTCATGTCAAGGAAGTGATTTCTGAGTATGCAGATAAGGACCAGCACAGCCGTATTCTCGATATGCTGACGGAGTTTGAGCGTAAAGTATTTGCTAATTAAATCAGCCTTCATCGTCTTCGATGGACTAACCGTTGGTGTTAGTCAAGGGCCGTTGGAGGGAATACGTCCAATTATTACCTTGGTGACATAACAACGAATGAACACACCTCACAGCCACAATTTGAAAACAGAACGCCCTAGTTAGTTGAAATCTATGTTCACGCCCTGAATTTCTTTCGTCCATCATAGTAGGATAAGAAGGCTATCCCTTGTCTGCAGCAGCAGAAGGGAATCATGTGACTAGGCACGTGCTCCGCTCGGATTTTCCCGCTAGCCGAATCGCGAATTGCTGCTCCGGCAAAGATTCGTGCCAGCGACCTCATTTGAGCTCACGCAAGCAACAACCTCACCCGCTCAGCTCCAGCCCATCATGAACTCCCTCCGCTTCGCCCGTGCGGCTCTCCGAGCTCGCCCTGCCGCCATCCGAGTTCCTCTCCAGCGAAGGACCTACGCCGAGGCCGTCCCCGACAAGGCAAGCACAAGAACCCGTACCCGGCTACTGCTTTTTGCTTTCCCGGAGCCCCGACTGACCGTTATCGCAGATCAAGCTGAGCCTTGCCCTCCCTCACCAGGTATGACCGCCGCGCAATAACTCGGATCGAGATCGAGGTCGAACACGATACGATCGAATTGGACCCCTACGATGATGGCCCGTTGCCAATTGATGGATGGAGCTAATTGCCGCATGCAGTCTATCTACAAGTCCCATGATGTCGTCCAAGTCAACATCCCCGCCGAGTCTGGAGAGATGGGTGTTCTCGCCAACCACGTCCCCTCCATTGAGCAGCTGAAGCCCGGTCTGGTTGAGGTTGTCGAGGAGTCCGCTGGCTCCAAGCTGTTTTTCCGTATGTCATGAATTTCAACAACCACCGAGTCGACAACCGCTGATGGAATTGTTTTATAGTCTCTGGTGGATTTGCTACCGTTCAGCCCAACTCCGTCCTCAGTATCAACGCCGTCGAGGGTTACCCTCTTGAGGACTTCAGCGCCGAGGCCATCCGCGCTCAGACCGCTGAGGCCCAGAAGGTCGCCAACGGTAGCGGAAGCGAGCAGGACATTGCTGAGGCCAAGATCGAGTTGGAGGTGAGTTTTGTACGGGACATAATTGCAATTGACTTCGCTAACGAAAACCCAGGTTCTCGAGACCCTGTCTGCGCACGTGAAATAAGTGTACAGCGAGTTTGTGGTGACGGAGGCCCTTGTACATCAATATTCTACCCATCTTAGCACGGAAGCCGTGACAATTGATACCAGTCCTGGTTGTGCTACCTCCTCAATGCACTTTCATTTGCCTGTTTGCTGGAGTGATTCCTTCCTAAAGTATTATAGTGACATAGATTTTTAGTGACGTTTATGATGTGATATAGCAGACATGCGCTGGGTTCTTTCTAGAATTTCTACTCCTGTAATTCTACGCCAGGCTCCTATATGCCTTTTAGAAACAAATCACTTACATATCTAAACTTCAACTCCTACGTACAACATGCTTCACATTTCCGCACCTTTCATAGCGTTACCGTCCATCGACTAATCAATCACCTGGGCTATCGCCGACTGCCATCCTTCCTGTTACGGCAGTGTCGCATGGCGCCTTGGTCGAGTAGCCCGCCTCTACCAAAAGTCGACAATTCACCCTATACATATACCTCGATATGATACCCCCAGGAGTCGTCGGCGATCGTGTTCGACAACTTCAAACCCTCACCAACCAAAGACCCAGGGACGAGCAGCCTCCAGATGCTTCCAAGCCACAACGTGAAAGCTCTACAATTGGATAGGAACCATCAGCAACCGGCGGTATCCGAAGTCGCACATCGAAAGATACACTTCCCAGGCAGACATCCTCGACTCTATCACAGAAAGAACTAAGATCCAGTGCTATCAGGGGATTTAGGGGCCGAAAGCCACCATCACGACCAAGTGTTGCAGGCTTCTATCCTCGAGCCAGCCATGGACGAACAGATCGAGGTCGACCCAGCCAAAACATCCGATATTCGGCTGGTACTGAGCTGCCCCCTTCTGAGTCTTTCGTGACATCGTATCTTCCCTCGACAGACCCTTCACGCACTGCCAGTGCCACCGAGAAATGCCAAGATGCGATGGACATTCTCGAGCAGTATGGAATCTCCAGACCCGAGGGATGGTTCTCGGACGGCGGTACTGGTACGCCAGATCAAGTTGTACCGACCAAACAAATGCTCTCACAAATCTGTCACTCGTGCGGTAATCCTCTAGCTTTCCAGCGATACTGCTCACACTGCGGCCATGATTCTTGTATGAAGTGTACGGGAGAGACCCAGGGCCTGGAACACAGGACTCCCGAAACTTCTGTCCAGTATCAGGAGCATAAAGGGAAGACTCCTAGGCTACCTTCGCAAAGTGAAGGCCTTCCAAGCGAGCGCAGCTATACTTCACGAGCTACACTAGACAGGGCACGAAGGCGTAAAACTTCCCGGTTCGCATCAGAACCAGTAACACCAAGAACACCTCGTTCAATCAAAATGCAATCTCGTCCAGTGTCTAAAGCTGGCCAGAATATCTTGAAGCCAGCACGAAAGAAAACGATCGCGGCGCCATCAGAAATTTCTACTTCAGTGAAGAACAATCCTTTCTTCATGGCAGACAGGGGACCAAAAACAGAAGCCCCTGAGCCTGCAATTACTACGAGATTGGTGCAAGTGGAACGCAAATCCAAGCACTCAGATTGTGTGCCTGATCGCCTGACGTCAAAATCACCCTGTGTTTCTCATACACAGGAGGAATGTTCTGATCCTAGCTGCAAAGCAACACACGCTGGCCATCAACCAACACGACATAGCATTGGGTGCGCAACTAGACGTAGCATGGGGGTACAAGTGTTTGAAGGAAACGATTTGGACAAGATTAAAGCAGACGAGGGTAAGCCTGTAGGAAAACATGCCCCGTCACTGAGAGATTCGCCATCTCGAAGCAAGTTACAGATGAAAATCGGCCAACTGTATCACCATGGGCAAGATCTCTATCACTCACAGCATATCATGGAACACTTGTCAGCTGGTGTTAAAACTCTCGAAGACACACCAGCCGAAGAAGCCGAGGACTCATTGATTGACGGCTACGGATTGAGTGTACACAGCCAGCCTGTTGCTGATCACTCTTTGAGCCAAGATGGCACTGTGACTGTGAAAGCCAACCTTATCAATCATGAGTTGGGCAAAGACTCGGCAGTTCCAGATGTGACTGAGTCACAGCCACCTAATCTTAGTGATTATCACAAGGGGGATCAACACCCGAGCCCGAAGTCTCACGAGCCCAATGACGATACTCGAGGCAGGGGTAGCCATTGGACAAAGCCTCGTTTGGATACTCGCAACGAGGTCCAGGACTCTCGAGAAGACCACTCGGGGTCGCTGATCTCACAAGCGTTCAATGCAAAACCCAAGCTGAATTCCAATGAGCCAAGGAGAGGCCTTGACACCTCTCAAGAAGGAGATGACAGGATCACGCCACAAACTCGAAGGACCTCCTTGTCACAAAAAGGACGCGATGTTGACCCCAACGCCAAGAGTGGTATTGGTAGACAAATTCCACAGACGAGCGATCCTGATAAGCCGAATCCCGAAACCACGGGCATCTCGTCATAGAGGACGCAGTTGAGAAAGGTTGACAGGTCGTCAGAGCAGCCACGAAGCCAGCAACTAACCCCTTCCCATGTAGAGAACTGGAGGCGTGAGCTCAGCAGTGTAAATCGCCGTACACCACTATCGGAAAAGGAGAAGGAGAAGAAGGAAGATTGTCTCAACTGCAATCCAAGCCAATACTCATCGCCAAAAGAAGCAGAAAATACAGTTCAGATATTCGCGAAAGAAGAGTCACTGATTGAGAATGCGAACAAACAAAATGCCACAGTTGATTCACCTTTACCTCGACTTAAAGTGACAGATGTTGAACACTCCCTCGCTCGGAAAAGCGTCGAGGAACTCATGGCCAAGAGCCATCAGCCGCAAGGAACTATAGCTGAGGAGCCAACAAGTTCTAGGATTGTGAGTGTAGCGTGCGAGCAACGTCGCAAAGACTCAGAGATGTCGACTTTGATTTACGTCCCTTCGCCCGTGATGCCATACGACCACATGTGCGCCTGGCGAGCTCGCTACATGGATCTCAAGTCGCAGATTGACCAATTCGAGCTCGAAGCAAGCTATCCGCCAGCAGGGAAAACAACCGAGGGCGCTGGCCCCTCGTGTTCACACCCCAATGGAGATATTGACATTGAAGGCCTCACTGTTGTGATGCATCTTAGAGGCAAGGAGGACTTGGTGATCAACACGGATTTGAAAGAGGGTCTGCAGGAGCATTTGAAGCAGCGATAGAGAGGAGGCTTATGAGGATCCACGGTTGGAATAGTAATGCAAGGTCACGATATACTGACGGAGTAGTGGTTTCATGAAAGTTTGCTTGGTTTATATTGGCTGACTTGGGTATTGATAGAGATTGTCCCGTGTTCCTCATCTCGTCTCAAACAATTCACCTAGCCGCTCTCTTCTTTGAACCCTGAGCTACCTACATGAAGTGAAGGATTGTGCAAGAATTACGATACCATACTGACTGATATCAAACTGCCTTTGCTGGATGATGATCTCCTCAGGCCGCCTTTTGGAAATGAGAAACTGCTTCGACAAGGTAGGGTATTATTAGTTAGGTGTCCATGCTCACAACGGCGTCGCAATCCAACGTCAGCGACCGTAGCGAACGAAGCCTACGAATACAACAGAGAGAGTAATAAGTACTTAGTTATCCGTACCTGTCTGCCTCTCAAGGCTAACGATCAGCCAACGGGGATGATTCCACGGCTTCCCGGTCTAGTCCCCGGGCCCTACTGCAGCCTCCCCTCTTCCCCGGCTTGTCAGAGGTAGACAAACCAGACCAGGCCAGACCAGGCCAGGGGGTGGTAGTTCGTAGCGGGAAGTCCTCAGCCCTCACGGTCAAGAGGCGGTGACACTGACAGGGGGGCGTAATGTTCCTCTTTTTTCTCCTTCAGTTTTCACCTGTGCGGGCTTGCTTGTATGCACGTAGCATGTAGGTAGGGCTGGTGGGATAGCACAGGGCATGGGGCACAGGGAACATGGGCCGTCGGGGTTTTGACGTGATAGACCCTTAGAACCCGGGTGAGGTGAGGTACAACAGTGGTTGAATGAAGTATTTGCTGTCTTGTGGGTGAGGCGAGCAGGGTGTAACCCAGAAGCAGGATCGACCTGGCTTTTGACGAGGATGATCTCGAGATGGGATGTTGCTTGCTCGACCAACTAGGGCTATACACGAACATGTTAAAAAAGCGACATGATCTCACAATTCTGTTTTGTTTTGAGTAGGGGCGAGCCGAATCCCGTCATGTGGATGACATGGTGTAGAGCAGAGCAGAACATAACAGAACAGGAGCGAAGCTATTTAGACGGAGGGCGTCTGCTGTCCTCACATATTATCAATATTATGGTTAGTGAATCCTCCAATTGAAGCGGTGAGAAATGTCCCCAGAAATCGACCTAACTTGTCGGTGAAACTCTCCATTGAATGCCCATGTTCGGTGCTGGTATTGGTGTTGGTGTTAGCGAGTTCTAAGAGGAAACCCAGCCTCATGCAACGCAGACTCGGTATGTATGCAGCCGTCAAAAACGCAGACAGACAGACGAGCCCAATATCGAACTTCAAACGTGCATCTGCATCTCTGAACAGGGGGTCCCATGTTTGTTACAACTCATGCCATCACATATTCCTATCTCATGCACGTAACAACGGGAGGAAGACAAAAAAAAAAGTCCCGACCACAGAAAGCTTTACAGTGTCAAAGCGGTCAAGGCGTCGGCGACGGCGGTGTAAGGGCACAGGAGAAGCGCGAGTCTTGCGCTGGAGAAGATTCTTCGGTAAACGAAACGCGTGCGGGAGTTAGTGGATCTCAAGTCCGGCAGTTGAGAAAGCTAAGAGCCAAGAGTCTAGTTCGTTGCGCTGGGTGTCTCACAATTGACGCCGTCGTGAGGTGTTCAAAGGTTGAAGTGAAGGGACGGAAAGAGAAACACGCATCCGTCGCTTTGATGTGTCCCATGGATTGCAGTAGGCAAACATTGGCGAAGAACAAAAACAAGGGGCCTAGACAAACACTGTGTAGTAGTGGCATTCGAGAGAGCAAGCCAGCAAGCAAACAAGCAAGGGTGAGACAACGTAGCGAGAACCATGGATCTGATCCGTAGAGCTTGGAATGAACCAGCCCCCAGCCCCCAGCCCCCAGGCCATGGTCGGCACCGGTTCAAGATCCCGTGTTTGATAGTGCTGGTCAATACCTGTCGACAAGGAAGAGAGAAAGATAGAAGAACGACAGAAGCTGCGAAGGACACCTGGGGTCGGCTGGATTAATGAACATGATTGGATATGGGTCCTAATGCTTGCGAGAATGGGCTTGACTTTGCTTTGACAGGAGAAGCGAGCTGATAATCAAGGCCTAAGTTACGCATCGAGCTTGAAATCGTAAAGTCTCAATCCCTGGATCCCAACGTCCACTTTGAACACGTGCCCACCGTACTCACGGCTTGATCCTTCGCCCTCGTCGTCCTCGGCAGTCGTAATGACAAGTTCGGTGTCGACAAAGTGTACGCATGTCGTGTTATTTGTCGGCACCTTGACTTCGCCTACAATCTCAGCCGTCTTTGGGTCGATCCTAATGACACGGCCCTCTCCGTACACAGCCTGCCAAAGGAAACCGTCCACATCCACACGGAAACCGTCTGGCTCACCTGAGCCATTATGGGTATAGAAGACGCGCTTGTTTGATATCTCTCCAGACTCAGTGCTGAAGTCGAATGCAAAGATTTCCCGCGCACTTGAGTGGGTAACATACAATGTTTTCCCATCAGGGGACCAACCTGGCGTGTTGGGGATTGTCATGTCGGGCAGCTTCACCTCTCGTGACTTGGCATCCATTAGGTAGACAGCTCCTATATATGCACAGTCAGATTATATAAAATATGATGCAATGTAGACAAACAGAGAGTCGAAAAAATGCCAGTACAGTGCAGTACTTGGCCAGGGCATTGGGAAGCGTACCTTCAGGCTTGAAGGGACCAAGACCAAAGTCCGTCATTGTTCCCATCCAGAACCGACCAAGAGGGTCTATGCCGCCATCATTACTCCTCAAACGTTCATTAGCTGGCTCTTCGAACGGCTGAATGAGTTCATATGTTTCCTTCTTCACATCGAGAACTGCCAGCCCATACTTGACGCCAAGCGCAATTCGATCCTGTGGATCAACACCATCAATATTGGCTGTAACGGTAGGACATACGTCCAGTTGAATGGTTTTGAGAGACGAAGGACCTTCTGCCATCTTTACATAATGAAGTCGCTTGTTGCGGATATCAACAAACCGTAGAGTGCCTGTCGATTCCTCGTAGAAAGGCCCCTCGCCCAATAGGCAATGCGTCTCAAGCCAAGGCTTCTCTACCGTCCATCGTTGGAAATTGGTGCTCATTGTGAATGATGTTTGATGTGAGACTGGGATCCTGAGGTGATATAGCTAATCGACTGTGTGTTGAGTAGAGAGGTAGAGCTATACCTCTATGGTGGTGCGATGGCTAATAGCGGGGTTGAGGTCAAAATGAAGTACTTCTATGATGTAGATGTGAGGGGAAACCGAGCGGGTCAAGACAAAGCCAGGCTCGGAGTGGAGAGCTATGCTGCGTCAAATACGAATAGGAAATCCGAGAAAGAAAATAGCAAATGTGAGGCTTGAGAGGTCAAGGAAGAAGAAAGAGGAACGAAAGCGTTAAATAAGTTGGTTCAAATGCACTGAGATTTGATATTTGCCGTGTAATAAGCTTCACCAAGGTTAAATTCATCCTCAGCGCGCTTGGCCGGTTCGGCACGGATGTACTCTGTAGTCGAGTATGCTCCGATATCAACGCCCCGTGCCGCCGGGCCTGACAGCCGGGTATTTGATCCTAGCCAGTTGCCTGATTGGGATAACATGAATTGACGTTGTAGTCTCAATTTTCATTGGCGTTTCACCTGGACATCATTTGGGGTGTAGTAGGCGTTGAAAGTCTCAAGGTAGGACAAGTATAATGTCTCTACGGATAGTAGGTCCAGTACCATGGCTCGGTCACCCAAGTGGCCCGACCATGCTGTTGGTCTGTTGTGGCGTTGTCTAACCAACACACTGTAACAGTCGATCTTGCCTTGGTGAAAGCCGCGTGACCCAAGCTGTCGGGTCTTGCAACGTCGTGCAAGACATGTAATTGGATAGACAGTACTTGATTGCTCTGTGCACAATCGTTGTGCGCGCTTGCGGCAGTTTGATTTCGGTCTAACCCAGCGTCTGCAGCACACCTTGTTCGTATGTTTAAACGCCGGTTCATGTGCGTACATGTAAAAACACGTGGTTGGGAGTACCGCACTCGTGCTTGGCAAACTCTGGCAAACCAGCGAACCTCTCGTAACGAGGTTATTGAACGAATATCCACGGCCCTTGCCCATCGTCTGGCCTCCGAACCGTGGGTATACAAATCTCGTCACGATAATAATCTGCAATCTGGATTCTTGTACGGCTATCGACTTGTTTCGTGGGGGATATCGATGTCGCCGCCGCCAACCTCTACGTCTTCTCTATGTATTATGGGATAAATTGTCAGTCCCTTGGTCCTTTCCTAATAAGAACACCGAGACTCGCCCATGTTCCTACCAGACGAGTGCTCTTGCACACTCAGCACATCTTGGCGCAATTCACGGATGGGATGATGGTAGACGGTGCCCCTAACGAATTCGTTGCCAACATGTTCCTCACGTTCCCACCACATCTGCACCACAATCGGTGCCAAGATGTGTGTAAACCAGACGGATAATAGATCATATTTGCGAGGTATCCCAAAGCGAAAGATCCAGGCTCAAGAGAGTGTTCCTCACAGCTTTTCTCCGGTCGCGGAATGATTGGGTCGTCATCGGGCAGCAACAACACCTTTATGGCGAGGAGTTGGAACGCCAAAGGACAGCGCATCAAAAGACAGCTCAACCCGCAGCTCCCACGCATCTAGCGACCGGTGAAAGTGTATGCAATTAGAGACACACACTCACACCGCCCTACCAAAAATATGGCAGTCTAGCACCAGAAGATGCTGCAGTATGTAAATGGAGTGAAGCGGACGCTGCATCGTTGGGTGGCAAATGCCTACCAACGCCGTTACCTGCATGTGCTAGCTAGGCATGCGGTGTGCGTGCCAATAGTTGGTCCATAGTGCATCGATGCACCAGTGCTGTGCTGCTGCATACTGTAACTACTGTATGTCTGTATGCAGATGCAAGAGTGGGCTCCTGCATGAACCAGGCCCGAGTTACGGACACTCTCGTACAACTCATTCTTGCAAGCTGTCTGCCTCGGCCACAAGACACTGTGACTGCCTGACCTGGCCTTCTACTACTGTGTTACTGCGGGTAAGCCCCCAGAGATACCACGCTGCCAGCACATCCCGGGCCACGACAAGAGACAACAGGCAGGGCAAATTAGTTGCAGGATGCAATGCACACCATAGTTACAGATGCCGTTGATTAGCTGGCAGGGCGTTACCTAGCCCCAGGCCCTCGGCCACTCTCCCTGACCGCTTGTGGTCACGGGAGGCATCGTGGGCCTATGATCGCCGCTGCTAGACTGGGGGTAGGTGCTGGGGCTGAACCGAGTTTTGAGGAGGCCAAAACTCGACTACATGCGCGCGTACGTATGCACGAACAGTATTCCGTATAGAGTTCCAACAAGAAAGTCTTGCCCGCAGTATCCCAGCATACTGGGCGATGAGCGTTGAGGCCTGGATAGGGAGATCCAGAAACGAACGAAGAGACAGTATTATCAATCTTTGCTCAGGGCCAGGGACAAGGAGTGACCGGCGACTAATGCATAAATATAAACCTGGAATTAATGGAATATTAGCTTTGCGAGATGAGCGGAGGCCAGGTTATACTTACGCGCAATCGATTGAATCAACAATGACCAAACTACTAGGGACGGGCCGGCGTAAGGACGGGAAGGGATACAGCATGGGATGTCGTGACTTATCACAATCGATGATAACGTATTCCTGTGCTGCAAGGACCTTACCTTTTCCTGCCTTTCAGCGTGAAAGAGATACGTGCGTTCAATTCTTGTTCTTCAAGGCTTTGGCTTTCTTAGTGCATACGTCGAATAATGTTTCGAAAAGCCCGTCATTCTGCTGCAACCTTGCTTCTAACCGAATGCTTTCTTGATAATATTCGAGCGCCCGTTTGTGTCAGTGCCTGTAATTATCCAACGTCGAAGGATGTGATAGAATTTCATCAACAACCATAACCCCCGCATTACTGAGACCGCCACCTCGCAACACCAATTCCGATTGAATCCATGTTAGATGACCTGCGCCGGTCCTCTGAGTTTTAGAGATCGCCGGCAAGACTGAGAATGTAACTATCTTTTTTTGAGTTGCGCTACCCCACCGCCCACCAACATTAACAACAAGACCAGGTACAATCTTTTTACTGCATCTAGTCTGTTGAAATGCGTAGAAATGGGTAAAATTGACTGTGGCGAATAGTTTGTAAGCACTTAATAGTTACACAGGTAAGCCATATGGCATAGCTGTTGTGCTGTGTCGAGAACTGAAGCAGAACATACTTCTCAGGAACACCTCGGTTTGCGGCACTCAGGCGATGCTAAACACGCACCGTCCCGTGGCCTCCAGCGCCGAAACGTGCCGTTGGACGAGACAAATTGATAATTGCGGCACGGCATGGTGTGACAACGGTTTGAATCACCCGCCGTCAACACATGTTGGCGCCTTTGGTCCACCTCATTTCACTTTTTGATTGCAGATTCATTTCCCAGGAAGTTTGAAATGAAACGCACATTGAGCTATCACAGCAACGTCAGACCACCCCGGTGCCTCGACCAGCGTGCGTGCGAGCCAAACGAAGTACCAATCTGGACCAAAATCGGACATTCTTGAAGGCGCCTCTTCTTGTTTGCTTTTGTTCACTTTCGTAACCGCCTACTGAGCAATGGATCGAGTAGCTGCTGTGTTCATATCAGCGCTTCGTTCCGTAATTGTAGACCAGGCGGCAGATGCTTAAAATTTTGTGCGATGATCCACAAGTTTGTGCCGCGGCAATGCTGAAAGAGCCTGGCTTGAACCGTAGACGACGGGTGAAGATAGCCAACCTTTTACCAACCAAATCATGAACGGAACGATCTAGTCCGCCCATCCTGCGCGTGACATTGACGACAGGTAGGTAATGTCGCGTCTGATCTTGAAAGCTTGCTAGACTTCAACCATTGCCCCGGTACGCGCGCCTGTGCCAGTCAGAACTCCGGCATCGACGCAATGCAGAATCGCTCTCCACTCGACAACTGTCATGGATGGTTGCATCTGCACGCAGGCGGGCCTTGCAGCTTAGAGCCAGGACCCTTCCCCGGTAGAGTCCCTGGTCATGCAATTGACCGTGACCCGAGCGAGATCCTGTCCTGTCATTCGAATTGCCAGTGTGACTGGCGGGACTCAATGCACCCACACCCCCTCGGTCGCGGTACCGTATATCACCGCTCCAGGGGTTTTGGCAGAAAAGAAACTCAAGACAACTATAACGGTTGAGAACAGAAAATATAGCCATGCGTCAACACTCGCACACGTGCTTTGCTTTCGCGCGATCAGAAGTTGAAAATGCGATAGGCTCAATGTTTCCTAACAGATCAAAGGATTCGTCTGATCATCGACGCATCTTAAGAGAAGGGTTTGGGCTGATGAAGGTTTGATTGTGACCGAGTATCCGTAGTACTGTCAAAGACACGGGGTCCTTGGGGATCAGTCTTGGCGATGACAACAACCCAAGGCTAGCAGTGTTCATCAGAGATGTACGACCACGGGTAGGCCAGGGGCATTCCGCGCTTCCTCCCACCATTTCAATTTGAGTGCGGTGTGGTGTTGTGGCGTGGATTGTGTGGAAGTTAGGTTACTCGATGAGAAGACCAGGTAAAGGTTAGCCGGAGTGTCAAAGATGAGATGCACCACAATGCTGAAGATGAGAGATGACGGGAGCTTAGAGATTACCTACCTAACGTTAGACCTCTGAGCGCACCTGCCAGCTCCCGCGCTTTCAATTGCAACACCTCATGCGCTTGACCCTTGGTTACCTGCAAACGATCTGCCTAACCGAGCGGTTCCTTCCTCCTCTACGCTACGTGTTACCACTTAGCTGTTCGAGTTTTTGTTTCTATTGCGCTGACACCTAACCTCGTTCGCACTTACCTCTTACTATAGCTATTTTCTTATACCTACCTGCCTTAGGTAGATACTCAAACACCCAAACGACCTAGATAAGGTACTATAGGTAGGTAAGAGGCAGCTATCGGGCGCGTAGACAAGGTATGTAGGCAACTAGTCACCTAATACTCGTTGATCCTTCGGCAGACGATTTATCACTATTCAAGTTTAAACATCATCACCATGATCAACATGGAACTCACTCCAAATTTGTCATGTTTGAGATTCTGCTTAGTCCCACCTCTAGGGGTATGCTTAAGAGCTTTCTTGCTTTTGTCCTGCAGCCCTGCCCTACCTTGGCTTCTAACGTCTCTTAATGTCTCACTCGACCATCTCAGAAAGGGACATGCAAGTGAGTGCTGGATTGGGTGGGTTCATGTCTTGGATCATTCCGCATTGGGTGAACGAGCCCAATTGCGACTGCGATTGCAACTACAACTGCAATGCCATGTCATCACGAACGATATCGATGATGGATGTATGATGGGATGGATGTGGGTGATAATGGATGATGAGTTTCTGTATTCGAGGCCTGCAAAGCTCTTGCACATCATCGCGAACCATCCGTGGCTGGCAGGAAAAAAGAAAAGAAAAGAAAACACTTCGACTAATTAATTACCTTAGTGAGCAGAACGCAATCAACAGCTCGAGGACCCAAGCCCTGGCAACAACTAGCCAGGGTCAGCTAGACTAACTAGGTCCGCACCACCCAAAACCACGGACACGGGCGACGGGGCGTCATGACGATCTTTTGTTTCTTTGTCCTCTCAGCTCTTTTCCACCTGGGTATTCCCGCCCTGTACAGAGTACGTACCCAGGAACAGCATAACGGTCTCCATACCCTACCTTTGCGGTTTCCTGTCGTCTCTTCTCTCTTTCCTTCTGCAAGCCGCCTGCTTGTTGCTTTTTAGGCTTACCCAAAGCGCGTCACCGTGTTTTCCTCTGGCTTGGCCAAGATTCGCTTCTGTCAACTTACTTACAGTTGATCCATGGTCCACGTCGCCCCTACCAAGTCGAGTAGTCACTCGCTATGGTTGAGATTTATCAGTACATGCGCCTCTTGACATTCGCATCTGTATCTCCAACTCGGTCGATGACAGAGACATAGACGCAGCTTGTGCTGGTTGACGCTTGGGCAGAGACGGGCCGCACCTGATCTTGCGGGATCGATGCAGTCAGTGACTTGATCGGAATATAGTAACCGTGCCCACGGCTACCGTACATATTCCCGTTGACCGCTCTAGTTTCCCTTAGCCTCCGGATGTTTGGCTGTTAGCCCGCCAGCCAGTTTTTGAGCTAAATTGATGGCGTTGTTGAGCTCAGTTTTGCTTTAGGACGCTGCAAGCCATCCCGGAAACCTTTTTGACTGAGGCCTGCTGCTTTCCAAGTCTTGATGGCCTCGTACTATACTTCTAGCTCTATGGCTGCTGAGCTCTTCATCGTTTATCTCATATATGTCGGCTTATCATCTTGCAATACCCCATACCCCCCCACCTAAGGGGAAAAGTAGGTGCTAAAGTCATGGGCAATTTTGGTTAGATGTGCGATTCGGGAGCACACCGACTCCATGAGTATAGAGGGAAGAAAAATTGTCCTGACAGCAAAGCTACCGGCAGCTCCCCGTCCTCTGCGACCCCAGTCTCCTAAGCCTTTGCGGACTTGGCGCCGTGGAGTGTGCAAAGCAAGGGTACCTCAGTTCTGGTACGTATCCGTACATGCTTCTGCGTTTAGTCTTCATAACCCCTGGTTAAAACGTTCCCCGGTACTAGCACCCATTCATCTCCTCACCCTCGACGAAGAGCGGTTCACTGTTGGGCCGTAGCTCTGAACCCCGGCTTAGTCTAAGAAGCTAACTACGACTTCTTTCGCTAAATGTGTTAACCATGGGTCACTGCGGGACTTCTACCTTTGATGACCGGACAAGCTCTGGGGCTTGATAAGGGCATGTCGCCGTCCAGGGCCAGCTCAAGGCTTGCGTAGTTCGTACCAGAACAAATAAAGAATACCACACAGTGTGGCCTGGATCGCAATACCCCCATGTCCTGTATCCTGGACAGGACTCGCTTCATGTTCTCACTTGTTGGTGGTGCAGACCAAACATCTTACATCACTAGACTTTCCCTGTGCCTGACACAGCTTTACTCTTCATCTATCTTTGATACTCTTCTCCCTCTCTATTTCATTACAGCCTTATGATCTTAGACTACACAGATCACTACCAGTCTTACGATCTCTTATCAGGCCCTCATCCTCGGCCACCAACTGCTGTTCACACATATTACAGTTCTTTGCATCCCATCTCACCCGACTGCCAGATCGTTCTCGAAAAGGTGACGTGGGCTACCTGACTTCCAAGTATAGCAGAGCCAATAATTGGGACGCAAGGCGAGAAGATTGCTTGAGACCTTGGCTCCATCCATAGCCACGCAGAATCAGCCATTCAGAAACGGAATCTCTCTTCGAGGTGTATGATTTGCTGGCCGGCCTCTACTATATTCATATATCCCTGCTCCCCAGTCTTTTCTGCGATCGCACTTGCGCGGGACAACTTCATCAACGACCTAATTCCGTGTGAGCTAAGCGGTCTTCCTTTGGATTGATTCGAACATCACGCATCGCATTGTGTGGTCCATGCCCAGGCGTTGACCACAAACAAGCCGGCATACTGATCTCTTATTTATCAATCTCAATAGTTCGACCTCGGGTTTCGATTTCTTGCACTCTCTCTTGCTCGACTCATTCAAGTTTGTCGTTTATAAAGGAGTGTATTCTTGCTACCCACCCAGCTTTTGCGACTCAGCTGTCCTCCTCTCAAAACTCTCTAGAGTCTGCGGTAGCTTCACTTCAAACCAGGACTGTTTGGGTTATATTTCCCATCTAGTCCGCAATAACAATACATCCAATCTGGCGCTTCCATCAACGAGCCTGTGGTCGCAGGCGCAATCTTCCCAGAGCAGACCCGGTTCTGCCGCAACAGATTCAACAGGTGCATCACCCAACTCACCGCGGACACCCTCGACACCAACTTGGCATTCTCGGGACTTTTCTCTATCGAAAACTACTGCCAGTCAGGACAATAAACTACCGTCTTTAGCCAGGCTCGGGGAAGGTCAATGTGCCGGCCCTCGCGGCCAGGTTTGCACAGGCGGTCTGGTCTCAATGTCGCATACTGGACCTGCATCTCAACATGCAGAACGCCGTTCTTCGAGGTCCCCGCTGGGAGACGATCTAGCATCACCTTCCTCGATTCGGCACAGACAAGTTGGTAACCGTGATGTGCGCCACAACGTCTCATATAGCAATGGCGAGGAAAGAATGCAGCAGGTTCCGCAAAAGAGTCTTGGTGTTCACAACATCCTCAATCCCTTGGAGCCGCGTTCTTTGGGCCTAGGAGGAAGCGGACCTCTTAATCCAGCAACCCGTCCTTCCGATCCAAAAATGTCAGTCCAAACAGCTGGCCCAATGTCAGGGCCCTTCTCTGGAGCAAGGCCATTTCCTGCCAACCAGCCTGCGTCAATTTCTCTCCCAGGAACACCTCAATTTGGTACCATGACACCACTTGGTGGTTCTTCGTCGGAACGCAACTCCCCAACAACAGCATATCCCTTTCCTGTCATGAGTAATACAAGACCAAAAGCTAGCCCAATACACCATCCTCGAGCTATCAGTGTCAGCCATGTGCCGTCACGCGAATCTGACGACCGGCAGCCTTCATTGCACGGAAAGCGGCCCTTCGAGGACATTACGTCGGAAGACACCAGACCTCAATATCACAATATGCATCCTCTCTCTGGGATGCCCACTGGACCTCCCTCGGTAATGTCGGACTCCGGTAGGTTGTATTCTCAAGGAACAATCGCTTCTCCTGGAACTCAAGCTCCCCTCGCTACTTTACCCCAAAGCCATGGACCAAGTCATACGCAAGCACCCTCGGTGCATTCACAGACATCTTACTCTCCTAACATGCAGGCTGGCCGGCCGTTTCCTAGCCCGGGCCCCCCGAGTGACGCTGGCTCGCCTTGGTCTGAGACACTACGAAGACACGGTATGGGGGGGTCACTCTTCGGCGTTGAGGGACAGCAAGCTTTTATGACACTCCCCGGAAGCGATGCGCCTATACCTGTTCATATGGATTTCTCTCAGGCGTCCAAGAAAGCAGATGAGAAAAGGCAGCGGAACGCCGTCGCTTCAACAAGACATCGAAGAAAGAAGAAGATTATGCAGGAAGAGAACTCGAAACAATTGCAAGAGCTCCGGGATGAAAGGAGAATGATGGAAATCAGAATCGATGAGTTGACGCAGCAACGAGACTTCTACCGAGAAGATCGCAACCGCCTACGAGAGATTGTCGCGCAAACGCCTTCGATAAGTGGCCATGCTGGAGGACCTCCAAGTCCTACTTTTTCAGCAAGCAATTCGTATGGGGATGCGGGATCATTGACACCGGGGCCGTCAGGATCGATGGGCTATGGTAGTGATATGATGTCGAGCGAGAGACCGACCCAGCGCCGTCGAACCGACGACCATCCCGAATACTCGCTACCGCCATACGGATCTCCCGCAAGTGGGCACCCGAGCGCATCTCCCAGTGGGCTCCCAGCAATGCCAATGTCAGGGTACGGTGGACCATCACGACCATCATCCGCTGCATCATCGTCAGCAAGCGGCGAGAGGCTGCCACCGCTGAGAGCAATGGAAGGTCGACCTCCTGGACCAGGTGTGCAGGAACAAGACCCACGGACAGGCCAATGGGTTCCCGTTCAGCCCCGAGTACCGGAAACTGGCTGGGCGACCAGGGACACTCATCGAAGACAGTAATGATATGGCGATAGATGTCACAAGGATTACAGGTGCGCAAATGCGCACTATGTTTAATGGAGACCAGTGTTCTCATATATCATATAATACGGGTGTGGGTTCAGGTTTTTCTTATGGAATTGGTGACTAGCGGGTGGGGCTTTTGGAAGACGCATCTGTTGGGCAACCGACGAATTTATCGCAACTTATAATGTTGTATTGTTTTGTTTCATTGTTCTTGTCCAGTTCCATGTTTTTGTTATTTGACTTGAAGACTTTCACATTTTTACTATGCTCCTCGTTATAGCGGAAGTGGGTGTAGGCGCGTATCTGTCGGCTACCTCTGTTTGGAACGTCGAGCGAGTATGGGCGAGCAAAGCATCTGCCCAGTCTCAGGATTGTTGTCTTCATATTCCCTTGATTATGTACCAGCTCATTGATACCAGATTGAAATTGCGATTTGTATTTTTGTCTCATGTTTGGCAGGAAGTGTACCTGATACCCCGGTTCTTGCTACGGACGAATTCAAAAGCTCTCAAGTTGTATTGTATACCTTAGCATAGATTCTACATGGTTAGAAATAAGAATGCATTTAATGGGCAGTATTCACTAAATAGCTCATCTCTGTTCTCTTGAACGTGCATATAACAAAGGCCTGCAAGTCTTGTTTGAGACAATAGATCCATTCGGCAATACTCCCTGGAGGGGCACAGCTTCATCTCTCTGAGGGAACAACATGTCGCGTGGATAGAGGGAAGAACTAGGTGTATGATGGGGGAAAACAAACCTCTATAGAAATTGCTTATGCTTATGCTGTACATGAGGCAGACAGGCAAGTTCTCCGTACCAAAGACCAAGTGACGTGTCCGAAACATTCAACCAGTCTCTTACGCTGTCACTTTGTCGCCTTGCTTTACTTTGAGGCTGTGGACAAAAGCCACTTCATGCAAACACATGGCGTTGGTGCTTGTATGTGACGGATGTCGCATGCACCGAACTCAGTAGCGGCAGTTGAACCAACAGGAATCTACCCAGGGAACAGGTACGTACTGTATCTGCGGAGTTAACTGAACGTGCATACGCATACAACATGCATACATATGCGTGTGCTTTAGATGCATGCGCGTGCTTCGTCTCTCTCCTCTCTCGTCGTGTTACGACGTGGTTTGCTGCTGTCACATCCTCCAATCTCGGGCCGTACTGGGGGTGTAGCGAGTAAAAGACTTTGTTCGGATTCTGGTGTAGCCTGTAGGGCGGCTAGCGGCTAAGGTACATTACCTAGTTTCCTATTTTGTCATATTATGTGCATGGAGATGGTGATTCACATTAGATCACATTTCTTCAAGCAGGGGTTGTCATTAGTCGCCTCTTACTCCGTACAGCAAAGCAGGATGTACGGATACATACAGATACAGTACGTACTATTACAATTGGGCAGCTTTAGGCATTGAGTGATCTTTTTGCCCAATCCCGAAGATTTTCGGTCTCCTTTTGAACGCTTAGTATGTTATGGCAACAAGCAAAGAGATTTCATGTTAATATTGATACATACGTGTGGGAGTTTTAGGTAAGTCACTGGCGATAGTGACAATGTATCTTGAGATATGTACACAACATGCATCTGCATATTGTTCCCCCCACATTCTAATCGCGCTATCCCGCTCTGACAGATCATGTCATATACTTTATAATTTAGGTGAACCTCAATCTGAATTATTCTTGCTCGTCCCGGCATTATCCTAGCATTACGATATCATCCTTGCCGCAGAAGCGGACGCACTGTGCGCTATTGACTGGGCATCTATAGCTGAAATTTAATTGCAATGGAAATTGCAATTGCCAGATAATTAATCTTGATACCAAGGGAGGCCTCGGGATTCACATATGTGATTCCTTTTCTTCTTTGTTTCTCCTTTGCTTCATAATCTGCAGCTCCGTCTTGACATGTCAGTCACACATGCACGAAGCCCAACGCAACAAATACTTGCAGGCGGCTGCAGTCAACTGACGACGGCGACAACAACGCTAAGGTAAATTCATATTCATATTAGTGAGCGGTAGAAGCGGAGATTCCCTTCTTGTGCCTATGTTTGCTTCTTTCCCGTTCGATCTAGCAGTTTTAGTCAACAAGGGGTACCTACAAAAGCAATCACTCAACGCCTTCTTTATGTTCCGAGCCCTATTCTGGGCTTGTGTCTTGTTTGGCAGCTTATTTCCAGAGGCTGTAACTAATACGGGAGTTGGGCTGAATCACCTTCTATATCGAGAATCCTAGCGTCAAGTCAGCCTAACATGGGTGACATTCAATATTACTCTCGTACAATGGAAATGAGTCTCGTCACTACCATGACATTATCCAGGACATAGAGTTGATTCATATGCCAGTTTTGTCACTCCTATAGCCTCGCTCTCCCAATAAGAGGCACGTGAGATGCTTGATGCTAGCTACTCCAAAATGCTATTTAACGCACGACATACACGATGGTTCGTGTCTTAGCGAGAGTGTACTTCACTCGCCAAGCTAAATATAGAACGCTATATTGTGGCGCCATATTTATATTACAGTTCATTCTCGTTCAGCACGGGTGTATGAGAGTCATAGCGATGGTTTGCATTGCTAGCTGGCCTGAGCGCAAGATGCGTAGAACTTGAAATCACAGACTCCATACGGAGCAGAATAATTAACGAACGAGAACTTCTATCGCATGACATTATTCTCCTGTTAAGCAGATCAACGTGGGAGTTATTCTGACTAGGGTATACTATGTTAATGCTCTATGAATTTCAAACCTCGCCTATAACCATACATATCAGATGTACTAAGGGTCGATTATGATTTACAACAAAGCCGGGTTCTGGATTCAATGACAGACTCTATCTCTCGAACCCGAATCAAATACATCTAGCATATTCCTGGAAAAAATGCTAGAATTTTCTAATGCTTTGCTTGGTGTTGAACAGTTGATAGGGATTTCTGGAGGATGTGTAAGTCAAGCCACGCACCTCATGTGGTCGCCACTTGTGGCTGTGCATGAGATCTCCCTTGACCAACCAGCAAGCTTCAAGCTCGACATCTGGCCTCGAGCGTCACTCGACGCCAAACGCCCCGCGATCAACATCACGTCAAGCTCGACCCAGCGCATTGCAACATTGACCAATCTCAGACGGAAATCTCTCCGGATTATATCGCTTAGTCGTCTAAGAGAGGCCTGGCCTCATTGCCATCATGGCCCCGCCATTCCCTCGCTCGAGTATCGAACTCGATTACCCTCTCTATGCCGTCGACTTCGACCCTGAAGATTCAACCCGGGTGGTCGTAGGTGGAGGAGGTGGTGCCGGTCGCTCTGGTGTTGGAAACAAGATTGTGCGTTGGCTCTCTGGAGATTCAATAAACACATAACAGTGGGCTAACTATAGTTGTAGTCTGTCCTCGAGACAGTTTCTCAGACAGAGCTCCGTACAGCTGGAGAGATCAACCTTTCTCGCGACGAAGACAGCGTTATGTCCCTTGCGGTCGGTCCTCACAAAGGCAAGACTACATATATCTATGCCGGCGTCAACTCCAGCCCAGATAGCATCGCAAAGGGCACGAACGAACATCTCCGAACCCTCAGTATCGACCCTTCGAAGTTGCGCACTGCTGTTGGAGCCAAGACTCCCGATTCCAACATCACAGAGGTCGCTCGTACATCTCTTTTCAAGAACCCTGACATCGATACATATCAACGATTATTGCGCGTTGTGGGAACGACCGGCGCTGCGGCCACAGCGATGGGAAAGGAGCCTCAATTAGCAATCTTCGACGTCGCAGGCGCTCAAGCCAAGATTCGAGGCATTCTGGAACTGGAAAAAGAGGCTGAGGACCTGGATATTGTGCAGACAGGAGAGAGCGAATTCCAGGTCGCATATTGCTCCAAGTACGAGCTGTATCTCGTCAACGTTAGCGCCAAGGAAACCAGCGAACCGAAGCTGGTATATGTCATGCCCGAGGATCATGGCGAGCGACCTATGTTTCGAGCAATTCGATACTTGAGTCCCAACTTCCTTGTAGCTGCGGCCAACTTGCCTAAGCGAAGTGGTGTGGTGATACAAGCATACAGATTGCCCAAGGGAAACCAGACAGATGCGCGCTTGTCCATCAACGCCAGGATACCAAGGAAGATCTCTGCAACTGCGCTGGCTGTTGCCAATCTATCGCCTCCAGCTTCGCCCCTAGGCTCTATTGGCGACACGCAGTTCATCATTGCTATTGCAGGTCACGACTCGTCTATTTCTCTCTACACACTTGACCACAATACTGGTGCCACTGTTGAGATACTCTCCAAACTATGGCACCTATATACACTTAAAGATGTTCATGGAACCGACAACATTACCGGAGTTTCTTTCTCACACTTTGAGACGCCAAAGAATAACCTTCGCCAGCAGTTCATCAAACTTGCTAGCACATCTCTCCAAAAGACTGTTGCTGTTCACAGCATTCCTCTAGAGAGGCAAGTCGACAAAGCTCCACGCAACAAGAAGGGCCCTCCACGTCCTGTTCGCTATGTCACAGCTATGAAGTCTCGTGGTATCTCTTCTCGTGGTCTTGGTATCACAATGGCCATCTTTGCGCTCATCATGGCCCTTGTTGCGCAGTCCATTCTCGAACTTTATGGTACGAACCGCCCTATCCTTGGCGTACAGAAGCTGTTCCCCCCGCGTCACGGCACTCTGCGTACCCCTACCCACCCACCTGTTGCGTTCCTCGCCGACGAGTTTCTTGCTAAGCTTGCTGGCCGGGATATCGTCAAGACTGCCACTGGTGAAACTCTCGTGTTGTACGAGGGCGAAGCACCCCCTGCAACAGCTGGAGCAGATAGTCAGGCCCCAGGTCTCAAGGTCGATGTTCATGAACCTTCAGTTCATGGCCCTGGCATGACCTGGGAGGAATTGGGCGAGGAGCAGAAGGCTGCATGGAAGGCTCGTCTTAAGCAGACCGGCGCTTGGACACAGGCCATGGGCGAAAATGTCTTCAGAGGTATTTTGTTTGGCGAGATTGCCGGTGCTGTTGGCCGAGCTGTTGCCGGTTGATTCTAGCACCGCTCAGCATGGCCAGAGAGTTAAGTTCGATAGCGAAGCTTGCACTGTATCATAGACCTTGTGCGTTTACGTTTTGTAGATGATGGCGAGGGAGTCTTTTTTCTGGGATCTGGTTTGCCGTTTTCAGCTCGTCATGTTCTGGGAGGAGCACATACCGAAATGCTGTCACGTATTTAAGATTATAATGTAACTGTATGCCTTATTGACTGTGGACTCGATTCGTGAAAAGGGTGTGGTGAAGGTATCGTATCGATTTATTTGTTAAAACTTGATCGCTGCTGGATGTCAAACCTCGAATACAATGTATATCTTAGCCTAAACCTACATATACTTTGGAAGAATTTGGTCATGTGTTATACCGGGGGACAGACACATGCATAGGGGCAGACCGAGAATATTTGATGAGATGTATTCCACCACTTCGCTACGCATCCGGTGTGCTTTTGACCTCAAGAACTAGGTTCGTATATATTGTCGCCTGCGTTAATCTCGGTGTTGGTAATCAATGTGTATCATCTCTAACATTGATATATCTTCAAATTTGACTCCTTTCATCCTCGTCAATGGTTTGAAGCTGAGGTTGGTACATGCTGAGAGGAGACGAATGCTCCAGATGCTTGACTGGATATCCTATTCTCACCATCCATGGGATGAAGTAAATGTTGTATCTTCAATCCTTAATATGTTCGTACCATCAACTTTTGAGGTCCGGGCATGTATTTTTTAAGTGTACTATTCATCGTACGTGTGCATTTTTCTTCTCTCACTCAGTCTCCTAACCCATTCTTCACTCCTAGCTAACACATCTCAATTCTTTCTCCGTATGTATCAGTGATTGTCTGTAGTCTTCTGCTCCTAAACTACACTCAATGTTTTGTTGATCCATTTGGATCTTTCATAGCATGTCATATGGTATCAGTTCCTGTGTAGAATTAAGGGACCTTTAACAAGTTGGACGGAGTTGCAGGTCAAGGTCACTTGATATGAGGTATGAGTCTCCTCTACTACACAAGACATGCATAATAAAAACCTAGCATCATCAAGAGCTACCCAGTACTATATTTACTTCTTGCCAGCGCCGAGGATTCGAGTATTTGTCTAGTCTCTAGGTTTCATACTACATCCCAACGGTTTTGAATGGCCTGACTCGGTCCATTCTTTTGCTCGTGAAGTGCGAGTGCAACCACTGGGCTGTTGCATTCCAGTCAGGACAATCATCTCGGCAAGCCCTTTAGAAAACAATCTCAAATCGCAAGATATGCGGGCAGTGGCAGGGCCTCCCATTGTCATCATCAATGATATTGTAACGAGTAGCAAAGCTTACGCAGACTAACAACCACGCCCAGTGATCGTCATGGACCTGGAGGCAACACTTGATCGTGGTAAGTTTAAGCCGCGACTAGGTCTAGCTTAGGAACAGGATTCCTGAAGCCGTTCAGAACGGCCAAGCCGATGAGAAAGGCAAGGCATGGTAAGCCTCCAACGTCCGCCTGCAAAGTTTGAGTTTTTGGATAGATTAGGACCAACCGTGCTACAAACATGAGCTCCTTATGGACGAGGTGGTTCGTACGACGTCAAGGATGGCTTCGGTCTAACTTAGTTGTTTGGTTCAAGGTTCGAGCCAAAGTTTGTGGCGCCCCCGGATTGGGTTGAAAGTTGGGGGCCTGTGGCCAAATTACTCTGGTGATGCTAGGCTTCGAGTTGAATTGACTTGTCATGTTTGGAAGCAAGAGTGCTATATTCATACAAGAGTAACAACAATGTAGGCAGACTTGATTATGGTACGGCTTACTCACATTAAAGATTTACTCTTTCTTGAGGCTACGGATCAATAACGTGGTAGTGTCACGAATGAGGCTTGAGTGATGACGCTGCTTCAGAGTCTGTGTTGGTCAGTCTAGCATCCAAGCGTCGTCCATTACACGACAGACTACAGGAGTGAAGGCCAAAGGCTTCAATGTCGCAGACAATAGGGTAGGTAAGTAAGAGATGGAGATGGACAACCTCCAGCTACTACAGCGATCGATATCAATATCTTCAGACAGCCGAGGTCCTCGATAGGAGAGGCCTCTGAAACGAAGGGTGCTCAGATTTGCGGCAGAGCCAATAGCATATCTAATATTGATACGGTGAACGGATAGTAATTATTTAACACCCAGGGAACGGTACCCCTATCGCGCAATAAGTCGAATTTTCCCCTTGTCGCTATATAACTTCAATGAGATTGAAAATGGATGACAGATGGGGACGATTGCTCGTGAGTGGCCCCAGAGCTGCAGGGATCGTCCCTGTCGGAGAACCCTGATTTCCACTTGATGGCTCTAAGCGGCAAGCGGCAGCAATAGCCAGTGGTCAGTAGCTGAGCGTCCAGTAAATCAATGCGATAAGTGCCTACTAGCTTTGCCGTTACCACGTGTAAGAGGGTCATTCTGGTTGATGTCTTGGGCATTCACTTTGTCTTGCTCTTATACTCATTCTTCTTTTTCATTCCTTTTTCTGCAGTTCGAGAGAGAGATAAAGAAACTTGAATCATGGCACACAATGGTCATGCGTTTGCGTGGAACTTCGCAAAGATGCAACAAGACAAAAGAGGTAACGTTAAAGGAAAAACAGACATGGGGCCCCGGTATCCGTACTCCAACTGAGCAAACTGGCTAACTGGCTAACTGGCAAGCCTGGGCGTGCCCCTGTCTGTGGCAAAGTTTTGGAATTCCATCCACATTCCACAGACTCCCGGCTAGCTGGGTCGATCGTTGACAGGCAGTTTTACGGACGGAGCCTTATTGATTGTACAGCAGCTAAATTATATTCTCAGTCTGCATCTCCTTTCTTGACAGATGAGTAATGCCTGAGTCTATCTTCTCGATCGAGTGTTGCTCCTGTAGATTCTGCACTGAGGCATGCGATTCACATTAACCCCTGGGCTTGATCCAGATCTTAGCCTGAAGAGCGGAAGAACGAACCTCAGGGGCAGCCACAATGTCTTGTCTTGTCTTGTCTTGTCTCGCCTTGCCTTGCCGTGGACGCGGATGTGGTTGGCTGACGTGATCGACTCGGCATTGATATGGTGCTCGTACATACTCCGTACTGTCACCGTTAACAATCACATCACCACTTCAACCACCACCTCGGGTCTTGTTGTGGGTATGAATCTGACCACGATCTGTGACTGTATCGTCCCCTGCCTGCCTGCCTGCCTGCCCGACCGATGGATCGATACGCATAATTCATCTCGATCGCAAATGACCTCCTATCAAGCCTTCTCTTGTCGAAAGTGATCAAGAAGAAAAAGGAAGAAAAAAAGGGCCAGCAAAATATCTGGGGACAATAGCTCCAAGCCTCCCGACGCCAAACGGGGTCCGTCCCCTGTCTAGAACGAAAGCTGCGCGGACTAAATTACAAACCATGAAACTAACCCGTCTACGGAACGACTCCAGCTGCTCGGAACAGTGCCTGGGACTAGGTATGGCAATATCCAGCGAGTCAGGCGTATTACGGAAAGGTAGCTGAAAAGATTGGACTACTTTTGAACAAGTTGCTGTGTTTTCGCAAAAGCTTCGCAGTGTGTAGAAAACACGAGCGGCTATATCCGTGTACGTAGTAAACTTTGGCCCAATTGTCATAGCGCACGGCACAGGCTGGCCGCTGAGTCTTGGAGACTTGGACAGATACATAATAAATACGCGAATGCAGGGGCGCGGCTGGGCAAACAGAATCGGGCAAGGCAAGGCGAGAGAATGGCTACAGAGGGCGAGAGAATGACAAGTGTGAGAAAGAGGAGAGATGGTTCTTGTTCTTGGAGCTGCAGTGAGTGAGACATACGCAAGACAGGCACCAGGTTTAAGACTTGGTGGTACAAATAAGCTGTTATTCTTGGTCGTGAAGCAATATATGGAGGTCAATTATCGGTTTCTCTCCATTTTGATCGAGCATCATGTATTATATCTCACAATCATAGAAGTGAAGCACGCAGACACTCCAGACTGACTTTCATCCTTGGTTAGGGCGAGATGCGAATGGATGTGCCCATCTGGTTTTGGGCTATCTTTTGGGGGGTCATGGTGGGGTTGTCAGATCTGACCAACCACACTTTACAATTTACAATTTACACTTTGCGGGATGTCCAGTGAGCGGGAGCTAAGCAGATCGTCGCCTGGGCGCGTGAACATATGTGAAAGAAACGGAAGAAGAAGAAAAAGAAAAGAAAGAAAGGGAGGGAGCCTGCCATGAAAATCAAGGCTTTGTTGTGTTGCTGCAACTGTGACGCAAGAGCTGACAACCATATTGAGTAACGAGGGATTAAATATCTACACTGACAGTTTATTGTGTTGGAGGGGGTCAAGACTCGGGATATAAGCAGTCTCATACTGGTTAAGCGTATCGAAGCTGGGGATGTTGATCGACGGCACTTGTGAGGGCCATGCGAGTCACGCTTAGTAGAGCAAGTGTGAAGGGAAATAAGCATCTTGGTTCCTCACCTCAGATCATTGTTGGTGGTTACCTTACCGCAGCACCTCGGCCCTGTCCCATAAATACGGGTTGATGCAAGGAGGAGGGATGAATTGAGCAAAGACTGTCCATGATGATGTGATTGAGTAGTAAGTGTCATCAAAAGTGCAAAATTACTAAAAGCCAATTGCTCGTTGCGCGCTCAAATGGAAGGGAAAGTTCAACCATAATATCACTATCCAATTAGTTTGGCTAGATTCCAATCCATATCTTGTGGGCAGTTCGAGGTAATGCAGGGTAGATGAGATTCATTTTCTTTAGTGCCGGTATCCTGCATCATCCTTCCCGTGTTGTCTGCAAAATACCCGCGGACACACAGTAGGTTACCTATTCTTCTTGTTTGATGAAGAGACAGAAGCGTTGATATGATTCATTGAATGCGTGTCTCGGAGGTGCAGGATCCTGACTCTGATTGAGATGGTTCATCCGATCCATCTGCGCCAAGCTGCAGTGCACGTTACTTTTGGGAAAGAAGAAAATAA